ATTTCATGGCTGGTGCTTCTGAGCACTCACTGTGCATTATCTCATTTAACTCTCAAAGCTCCACCAGTTAGGTGCTATTCCCGATGACAAAACTGAAGCTCATGGGGGCTGAGGGGATAAGAGATCAACCAAAGGACTTGTATGCATGCATATGAGCATAACCAATGGACACAGACAGTAGAGGGGTGAGGGCATGTGCTGGGAGGTGGGAGTGGCTGGGGAGAGGTCAATGGAGGGAAAAGGAGACTCATGTAGTCTACCGCTGGTAGACTCCAAAGTTCATTCTCCTAATTGCCCTCTCCCTCACCCCCATTCTACTTCTTGCAGTGGTGGCCAAGGGTCCAGGTATTGTTAGCTGAGTGATTCAAGGAATGGAAGATGTGATCACACATGAACACTTAGCATGTGCTACGCAGTCATGCAGGGCAGGCTCAGTTACAGCGCCCAGCTCTCCAAGAGGAGACCAGTCTGCGAGGATCAGGAAGGTTTCAGGAGGAGGTGTCCTTTGAACTGGGTTTTGAAGTCTGAGTAGGATTACAAAAGTGAAATTAAAAAGGGCACTCCAGGTGGCAGGCACAGCATGGGCAAAGCAGAGGTGGGAAGCATGTGTACATTACAGGGTACAGAGAACACTGGAATCTGCCCGGAAGAGGGGAGGCAGCGGGGGTGCACTTGAACCTGTCTGCTTGCCTTTGGGGAGATGGGCAGGTTTTGAGAGGTGGAAATGAAGGGCTGGGGAGGGCATCTCTGAGCCCCTCCTGGCACGCCTTCCTCGTAGGTGTACATCATTGGCCACGTGCCCCCGGGGTTCTTTGAGAAGAAAGGGAACAAAATGTGGTTCCGGGAGGGATTCAACGAGAAGTACCTGAAGGTGGTCCAGAAGCACCATCGAGTCATCGCAGGGCAGTTCTTCGGGCACAACCACTTGGACAGCTTTCGGATGTTCTATGATGATGCAGGTACTCAACCTGGAGGGCGCCTGCCAGCCTCCCTCCCTCCTCTCACCAGCCTCTCACAGTCCCATTGTCTCTCTCCTAAAAGGTGCCCCCATCAGTGTCATGTTCCTTACACCTGGAGTCACCCCATGGAAAACCACATTACCTGGAGTGGTCAATGGTGCCAACAATCCAGGCATCCGAGTGTTCGAATACGACCGAGACACGCTGAGCCTGCAGGTCAGGAGCCCTGGGTCTGCTGGGGGTGGAGGAGGTGGGAGGGAGGGAGGAAGGCAGGGCCCTAAACACATCACCACACTCCCGAATTCTTTCCCAGCTAATCCACACTCTAATGACCACTGAATCTCAGGAAGGTCACGTTACTTCCCTCCTGCTAGAACTCAGGACCAGACACCCCTGGTACTAGCTCCAAATCCTGCCACCACATCAGGTCATTTCTTCTTCCCCAAACCTCCCTTCGCCCCGGATCATTGCCACGGGCCTCTTACCGAATTTCTCTGCCTCCAGCACTGCCCTGCGGTAGCTCACCTGCTACTTACTACAGAAGAGATTAATCTTTTTAAAGCACTTGTCTCTCTCCTGCTCAATAACCTTCAGTGGCTCCCCAGTGTCCCCAAGATAAGATGGATTTCCTCAGCCTGGTATATTCAAGTATGCCCGCAGGCCCACTGCCCACACGTCTGTCCTCTCTACACCGATTACACTGCAGTTAATGCAGGTTCCCAACTCATCAAGCAGCCCGTCACCTCCTGGGATGTGCTTGTGATGATTGAAATGACAAAGAAACATTATTCCTTAATTTATTCAACAAACTATTAATGATCTTCTATGTGCCAGGCCGGTGTGCTAAGCACAGGAGATACCTAAGTGAACACAATAAAGTCACTGCTTTCCTGGAGCTGACATCCTTACAGGAATAAACAACTAAGTCACGTCAAGTACGGCATGAGATACGTGCTGAGGAGAAAAGAAAACAGCGAAGAGGCAGGTGGTGGCGATGGTCACAGAGTGTGTGTGCCATCATAGGTGTGGCAGGAAAGTGTCACGGACAGGATGACATTTCAATCCCGAGTAAACTGAGGGAGCGAGCCATGTGAGCATCTGGTGGAGGAAGAGCCAGTCTTTTGCCCTGGGGTGGGAGTGTGCCTGGTGTGTTAGAAGAGCAAGGAGGCCAGTGTGGCCACAGTGGGAGGCACAAGGAGAGAGTGGGAGGGACAAGGTTAGATCACGCAGGCCATGAGTAGGAGGACTCTGGATTTGGAAGGTTTGGGGCAGAAGAATTAAATATGCTGACTTACAAAATTTACAAAACCACCATGTCTGCTGTGCAGAGAACAGGCTGTAGAGGTCAAGGGCAGAAGCAGGAGGACGAGACAGGAGATGACTGCACCAACCACGAGAGGTGATGGTGCTGTGGGCCAGGGTGGTAGCAGGGGGTGGTGAGACGTGCCAGATCCTGGATATATTGTGACGGCGGAGCAGACAGTATTTGCTGGTGGATTGGACGAGGGGTACGAGGAAAGAGGAATCCAGGAGGACGCCAAGGCTTTGGTCTGAAAACCTGGAAGGAGGAAGTTGCTGTTGACTGCAACGGGATCACTGCAGGAGCAAGTTTCGGAGGGAAGACCAGAAAATTGGTTTGGGGCCTGTTAGCTTCAGGATGTCTAAGTGGCGTGCAAGTGAAAATGCCGAGGGAGGAGGCAGCTGGAGTCCCAGGAAGAGGTGGGTACTGAGATTTAATCTGGGAGTTGAGAAATGCCATTTAAAACACGGACTGGGTAAGATAACCTCGGTCCTTGATTCTGGAGTGAATGAAGATGGAGAAGAGGGCTGAGGATTTTGAAGAGTGTGATCTCTTGTCCACATGGGCACTCAGGGGGCTCTATTCCGCAAGAGGAATCAGAGGCTGGGACTCCCTCCTCCTCCCTGCACCTGGCCCCACCCACGATGGGCCGTTAGATGCAATGTGAGAGGTCGCAGTTCTAGCCTGGGCACCAACGTGCCTGATCAGCGGTTCTCAACCTGTGGGTCGCGACACCTTTGGAGGTCAAACGACCCTTTCACAGAGGTTGCCTAACACCATTGGAAAACACATATATAATTACATATTGTTTTTGTGATTAATCACTGTGCTTTAATTATGTTCAATTTGTAACAATGAAATTAGGGGTCACCACAGTGAGGGTCGCAGCATTAGGAAGGTTGAGAACCACTGCCTTACATCCTTCTCAGGGAGGGAGTCAGACACATGTGGGTTTGAATCTTGGCTCCGCCACTCAGGAGCTGTTGACCTCCATGGGCCTCCCTTGCTTCCTCTGTAAATGGGAGGCAGGAAATACCATGCATACATGGCAGCTCCTCTAACCCCACCTCTAGTGACCTGAAGCAGATCCACAGATTTAAGTGGAAAATGTTGGACAGATAAACCCTTCCAGATTCTAGTCCTGAAGATGCACCTGAGTCCTAGGGGTCTTGGGTGTTTCCCAAGCCTCCAGTCAACCACAATTCTATAGCCTATCTCAGCCAGGCACTCCGTCCTACTTCTTTTAAGTTGCTTTTTATCCATTTATTCTATAAATATTTATTGAGCATCTTCTATGTACCTGGGAGCTTGCTGGGACAGAAAATGCATAGGCTAGGGGGTCAACCACCTGGTTCCACTCCTGCCTTGGCCACTGAACACCTGTAGGACCCTGGGCAAAGAAATTAACCTCTTTAGGACTCAGTTTCTTCATCTGTGAAATGGGGGTGATAAGCACAGTTACTTTATCAGATTCTCTCTCTGTCTTTCTCTCTCTTACACACACACACACACACACACACACACACACACACACACACACACATCTGGTAAGTAGTAAGTGCTCATTAACTAATAGCAGTCATTATGGAGGGTGGGGGCAAAGGCAAGGTGCAGGATTGGGCGTGGAAGCAGACAGTTGTCCATAGCCGGTCTCCTGACCCCTCTCCAGGACATGATGACTTACTTCATGAACCTGAGCCAGGCGAACGCGCAGGGAACAGCGCGCTGGGAGCTCGAGTACCAGCTGACCAAGGCCTTCACGGTGCCGGATGCCAGCGCCCGCTCCATGCACGATGTGCTGGGCCGCATCGCCAGCGACCAGGGCACGCTGCAGCGCTACTACGTCTACAACTCGGTCAGCCTCGACACGCGGGCCTGCGACGAGATCTGCCGCGCCGAGCACGTGTGCGCGCTGCGCGAAGTGGCCTTGGACCCCTACACCACCTGCCTGCGCGGCCCCGCCGCTGCTCCTGGGCCGGGGCTCGGGCTCCCGCTCCTGCTGGCCGCGCAGCTAGGCCTGAGCGCGTTGCTCGCGTGGTGACCCGGGGTGCCGCCCGCTGGATCGCTGGGCGTGCCTTCCTCTGGGTGCATTGGGGCCGGCGCCACCCATTGAGGGCTGGACTTCTTCATTTTCCCAGCGTTCGCAGAGTGAACGGGGATGGGGCAGCCAGATCAGGAAAGAAGCCCAAAGACCCTACCACAAGCTCATTCCTTCCAAGTTTCACGTTTTACAGTATTAAAAAGGCTCATGATGTGTCTTATTATGTGCATTACCTTGTCAATATGTAAACAGTGTTGAAAGCAACTCCCTTGCCGTTAGTGAAAGTCCCCCCACGGCTAATGGGAGTAAAATGAGCCGCTAGGACGATGCGCCTTGTCGGTCCTGGGCCCTCGGTCTCCCCGGCACAGGCCCGAACCCGAGGCACACTTTCAGCTCAGGAAGTCCCGCAGGCTGGGATCAAAATAGGCCTCTCTGCGTTGCAATGTGAGAGGTCGCAGTTCTAGCTGGGCACTCACCTCCGGGCCATTTTCGCCCTCGTGGACCCACAGGGGCCTCCAAGGCAAACACAAGGCAGCGAGAAGCTGCTAAGCTGCAGGCAGCGCACCTGGCCGGCCGCCCGCAGCGCGGCTGGGAACTGGCTGGGAACTGGCTGGGAACCCCTGCGCCGCCGGCCTCGCCCCGGGGCGGGGGCGGGGGCGGGGGCGGGGCTCGGACCACCGGGGGCGGGGCCTGCGGGCCTCGCTCCGCCCCGGACAGGGCGGGCCGGGGAAGTCCCGCCCAGGAGGCCGGGGCCCTAGGCGACTCGGAGGGTTGTGACTGCCTCCTTCCGGCCGCCAGGACCCCGGCCGGGAGGGCGAGTCCCAGCCCAGAGGGCAGCAGCGGGAGAGGCCGGCGGGTCATGCCCTGCTCACTCCGCGCCATTCTCCTTCGGGACCTGATCCTGGGCGTGTTGGGCATCTCTGCCTTCCTCCTCCACTTGGGCTCCGCCCTGTGGGCGGTGAGCCAGTATGTGCTCAGCGGCCGCTACCTGTGGGCCGCGCTGGTGTTGTCGCTGCTGGGTGTCGCCTCGGTCGCACTTCAGGTCTTCAGCTGGGTCTGGCTGCGCGCCGACCCCGCCGACCTGCACTCGTCTCACCTCTCCGCGCGCTGCCTGGCGCTGCTCCACCTCCTGCAGCTGGGCTACCTGTACAGGTGAGCGCCCCGCCCTGGGGAAGGGAGGGGACGGAGCCCGGCGGTACCCCCGACAGCTGGGCTATCTGTACAGGTGGCGCCCTGACACGGGAAGGGGGTGGGGAGGTACCCCTGAGCACCTTTACCTACAAGTGAGTTTCCAGCTCCTTAAAAAGTGACGCCGGCTGATAGCCCTCAGACCTCATCCAGCCCTCCCCTGCCGGGCACAGGTAAAGAAGGAAGCAGGGCCAGAGAAGAAAGGCGTGATTCGGAGTCAGACGTCTCTGGGATCCAGTCTTGGCTTTACCATCTGTGGCCTCATTCCTGCCTTTCTCTGAGCCTCGGCTTCCGCCCCTGTTAAAAAGAGGTAGTAGCTCTGGCGGGTTTGGCTCAGTGGATAGAGCGCCAGCCTGCGGACTGAGGGGTCCCAGGTTCGATTCCGGTCAAGGGCACATGTCCCGGGTGCTGGCTGGGTCCCCCTTGGGGGTGTGCAGGAGGCAGCCAATCAATGATTCTCATCATTGATGTTTCTATCTCTCTCTCCCTCTCCTTCCTCTCTGAAATCGATATATATATGTGTAACATATATACATAGAGGCCTGATGCATGATTTCGTGCAAGAGTAGGCCTTCCTTCCCCAGGCTGCCGGCACTGGCTTCACTCTGGCACCCAGGACCCGGGCTTCCCTCTGGCCACCCGCAGGTACCTGGGACCCCGGCTTCCCTCACAGCCCTGGCTTCGTCCAGAAGGACATCTGGAAGGATGTCTGGTCTAATTAGCATATTATGCTTTTATTATTATAGACTAGAGGACTGATGCACAAAATTTGTGCAAGGGTCTCGGCCCTCACAGCTGCAGCTTCGTCTGGAAGGTCATCTGGATGGTCGATCTGCTATTTGGTCTAATTAGCATATTAGCTCTTTATTATATAGGATATATATATTAATCTAAAGGTAGGTCTGGCAGGCAGGCCTGTTGTGAGGAGTGAGGGAAAGAACAGAGAGCTCGGCTCCTGAGACAGGTAAGCAGACAGACCAGTGTTCCTTTTAGCTGTGGATAGGGCCTTGGGCAAGACACTTGACTCCTGTAGGTCTCAGTTTACTCTCTGTTCCAGAGGGGATGGTCCTCATGCATGCCTCTGTTTGGTAAGGATTAAATGAAATGAGACCTGTGAATTGTGTGCAAATGCTAGCTAGCTTCATGAGAGTTCCAGCAGCCCTGACCCCCAGAGTGGTACTTGTCCCCTCACCCCTGAGTGCCTCGCACCCTTTCTTTCCCAGCTGTATTCTCCCTGAACATTTCCTCCCTCCTCCCCCTGCTCCCCACCCTGACCAAGTTAGAGGGCAGCGATGGGGTCTGACTCACCCTTTCCAGGACTGGCAAGGCCCTCTAGAGATGGGGAAACTGACACCAAGGGGTCAGAGTCATGACGTGAAGTCAGGACGGGATGTGGCCTGGGTTGGGCTGGGTTGGGATGGGGTGGGTGGAGTCGGGATCTGCTTTTGAATCCATTTTTGTTGTTGTTGTTAATCCTCACCCGAGGATATTTTTTCCATTGATTTTTAGGGAGAGTGGAAGAGAGAGGGAAAGACAGAGAGAAACATCAACATGAGAGAAACACATCAATTGGTTGCCTCCTGCAGGAGCCCTGACCAGGGCCCAGGGGAGGAACCTGCAACCAAGGTATGTGCCCTTGACCGGAATCGAACCCGGGACCCTTCGGCTCACAGGTTGATGCTCTATCTACTGAGCCAAACGGGCGAGTGTTTGAATCCATTTTTACAGTCTCTCCAGCTCTTGTCTTGACAAAGCTGCAGCGAGTGTCCAGGAGTGGGCGAGAGGGGCTTTGAATGGTGCATTTTGCCCGAGGGACTGTACAGGCATCAGTAAAACTCCGGGGGGCATGAAGAGGCACACGTTACCATTCTGGCAGGCCTCAGTGAGCCCTGAACCCATAACTGTATCTGCATCTTCCCGCCTCCTGTTTCTGCTGAGTGTGAGGCAGACAATGTACTGAGCTTTGGTTTGAGAGCGATCTCTGTGCCTGCCTGTGACTCGGCTGAGGCAGGGCCCTGCCGTGGCCTTGGGGGACCAGAGGCAGAGACTCCTACTGGGGGAGAGCCCCAGCCCAGGGCTGCCTGCCTGTTTCCTTCCCGTGTCGTCAAGTCCGTCCCGGGGAGGTAACAGTACATGTCTGACGAATGAGTTCGCAGTGAGCCAAGGGCTCACCTCCCAGTAACCAGCTGAGACCAGTTGTGGGTGGTGGAAGCCGTGGTGCATCTCCACTCCCCCCTCCTGCCAGCGGGTCACCCAGGCCTGTCTGTCCAACTTCTGTACTCTCTCACCTCTGCCGCGGTCTCCATCCCCACCCTCTGAAAGGCTCTTGTCCTTTCTCCCTGGATTGTTTCGACAGCCTCTCAAATAGACCCCTGCTTCCGGTCTTAGCCCCTCCATCCCTTCCTCCTCGCCACACCTGGGAGTTCTTTCTACAGCACAGTTTGACCTGTCTCACCTGTGCTCAGAAGCTCTCAGTGGCTGCCCTTCCCCACAGGAGCCTAAGAAATTCTTCGGCTTGCTAACATTTGAGAACTATCATCGTAGGCAATTTTCTTGTGTGCCTTTGATATTCAAACACTGCTGCTTATTAGCTCTTTGGTCATGTTTTCCCATCTGTAAAATACAGATGTTGTAAGGCCTAAATGGGACAAGGTTTGTGATGAACTTGGGATAGTGCCTGGCCAGCAGGAGCAGTAGTAATTATTATTATTTTTAATGTGTTGGCAGAACACTTCTTTTTTTAAAAAATTTGTTTTTATTGATTTCAGAGAGAAAGGGAGAGGGAGAGAGATAGAAACATCAATGATGAGAGAGAATCATTGATTGGCTGCCTCCTGCACACCCCCTACTGGGGATGGAGCCCGCAACTGGAGCATGTGTCCTTGACCGGAATTGAACCCAGGACCCTTGAGTCCATAGGCCGACGCTCTATCTTGCCCAACGTCCCACATCTTGTAGGATTGGCGCCTGCCTGCACCTACCTGGTAAGCAGGGCAAGGAGGAATGCCTCGGGACACTAACCTGGCCCCTGGGTCACCCCTCTGTGCCTAGGTGCATGCAAGGGCTGCAGCAGGGGCTGTTGGTGTGGCAGCAGGAGACGCCCGCCCCGTTCGACTTGGCCTACGCCGACTTCCTCTCCCTGGACATCAGCATGCTGCGGCTCTTTGAGACCTTCCTGGAGAAGACGCCGCAGCTCACGCTGGTGCTGGCCATCGTGCTGCAGAGCGGCCAGGCCGAGTACTACCAGTGTGAGTAGTCGCCCTGGCAGCAGCTCCCCCCCCTTTTATGCCTGGAGAAAGTTTCCCACAGAGATCAGAACTGCTTCCACTCTTTCATGAGGACTGCTTAGGAGATAGGAGCGCGTCCTTCGTCAGGCAGGCCTGGGCTCAGTTCCAGCGTCAAATCCCAACACTAGCTGCAGGAGTTTGACCAATGACTCCACCTCTCTGAGTACTGGTTTGTTTTTATCTTTGAAATGGACATAACACATAATCCTACCTCATAGGACTGATGAAAGGATCAAGGGAGGTGATGCATATACCAAGTCTCTGGTGCATAAATAAAGCTTAATTGTCATTTTTACTCTTTTGAAGACAACAGATGAAGTGAGTGTGTAGGGTGCGACACATAATCGACAACTTGTTGGTCCATAAAATGTTTGTTGGGCACCTTCACTCACTTAAGTTGTTATTGAGCATCTTTGTGCCTGTCCCTATGCTGGGGGCACTGCAGTGAGCAAGGACCAGCCCCTGCCCTGCTGGGCTGGCTGGAAAGCAGGTAGTTAAAGGGAAGTAATGAGCCCATGGACTCCAACTGTGTCTGATTCCAGGTCCAGGGCTGACCCTTTTCTGCCACACCCCTGCTTCCTGCCCTGCTCCCCCACCCCTGCTGTAAACGCCACAGGCCTCCCAAGGGACCAGTCTCCACTCCGCCCTCACTCACTGTGTGACCTGGAGAGCCTTCCCTTCTCTGGCCTCAGGTTCCATAGCTGTAAAAGATGGGGTTGGACTTGGTCTCCAGGGACACTTTCAGCTGCTCTTTTGAGTCTGTAGTATTAATTGAAAAAGACCAGTAACAGCAGCCATCACGATCGTGCGTGCTGGTAACGGGGCACTCCGTGGAGTGCTTTATTGTCAGTGCTCACATCAAGCCCTATAGGTTGGTGCTATGTTTATCTCCATTTTGCACAAGAGGAAAGAGGTACAGAAAGGTGGAGTGATTTGCCCTGGGACACACAGCATATACTGGGCACACATTTTTGTTTGCCTGTTTGAGGGCAGTGAGTGTCTAGGATCAGGGCCAAATGGATACAGTCTACACCATCTGTGTATGGGGGGTGGGGGAGAGGAGCGAGGGAAGAGACGGATTTTCCCAAGTTTTTATTTAGCAAACATTTGTGCCAGGTACTGGGCTGCCTGGGGATCCCAGGGGAGCAGAATCTGTTTCCTACCCTGAAGGAGCTCAGAGATAAGGAAATTGGTCATTAGTTCAACATAAGTGGGTGGGACCAGATCTGGATGTGTGGCTCTAGGTCAGTGGTTCTCAACCTTCCTAATGCCGCGACCCTTTCGTACAGTTCCTCATGTTGTGGTGACCCCCAACCATAAAATGATTTTCGTTGCTACTTCATAACTGTAATTTTGCGACTGTTATGAATCGTCATGTAAATATCTGATATGCAGGATATATTTTCATTGTTACAAATGGAACATAATTAAAGCATAGTGATTAATCACAAAAACAATATGTAATTATATATGTGTTTTCCGATGGTCTTAGGCGACCCCTGTGAAAGGGTCATTCCACCTACAAAGGGGTCGCGACCCACAGGTTGAGAACCGCTGCTCCAGGGGATACTTCAGGGTAAGGATTCCAGGCTGGGCGTGGGGTCCTGGCCCATAAGAGGTTCCCAGTAAACATCTGGCGAATGGATGCGGTGGGAAGGAGGCAGGGGAGGAAGCGTTCTAGAGACATTCCAGCGCTGCTTCCCTCCCTCTCTGGGGACCCTGGTGCCTCTAGTCCACCGTGGACAACCAGTAGGTGGGATAGGATCCCCACTGTGCACTTGGAGTTTTGGAAAATCAAGACCAGGCCCAGTCTGAGCAGGGAGGGGAGGGGGGTGAGGATCTACCCTCCACACAGCAGGGCACCTTCAGAGGCCTGTTGCCACCGCATGGGGTTTCCAGCTTCCCTTTCTGAGAGTAAGAAAGGGGGAACTGGGACCGCTGAGTTTCAGATCCAAGAAAGGTGTGGGCTCTTCCGGGAAAGGAAGGGTTGCAGGGTTCTTTAAGATGCCAAGGCCCAGGGGTGCAGATGAGGGTGTGTACGTCGCACACCCTCTCAGGTAGCACCTGAAAAGTAAAGCTTTGTGGTGAAGGGCAGACCCCACAGTTGAATCTCAGACCAGGTTTTGGTTGTGAGAACAATGTTCTCCAGTTGTAGTTTTCCCTTCAACAAATTGGGGGTTCGCATACCCACCTCAGGGTGGTTATGAGGCCCCCAGAACCTGTGAGCTCTGGGGAGGGTCAGGCAGGCTGCCCGCAGGCCTCAGCTGTCTCCTCTTCCTCTCCGCAGGGGTTGGCATCTGCACGTCCTTCATGGGCATCTCATGGGCACTGCTTGACTACCACCGGGCCTTGCGCACCTGCCTCCCCTCCAAGCCTGTCCTGGGGCTGGGCTCTTCCGTGGTCTACTTCCTGTGGAACCTGCTGCTGCTGTGGCCCCGAGTCCTGGCTGTGGCCCTGTTCTCAGCTCTCTTCCCCCGCTACGTGGCTCTGCACTTCGTGGGCCTGTGGCTGGTGCTGCTGTTCTGGGTCTGGTGTCAGGGCACCGATTTTATGCCAGACCCCCGCTCCGAGTGGCTCTACCGGGCAACGGTGGCCACCGTCCTTTATTTCTCCTGGTTCAATGTGGCTGAGGGTCACACTCGAGGCCGTGCCACCATCCACCTGGTGTTCCTCCTGAGTGACAGCGTTCTCATGGTGGTCACCTGGGTGACGCAAAGTACATGGCTGCCCAGTGGGATCCTGCTGCAGATGTTGCTGCCTGTGGGCGGCACCAGCTTCCTTCTGGGTCTGGTTCTGCGGCTTGTCTACTACCGCTGGCTGCACCCCAGCTACCCCTGGAAGCCTGACCAGGTGGACGGGACGACCGCCTTCCGCTCCCTCGAGTACCATCAGCTGCCTCAGAACAGGCGCATGGACCATTTGGCTCAGAATTTTTTCTCCAAGGCGAGGGATGAGGCTGCTTTGCCATGGCCGGGGGAGGCCAATGGCGTCCTTTGAGGCAGGGTCGGACCCAGCCAGGGGACAGAAGGACACATGCAATCAATCGTTAGAATGCAGGAGAAGATAAGCTAATTGTGCTGCTAGGGGCCTTGACTCACTCAACAAGCACTTGCTGCCTGATCTTGCCAGGCACTGGAGACTAGAGTTGAATAAGACAGAGGCCTGCCTTCAAAGATCAGAAGAAGATGAGGAGGACCGCACCCTAGAGGGTCAAGAGCCTCAATTATATACAAAACACTTGGAGAGGACAGAAGAGATCCCCTTTTCTTTTCCTTCCAACCAGTATATCTGGAGCCCAAAGCACCCCAGTGTTGGTGTTTTCACCCAAATAATTGGTGGAGGTGCTCTCCCAGCCCGTGGGTCCCCTATCCTGGAAGCCATGGATGCCCCAATTGGCTGACCTCCATCAACCCATCCAAGGCCTTAGTGCAGCTGGCCTGGCCTCTGACTCTGCTCTCAAGGGGCTGCCTTTTAACCACGTGCCTTGTTAACCTGTATTCTGGGCCATGGCTCAGCCCATGGAGTGTATGTTTTATACGTTAGACCAGTGGTTCTCAACCTTCTGGCCCTTTCAATACAGTTCCTCATGTTGTGACCCAACCATAAAATTATTTTCGTTGCCACTTCATAACTGTAATGTTATGAATCGTCATGTACATATCTGATATGCCGGATGGTCTTAGGCGACCCCTGTGAAAGGGTCGTTCCACCGCCAAAGGGGTCGCGACCCGCAGGTTGAGAACCGCTGCCTTACACAGTGTATTTTCCACCTCGGAACCTATTGTGAGGAGGAGAAGGTACGTGCCTGTGTGTCTCTGCAGGCGAGAGACACGATGTGTTGTTTTGTTGAACAGTATTATTAGGTTGTTATTAAAACCTTATAAAATCCTCCAAACTAGTTGTGTCATTAAACTAAATCTGCAGAACTCCAAGCCGCTTGGAAAGAAGGGGTCGGGGACACAGAGCCCACTGCTCAGAATCGGTGAAGAGGACAGAGGAGAAGGGGGCTGGACGTGGGCAGGACTTCTCAACCTTGTTTTCTACGTTTCGGGGGCTGGCGAGCCGGTGTGGGGTTGATCGTTCAGGTGGGCACCAGAACCCAGATCTGGACTGACTGGTGCTCTGCTGCTGGGCCCGGCAGTAGCTGCAAACGCCTTTAGTGCCGGAAGTGAATACGGGAGCCCAGGTGAAGGTCTTTTATTGGAAGCTCAGGGAGGGTGTAAGTGATGAGGTGGCTTAAGGAATGTGAAAGCAGGCAATGGTGCCAGGGAGGTGGACTCTTTTGCTGCTCTCGGGAGGTCTGTGGGTTGGAGAAACAAGGAATTTTTGCCAAAGCTCTCATCTATACTCTAGATCAGTGGTTCTCAACCTTCTTTCTGCCCTTTAAATACAGTTCCTCATGTTGTGACCCAACCATAAAATTGTTTTCGTTGCTACTTCATAACTGTAATGTTGCTACTGTTATGAATTGTAATGTAAATATCTGATATGCCGGATGGTCTTAGGTGATCCCTGTGAAAGGGTCGTTCGACCGCCAAAGGGGTCACGACCCACAGGTTGAGAACCGCTGCTCTAGATGAAGTTGTCAAATGATGGCAATATGTATGCAGTTAACTTCAAACAATGTATACCGATACTACCTAAAAAGCTATAGAAAAAGTTTCATTTGTATATACACTTAAAAGTTTACAGGATCGCCCTAGCCGGTTTGGCTCAGTGAATAGAGGGTCGGCCTGTGGATCAAAGGGTCCAGGGTTCAATTCTGGTCAAGGCACATACCTCAGTCAGGGCTGGTGTAGGAGACAACCCATCGATGTGTTTCTCTCACATTGATGTTTCTGTCTTTCCCTCTCTCTTCCACTCTCCCTAAAAATCAATGGAAAAATATTCTCGGGTGAAGATATAAATAAGTTTACAGAATCAAAAGCTTTAAAAAGATGAGTGACATTACACACCCATTAGAAATTTCCTTTGAAAATTCCCATCAATCATTTTTTTTCAAATGTCAAGAAACCTGTTTTTGAAAAATAAAAACCTCCTGAATTGTCTGCCACCGAAAGTTTTTTGAGAAATGTGCAGATGTTATACTGATCGTAGGGGGAGATGGAGGTGTTTACTCTTTGGGCTTGAGAAGCAATATTTGTGCTTACAAGCAAGGATATAGCAACTCACAGGTTTGCTTCATCTACAGTGTGGTCCAACATGTGCCCCTTTTTTCTTCTAAATCCTCACCTGAGGATATGGGTTTGTTTTTTGTTTGTTTGTTTGTTTTTAGAGAGAGAGAGGAAGGGGGAGGGAGAGAGAAACATTGATGTGAGAGAAAAACATCCATCGGTTGCCTCCTGTACTCGCCCTGACTGGGAATCGAACCCACAACCTTTTGGTGTACAGGATGATGCTTCAACCAACTGAGCTAACAGAGCCATAATGTACAACTTTCTGTTGAAAAGATGTAATGATTAGAATACATGGCAACCCCATCTTTCCTGAGGTGATTAATTAGGGAAAAACACCTGTACTCTGACATACATGGCACTTGGAAGCTAGATCTGGATTCTGATTTCCTTCATGGAAATAAAAGGCAAAAGAATTCTTGATTTTTCCAGACCAACAATGGACAGACCCAAATCTGAAGAAATGAAATGAGAAAAAGTAGCCGATGGGACATGAAATCAGGCCAAATCCAACAAGGCTTGATGTTAGTTTGTGTTTTATTGCTTTTGTGTTTTAAGCTCAGCACAGCAAATTACTCTCTAATAATTAAATTTCAACACATTTGACAGAAAATGAAATCTCTTATACCAGTCCTAAACTTTAAAAAGCGACACACACACACACACACACACACACACGCACATGCACACGCACACACGCACGCACACACACTGGCCAGATTATTATGACCACCTGACAGTTGTAGGCAAATTAGCTATAATTTCGAGCTGAAGTTGTTAGAGGGCCAGACCGTTATAAACAGGGAAGCAGGTTGTTTACCACGATAGTTACCCAAGCACAAGAACACAAGGATTGGACAGTCGAGCATTGGAAAAAAGTCATGTGGTCGATGAATCATGTTTTCAGTTACATCATGCAGATGGCAGAGTGAGAATTTGGCGGAAACAGAATGAAAGCATGCACCCCACATGCATGAGTACAATCCTTCAAGCTGGTGGGGGCAGTGTTATGGTTTGGGGCATGTTTTCCTGGCATGGTCTGGGCCCTTTAATTCGTGTGGAACAACGTCTGAATAGCACAACATACCTAAGTATCGTTGCTGATCAAGTTCATCCTTTCATGTTGATGTCATATCCAATGGAGATGTCTTCTTCCAACAAGACAGTGCGCCATGCCACGGTGCTCGTGTTGTGCAGGAGTGGTTTCAAGAACATGAGGGAGACTTTGCCTTGCTTAGGTGGCCCCACAATCACCAGATCTCAATCCAATTGAGCATTTGTGGGACGAAGTTAAAGGAGCCATCAGGCAGCTGGTTCCACAACCATCAAATCTCTCAGAACTGGACAGTGCTATTCATCAGGCATGGTGTCAGATTCCTCACATCACCTTTCAACATCTCGTGGAGTCAATGCCAAGAAGAATCGCCGCAGTATTGAAGGCAAAAGGTGGCCCAACAAAGTACTGATGGGGTGGTCATAATAATCTGGCCACTCAGAGAGAGTGTCTGTGTGTGTGTGTGTGTGTGTGTGTGTGTGTATAAAATTTGATTTCAGAGAGGAAGGGAGAGGGAGAGAGAAACGTCAATGATGAGAGAGAATCATTGATTAGCCGCCTCCTGCATGCCCCTACTGGGGATTGAGCCCGCAACCCGGGCATGTGCCCTGACTGGGAATCAAACCCTGACCACCTGGTTCACAGGTCGATGCTCAACAACTGAGCCACGCCAGCCGGGCTCAATATATTTTATAGACAATTAATTTGTCCTGGCTTAGTGATTAGAGCTCCGACCCATGCCCCAAAGGGTTGCAGGTTCGATTCTGGTCAAGGGCATGTGCCTGGGTTTAAAGTTCAACCCCTGGCCCTGGTTGGTGTCTCTCTCACCTGGATGTTTCTCTCTCTCTCCCTCCCGCCCTCTCTAAAAATAAATGGAAAAATATCCTCAGGTGAGGATCAGCTAAAACAAACTTTTCCTTGCAAATTATTTTTCCTCCATGTACATTTATTTATACCAAAAGGTTGGTTATTTTTTTTCTACCTTTTTGGTGAAATTAATTAGTTATTAAAAGGGTGGTATCTTTTAATGAACTCGATTTTTATAATGAGCTCTTCAGATTTTTATAAAACCTTACTTAGATGCCAACTAGCTGGGCAACTGCGTTGATCCTATTCAGAAAAGACATAGGAGCAAACTGTATAGAAAATAAAAACTTTATTTTTTTTTCAAGTTTACAAGATAGTTCCCATTACATATAACATTATGGTCAAAGACTCTACAGCCATGAATGCCCGCAGTCACATAAATATATCCAATTCAATCAATGCCTTTTACTGCTAAATGAGGCATCTGTAATCCAGAGGGTCAGGCTTTGAGAAGTTGCCCTTAATGGGATGGCTCCTGTCAGTGCATTAGGAACTAGCCAATGAGTCTTGCTTGCTAGAGCTGTCTGACTCAAGAGGAGAGAAACAGAAGGCCTGCTGAACTAGATTTTCTCTCTTGTGGTTTAAGATATTTTAGAATTTGCCCTGGCCAGCGTGGCTCAGTTGGTTGAGCATCCTCCCATACACCAAGAGGTCCTGGTCAGGGCACAGGCCTGGGTTGTGGGCTTGATCCCCAGTAGGGGGTGTGCAGATGGCAGCCAATTGATCGATGTTTCTCTCTCCTTCTCTCTCTAAAAATCGATAAGAACATAATATATATAAGATATTTTAGAATCTCAGAATTCAGATTTCGCTTGTTATGGTGGAAATCTGGGGAGTTCCAACTTTTGGATGAAAAGGAAACCAAATTAGTGGTAAGAGATAGAAGCTTGCTTAAAGGGGCCCTGCTTGCCCCTTCCTGCAGGAGGAGAGGAACACCCCAAGCTCACGACCCCTTGGCTCAGAGCATCACTCTCCCAGGAAGTGGGAGAACAGCTCTATCCCTCCTCCTCTTCCCTATGCTTCAGCAGCACTGACACCCATTCAAGGGAGTGGACATCTAAAAGCTCCACATGCTGCAGCCGGTTTGCCAGTCAGATTCTACTTGGGAGCTTTAGCGCTGAGTGTGTGTAAACTGCGAACAAACTGTGGCACAAGCCTCCTGGGACACTCGTTTTGGCCCCTCCCAACTTGCAGAGCAGAAGATAGGAACACCCCAAACCAAATAAAAGCATCTAAATCTGGAGCAGGAATCCATTCTCCTGGACACCACCAGCTGCCCCGGGGGCACTGGACAGGGTGATGCTAAGGCACAGTCAGTTTTACATTCGAGAGTCAAGCCACCTCTTAAACCCAGGACACACTTGACAACTCCGGATCCCTTACTAGAAAAGTCCTCTCCACGAAATGTGCAGACCCATCTTACAGAACCCAGTCTCCAGCTGGGGAAAGGATTCATCATGTGGCCAATCTCACGGGGATTCTTTCTAGTAAACAGGGCTTCCCCCTCGTCGAAAGGACCCCCAGTGTCCCGGGGCCCTCGGCTTCTAGGAGCTCTTGGTGCTCCCACTTATTTTCCTGTCCAGGTCTTTGTACTGGGAGGAGAAAAACGCGGTAAAGAGCACTGTGTTCCCTGGACAATTCATTTTGGCAAAGAGGAGCCAGGTCCCAGTTTCTGCCTGCCCCTAAATGAGTGTGGCAACAACCAAAAAAGAGCAACGACTGCTCTGCTGAGCTTCCTCACCTCTCTTGGTCAATTTCAAGGTCCTTTGCACAGACCTCAGCTGGGCAGTCAGGAAAAGACCAATGAAAAGGGGTCCACGTCATATTCTAGGAATGAAGAGCTTCTCCCAAAGGGCAGGGAGAGGGAAGGGTTTGTGTGTGGACCTGGGTCTATGATGGGGGTACCACTCCACAGCCTCACAAGCCTGAAACACAGCACCAACCGGGTGGCCTTTGTCCAGGGTAGGAAACCAAGTTACACGGCCGGTGGGTGGAGGGCATGGGCCTGGAAGAAAAGATCCACCCTAGAGCTTTCTAAGATCAATTATCAAGCAAGGCAGAGCGGCATCTGGGCAACTGTGCTGAACTCAGACCAAGGGAAAGTCTGCCTTAGACCACATAACCCCCACTTCCACCCCACCGATGAGAGCAAGGCCAAAGCAGCAGCTGAGCAATGAGCACTGACTTCAGCTCCTCTCCAAAGACCTGTTCCCTAAAATTGTGAGCCATGAGTTGTTTCTCATTCAGTTCTGAAGGAATGTGTATGAACAGCCTTTCTCTGCTACATGAATGACCTGGACTCGGGAGGAGTCTGGCCTCTTTGTGCTGCAACATCTCTAGAAATGAATATGCAGATTCTCTGGGGTCAAGCAGGTATCGCTGGGGTTGGTCCTACTGAGTTCCAGACTACACCTCTCTGCAGCCTGGGAGAGGCTGAATGTCCTCAGCTCTAGGGAAGTTTATCCTGCCTGAGCAGATGCCCAGGTGGGTCGTGGAGGGATGGAGCACCCACAAACACAGTTGGGCTAGAAGGCTGGGACTAGTGCCTGGCACCCATCAATCTCCCCAGAGGCCAGGCTGGGAGATGTCCCTGCATTTGGCCCAGGATTAAGTTTCCAGGCATGGAGTAGGGACCCAACAACTAAAACAGGAGTATTTCTGGCTTCTGGTTTTCTACTTTAGAATGAGATTTGAGAAGAGGGGAGGGTGTACCATGGGAAAATTGGGTTTTGATCACAGAAATCTCTTCAGTTCCAGACAGAGATCTGGGTAAATATACCCAGAATACCCTTGCTAGGCTTAAGGGCTTCAAAGAAAGTCAACTACATTGGTAGTTTTGGCCAAATGTAGTTATGAGCTTGTTCTTAGACTTAATTTGACTTCTTGGGTCCAAAGCCCAGGGATTGGCCAGAGCTGCACGGAGGTGGCTGTGAGGAATGCAGGGCAGGAAAGGGACAGGAGCCTACACTGGGGACTAAGAAGGAAGGAAGGCTGTAGGGTGAGCATCTGTTGGGGTAGGAGTGCCTCTCTGCAGGAGGAAAAGGTGGAACAGTCCTGGTTCAAGAACCAAAGAAGTGAAAATTCACAAGAAGCCTTAGTCCCTTCTCTCCAGTTTAGAGGTAAGCCCCCTGGACATAGTCTTTGAATCAGAGTCAAGCTGAAGGCTTAGCATTTACTGTCTAAGAGAAGAAGTTTCCAGGATTGTGCCATTTGGTTAAAGGGGAGGAGGGATTGGAAAGGGGACTGAAGCTTCTAGGATGGGAAATACCAGAGTCTAAAGTTAATCAGTGTCCAGTGCCCCACAGTTCAGCAAACCAGGAGATGGAAGAACAGGAGAGAAACCATCCTAGAAAGCAGACCACTGGAGCAACTAAAGAGGTGCTACTGTCACACAGAGAGGTATTTCAGATATTTCAATTACTATTTTCCAAGGAAACTTTACACATCCCTTTCTTGCTAGGAAAGAAAGGAGGGAAAACCTGCGTCCGAGACCAGACCCTTACCTATAAAAATTACATATACATTCACTGGGAATATGTTCTACAGCTAAGGAGTTTATAAAGACTGCAAGAGATGTTATTACAAAAGTCTGCCACATTTATCCTATCACCACAAGTTAACAGCAGTTCTCAACCAGGTCATGGACAAAGAGTGCAACTCTGCCCCCAAAATTTCCTTTTGTTTTTTCTTCTTCATTTTTTGAAACAAAATAAACAAAACAAAAAACACAGAATTAAAAGCACTGTAGCTGCAGTGAGTCTATTGTTCTCTCAATCCAACTGTCCTGCTTCTGCATGAGAATGAACCCGACGGGGCTGCAGCTCACTCTTAGCAAAAATAAGCTTCATCCCTTGCAGCTGTTGGTTCTGATTGTGTTCTCGCCAGCATTCCATGGAGAAAGAGAGTGAGTTCTCAGTTGGTTCCAGTCTCCGGCTCCTTTCAGGAGTGAAAAGCAGCTCATGGGGAAGGCTCTTCATTCCAGTTCTTAGAGAAAATCAAGCTCCAAAGCCTGGTGGAGGGACACTAGGTCTCCATGGTTTGTGATCCTCCAGAAAGGCATGTTGTGCTAGAAGAGAGCAGGGACAGCTGGTTAACCCAACTTCTTTTGGGAGGCCATATTTACCCAAACCCTTTTATCCAGACCTCTCCCCAGGTACTTGTAATCCTCTCTTCTCCTGCCCACCTCATGGGGCTGCCATAAGGATCAGATAAGTTATATGCGTAAGGACTGTACACTATAGGACACTCTACAAATATGAGAGATTTTTATTAGGTTTCAGTGGTAACGCTATGCTTTATATCTACTTATTCTAGATGCTATATAGGGTCTTCAGGATCAAATAAAACAGCCACACAAGAAATTAGTATCAATATTACATTTTCTTGTAGATAGGCAATTTCCTATAAGTTACAGAGCTACAAGGCCCAAATCTTGTTCATCACTAAGATTCAGAACATACAGATCTTGGAAATAATCCCATTATGTAATGTGGTCAGAATTATGTCCAGTAGACTGTGTGCTGTTCTGAAAGCCTTATGAATGGCTTTGACAAATCCAAGTGTGAGAATCTATGTTCTATGAAGCTGCAGGAGACTAGCGTTACTGATTGTCTTGTTCAAACTGGTTACAAATTACCCAGAACTTTGAAGTCCTAGAATAGTTCTTTTGACATGTAACTCAGTGCACATACTATTTAAAAGGCTTTTAATATAGAGAAGAGGAAGCAGACTTGTTATGTTGTACTCAGGAATGCCACTAGGACCAAGATGTGAAAGTCAGAGAGATAAAGTTAAGTTCGGTGGAAGGTGGAACATCCTAACAGTTTGGACAACTCCACAATAGAATAGGATACGTGGGAAGCAGCCTCCTTATCCTGGGGTATGTTCAAAAAAGGACTAGAAAGTCTTATGTCAAAAAGGCTGCAGGAAAGATCCCTCACAGGGTGGGGGCTGAATTACACAGAGGTTTTAAGGCATTTTCCAGCAGGTATATTCTATGGTAGATGATAACAGGCATCAGCTTAGAGACACCGACTTTGCTAACGACTTGAGTTGTTCTTTATCTCCCTCTCCCTTCTTCAGACCAAGAAGTACTGATACCTACATCCACTAGTATCTTTCTCAGAGGCAACATGCACTTTAGAATCAAAACTCCAGCTCCCCTCCATCCCCGGAGCTGTGCTAGTCCTGCAGGTCTTTGGTGAGCCGCAGACATGGGTCTCTCTTCTGCAGGACAGCGTTTGTCAAAAATAAGGCCCACTTCAAGAGATACCAAGTGAAATTCAGAAGACAATGAGAGGGTAAAACTGATTACTATTTCCCAAAACGCTTGGTGATCCAGGATAAAAATAAGTACAACACACCTGAATATAGGATGATAGTTTCTGTAACTAACAGAGAGATCATTTGTCAGACTGCTTATTCCCTTATAGAAGGAGGTATGATAATCTGTGCAGTTTATACTCAAGAACTCCCAAAGTATGGTGTGAAGGTTGGCCTCACAAATGATGCTGCAGCATATTGTACTGGCCTGCTGCTGACCCACAGGCTTCTCAATAGGTTTGGCATGGACAAGCAGGTGGAGGTGACTGGAGATGAACACAATGTGAAAAGCACTGATGGTCAATCTGGTGCCTTTACCTGGATGCAGGGCTTGCCAGAACTACTACTGGAAATAAAGTTTTTGGGGCCCTGAAGAGAGCTGTGGATGGAGGCTTACCTATCTCTCACAATTCCAAACAATTCCCTGGTTATGATTCAGAAAGGAAGAAACTGCCTGGCTGGTGGTGTTCAGTGGTTGAATGTTGACCTATGAACCAGGAGGCCAAGGTTCCCAGTCAGGGCACATGCCCAGGTTGCAGATCCATTCCCATTGTGGGGTGTGCAAGAGGCAGCCGATCAACGATTCTCTTTCATCTTTGAGGTTTCTAGCTCTCTCTCCCTCTCCCTTCCTCTCTGAAATCAATAAAGATACATTAAAAAAAAAAAAAAAGGAAGGACTTCAATGCAGAACTACATTGGAAGCATATCATGGGCCAGAACACTGCAGAGTATGAGTGATCTAATGGAAAAAGATGAAGAAACAGTTCTCTCAATACATAAAGAACAATGTAATTCTAGACATGGTGGAGGAGATGTATAAGAAAGCTCATGCTGTGCCCTGGCTGGTTAGGCTCAGTGGATAGAGCGTCAGCCTGCGGACTGAAGGGTCCTGGGTTCAATTACAGTCAAGGGCACATGCCCGGGTTGTGGGCTTGGTCCCCAGTAGGGGGCGTGCAGGAGGCAGCCAATCAATGATTCTCTCTCATCATTGATGTTTCTATCTCTCTATCCCTCTTCCTTCCTCTCTGAAATCAATATATATATATATATATATATATATATATATATATATATATACACACACACACACACACACACACACACACACATTTTTTTAAAAAATATATTTTATTGATTTCTTACAGAGAGGAAGGGAGAGAGACAGAGAGTCAGAAACATCGATGAGAGAGAAACATCGATCAGCTGCCTCCTGCACACCCTCCTACTGCGGATGTGCCCACAACCCAGGTACATGCCCTTGACCGGAATCGAACCTGGGACCTTTCAGTCCGCAGGCTGACGCTCTATCCACTGAGCCAAACCAGTCAGGGCAATAAAAATATATTTTTTTTTTTTAAAAAAAAGGAAACTCATGCTGCTATATGAGATAATCCAGTCTATGAGAAGAAGCCTAAGAAAGAAGTTAAAAAGAAGAGGTGGAACCATCTCAAAATGTCTCTTGCCCAGAATAAAGATCGGGTAGCTCAGAAGAAAGCAAGCTTCCTCAGAGCTCAGGAATGGGCTGCTGAGAGCTAATAAACCAAACCACAATTTTTTATGAAGATTTTTCAGAGAGACAATAAACTTATTGGACAAGCAACTAAAATAAAAAGAATCAAAACTCCAAAGATAACACATGTGAAAAAATAAAGGTCCTTGAATTGCTACACAAAGTGGCAAGTGAAAACATAATGTGTTAATATTGCCAACTGATTACCTCCATTCTCATAGTTCATTAATAGTTCCTGAAGGTTTGCATGCTACTGAATGAAGAAAATTAGGATAGTGGTCCTAGTTGTTAACTCACTGCCTCCAAGTTTAAGAAATAGAGTTGCTAGAAGAAAGCTGGAGTAGAAGGGAAAGAACTTCTGTAGATCCATTTAGCAGATGAGGATAAGTAAATTATTCACACAGCTAATAGGTGATTCAGATCTGAAAGGGTGTGATTTTAGATTACATAGTCAGGACTCTTTCATCTGTTTCCTGTTTTGAGAATAGGCAACCACGCCGAAACCGGTTTGGCTCCGTGGATAGAGCGTCGGCCTGCGGACTGAGGGGTCCCGGGTTCGATTCCGGTCAAGGGCATGTACCTTGGTTGCGGGCACATCCCCAGTAGGAGATGTGCAGGAGGCGGCTGATCGATGTTTCTCTCCCATCGATGTTTCTAACTCTCTATCTCTCTCTCTCCCTTCCTCTCTGTGAAAAATCAATAAAATATATTAAAAAAAAAAAAAAAAAAAAGAATAGACAACCTGAAGCTGGGCCTGCAGAGTGAGGAGGTTAACATCAGAACAAACTCTCCAGGACTCAGAAGCAGAAAGAACTTTCTCCAAACAACTCCCCATTGATTGCAACGGTTTTTGAGAATCTGAAGCCTGGAAAAGTCAGAATTATTTGCCTTTTCACAGCTAAGTCTCATGCTCTCTAGAATGAAACTGAACTGTAACACAGCTGCTGGCGAGACGCTAATCCATCCCAGAGCATGCTGGAGCTGGACCACCCTTCAGAGATGAGGGATGGAGACTAGAGCTGTGTCTCTACCCCCACCAGTAACTGGAAGCAAGGTGTCTCTGGGAAGGTGATGTAACTTCCGCTGAGGGCAATTCTGGGGGAGAAACTGTGAGCCCACAGCAGCCAAGAGCAGGGAGTGGTTAAGGAAATGAGTGCCTCAGTCCTGCTGGGGGTCTGGGCGGCACTCCACAGCATCCTCTACAGACAGTAAATTCTCTGGTCAATCTTCCCAAAACATTACTTCTGAGCTAACATTGCAGCAAACAACGAGTTAGTATTTTCTGCTCCCACATTACCCTGAACTACAGATTTTTTGTATTGTCATCAATGTGTGTTATTAGACAATTCAAAGGTCCGATGTCCTCTGTAAAAACTGAAAAACCTAACAAAACAAAACAAAAGTTTCTGAATGAAGGTCACTACCTCTCCAAGTAGATAAGTGATCCAAGGAAGTACACTGAAGTCAGGTTCAGATTCTCCTTAGAAATTCTCTTCCTTTCCAAAGCATACACAAATGAGAGCAATAGGTCCTGAAATTCCCACATTTTCTTTACCATGATTACCTGTTTGGCTGCAATTTCTTCATCTCGTCCATCTCCAATCACTACATACGTGACTTTCTTTCCAAACCTTGACACAATTCTCTCAAAGCAGCTCTCTTTACCTGATGAGAGAAAGCAATTTCCTATTAGGACATCCTGTCCTACCTTTTTTTCAACAGCAAAGAAAAGGCTGCTGCTAGGTTCACCAGCCTGTGCACAGACAAAGTGAGTGGCAGCCCCTGAAGTTTGCTTGGTGAGGAGTAGCGGTGGCAGCTAGAGATCCCAGTAGACTCTCTGCATCTATAAATGGGAGGCTAAGTGGCCTAGGCAGGGTGAGAACTGTGAGCACCACTTCCCTTTTCCACATCTCCTGTACTCGACAGCTTACAAAGCAGTTTTCAAATTATTCCTTACTTAATTCTCAAAATAATCCAGTGAGATAGGTACCGTACCCTCTTTTAACAGATGAAATGGGACTAGTGACTTGCCCAGATCCAAACAAGTTTACAGCTAGACTTTGGGCTCCTGATTCCAAGTCTAGGCTCTGGACATTGTGAAAGGATATTTTTTGAGGGGAAACGTGGGAACATAAGGCCTCGATTTCTTGTTAGTAATAAGAAACAGACAACAGCCATTTCCCTACAATTTTTTATTTTCCAGAAACAGTCCTGGGCATGAACGAACCTTATGGCTTTCAGTAGGGGAGGAACCCCAGAGTACCAATAAATATGGCAGCAACATTTGTCATATCTGGAATTTCCTCACTATTATATTTTGTAACTGCAACTGAGATACTATATCACTGACCTTAACCTTGGGGAAATGGGTGTTTCAATACATTGCAGACTATTTTTAGATATATGGTAATAAAAATTCAAATCCCATTTGGAACCTACACATAAAACATGCACAGGTGATACTGCTTTTTATTTGCAGAAATAAATAAAAAGGAAATTGTTTTCTTTCCTTTTTCTTTGCCATCTCTTATACTTTATTTCCCTGCTCTGCCACCTTCTTCAGTTAAGTGATTTTTCTATTATACTATATTGTAGTGCTCTCTATGCAAAAAAGAAATCTGAAATGAGGTAAAAGTAGATTTCTAAACTAGATATTATGTCCTTTCAAATATTATAAAGGAAAAGAACAAAGTCCCACAGATCTGGATTTGAATCCTGTTTATGTAACTTACTATCTGTGAAGTCTTGTGCAAGCTACATAACTGTTAAGCCTGAATTGCCTCATCAGTAATATCAGAAGACTGTTGTGAGGAGATATATATAGATAGATAGATAGGTAGATAGATAGATAGGTAGATAGATAGATAGATAGATAGATAAATATAGATATAGATATATAGATATATAGATATATAGAGATATAGAAATAGATATATGTCTAACAGAGGAACTGGTAAATAATAAGTACATCATAGTAGGAAATATTATTGTAAGGCAAGTGATAAGAAACTGAATAGAAACCATACCAATTTTGGTAGCACTATAGATGTTTTCAATAGGAAATATTTCTCCAAGCCCATATAGGAGAACCTTGGCCAGAGCTGGAACCAGCTGGGTTGTAGTGATCAGAACATTCACACAATTCTTCCTAGAAGGGAGAAATAAGGAGAGAAAAGAAAAGGGTGAACCAATCCAGGATGTGACCTTTAGATCTAACCATTAAAAATTAACCTTAAAGGGCCTGGTAATGATATTTGTTCAATGTCAATGTTCAGTTATCGTTCTAATTATCTCAGGTTTACTTACTTTCCATATTAAAGGACAGAGATTCTATAGTGGGCACAGAGCAGCAACTTGATTCTTGCCTCATCTCCCTCTGATAATTCGCTCACTGCACTTGTTAGCAATTACCACCAACCCATGTCATTGATACTACTCTCTAGGAAACAAATGACAGACTTTCAGTTACAGTGCTATTTCATACGAATGCAACCCAGTTCTTAATGAGATATGATTTAAGTCTTCTCTGTTCTTCATGTAATAGCAACATAGATTCTAGAAAACACATTAATTTCACAGGTCCTTTACAAACTTCACTGAATAACTTGTGTCAGTTTTAATGTTTGCTCTATTAGATTATGGGTCTGGAATTCCTGTTTTGAGGAAGAAATCAGTAAGAGATTTAGATACAATCATGACTGTATTTATTTCCCATTATAAGCTTTAAACTGAAATCTCCTTAATCTGCTTAATGTATCCTTTTCTTTTGAGTCCTGCCTTCCTGAGTAAGTTTTGGTACATTTTTTTGAAGCTTCCTGTACTTAGGATATTTGAGATATGTCTCCTTTATGTATCCTTTGATGTCACCAGGCCCAACTCCTGGGTGGAGATTATCATTTACTGAGTTTTAATTTTGTGAGCAAAAAGTAAGGGGAAGCCCTGGTTGTGTGGCTTCGTTTATTGAGCATTGTCCCATGCACCAAGAGGTCACCAGTTTGATTCCTGGTCAAGGCACATGCCTGGGTTGCTGGCTGGATCCCCAGTGAGGGCATGCAGGAGCAGCCGATCAATGTTTCTCTCTCTTTCTCTCAAATCGATAAAAAAATATTTAAAAAAAAGAAAGGGAAAGAAAAGGGCTTTCATATATATTCTCTTAAAACTCTAAGGTGTGTCATTAGTATAAAACGGCCCTGCCTCCCACTAACCTACTACACACTTCCTTGCTCCACTTAAACTCCTCTCTCCCCACCCCACATCCTATTTTGGGAATGGCCTGTCCTAAGCTGGTGTAGGAAAGAGTGTGTCTCTGAGAGGATGAGACTGAAGGAACCACTTTCACACCTGGACTTGATGAGAAGTAAGGACTTCAGTGCAGTACCTAACCAGGAATCTGTTAACACTTCAATTTCTGCTCTTAGTCTCTGCAGTGCTTCCTTTCTCTGGGGACTGAGAAGGCCTGTGGGAATAAAAGCAGACACATGTATCATCTGACAACACATCCTTGTTGACATCCACGAAACAAGTTCTAGAATTCAATTGAGAAATAGTGTGTCATTAAAATTTCTACTGAACTAATACAGTTCTCTTCTTAGTAAAACGCTAGAGTAGTCTGCTCAAAATATCGTTTTCACTTTCTTCATCAGAATGTTTGCTACCAGGCACAAGAAAACCAGCTGAGGAAACAATATGATTAGATTCTGACACAAGCTCTTTCATCATGAATCAGCAGCAGAATCTGCAGACTGGTGGACCGTTCCCTGAGTAGCACTGATTTAGACATGGGCTCAAGAACCAAAGGGGAAAAATAAGTGTTAGAGCTGAAAGAAGAGTCTGCACCATTCCAATCTCTTTCTAAAGAAACCAGAACCCAGGGAGGAAAGGGATGCTAAGATTACACAGACAGTTAGTGGCTTTTGGTCTCAAAAGTCTTTCTACTGCCTCTCCTGGTGACTGTGCTTTTCCTTTACCCCTTTCAGAAGACATCAACCTGAGATTCCAGGCTGAAAGACCACCTCTATGAATGTCATGTACTTGTACTGTATTTACTTCTGAAACAACTCCAGCGAGAAAGAGACCAAGACACTGTTTAAGATCAGATAATTAAGCATAACAAAACAGAATTCATCTGATGAGAGCATGTTATCAGACACTTGAGTTATAATATTCAAATAATAAATCTGGCCCTGAATTTTCTATAGTGAAGAGAAATCCTGTAATCTATTACCAATATTCCATAAAAATAGAAGGCATTTCTATGAGGACTAGAACTGCGTATAATTTGTTTTCAGATTGATGGTTTCACAATGTAAGCCTAGAATTAGATGACTTTCAATGTTTCTAATAAAACAAAACCAATATCTCTATGGCATGTATGACATAAACATATATGTCTTTTACTTAACTAATATTATGATGTGGCACTTTGACAATTCAAAATTTTTACAAAATACAGGTGGATATTCTTATAGAGGGTTATATTACTTTCTATAGCAAATTAGGTCCAGGTATTTACTAGGCAAAAAAAATAATCAGACACTTAAATTTGACTCCCAAAGCCCAGATGCCTGTGATTTTTACCTGGTATTGAAAGACTGTAACAGAAATGAACTAAATTGACTTTCAAAGTCCTATTTTTACTTTCTGCAGCACAGAAAGCGGTAGCATGGTATTGTAGGAGGATTCTCTTGACCTAGGGTAATATGCCTTTAGGCAGTGCAGGAAATCCTTGAAACTTCATGCAACATTTTATGTGTATGTAAAAGTTTGAGGGTGATGGTTTACAATTTTAAATATTTTCTCATAATGGTATATCACTAGAAAAAGAACTGCATGAATGTAAAGTGGACCAAGAATTCAGGGATGTGGATTCTAGCTGTGGTAGATAATTAACTTGCTATGGTATCTGCCCTTGTTACTTTAAAGATGGACAGCAATTTTCTCAATAGATATCTAATGTCTCTTCTAATTTGGACAATCTATCACTAATTAATCCCAAATAATAGAATTCAGGCCTGGTGGCACCTGACATGAGATATTTCTAGGTAGAAAGAATTTCCAAGGTCCTTCAAATCACAACACATAGATACTGCCACCCTATACTCCTGGACCTAGTTTTCCATAAACTATAAACCAACCTAGTGACTTGTTATATATGACTTGTCCTGATATATTAGTTAAAAAACAATAAGGCAACCTATTAACTAGTACTGACAGTTTTGACTCCAGAATAAAATACGTCATCAAATATAATTAATGGAACATATTTCCTTTAAAAAGGCATTTGTCTAAAAAAGAACAAGAGAGCTTTGAACTTATGCTAAGAGAAGCCCATCAGAAATGCAGAGCTTCCTCCCCAAAGGATTTTAATCAAACCTCCATGTTTTAAAATATAGAATTAAAATGTTACTGTGGCACAAATTCATAAACAGTTGTCAGAGAGTTCTAAGGAATCCCTGGACAAGAAAGCAGTAAATCAGAAAGAAAGAGAAAATCAGACTGATTGTATGCCACACTTACCACCCACGTTGCTTTTATGCTTATCATAGATTTCTCTCACTTTTCGGTAACGGAAAGCCAGTTTTCTCATCCAGTCCACACCTCCCTGTACACCCACAGAGGAACCATGGCTGCCACCGCCTCCTGAGCCACTGAAACCATCTGTTGAGAAACTATAGTTGCTGTAGAGAGAGAGGATAATGAAAATTAAAATCTATACTGCATGGGGTTTTTGGATGAATGCCACTTGGGATTCTCTGTCCTATTCCTAGCACCTGACACCAAGACTAAGTGCTTTGAGAATCTTTTCTCTAATCTCTATGTCTCAGAGTCTATCTTTCACTATTCCTCTATATCATCCCTATTACATCTATCAAAAAAAGGATGAAGACTAGGGAAAGAGAGGTAGGAACAAGCACCAGCATCCCACAGAGGTTAGCTTGAAATGAAGCATCCTTTCATTAATGACAGAATATCTTACAGTGAAAAAAAAACAGAATATAAAACTTTTGTGTATGTATATATAAAATGATTGAAACTATGTAAAGAAAAAAAGAAAAAAATTAATGGGCCCTAGCTAGTTTTGCTCAGTGGGTAGAGCACTGGCCTGAGGACTGAAGGATCCCGAGTTCGAGTTCGATCAAGGGCACATGCCCAGGTTGCGAGCTTGATCCCCAGTGTGGGGCATGCAGGAGGCGGCCGATCAATGATTCTCTCTCATCATTGATGTTTCTCTCTCCCTCTCTGAAATCAATAAAAATATTAAAAAATAGGGAGCTGAAGGCATGCAGGGCCAGAGACACTGGAGAAGCCGGAGACATGGGATGCGGAGCTGCATGGAAGCAGTGAGTAATAGCTCTTTGAATCTGCAATAAAAAATGGCCTCCAATAAAACTACATTGCAAAAAATGGGAAAGAAACAGATGGAAAGAGTAAAAAAGTTAAAGAGGCAGAGCCTGAAGAATTTGTAGTGGAAAAGTATTGGATTGATGTGTAGTGAATGGGAAGGTGGAGTATTTCCTGAAGTGGAAAGGAGTCACAGATGCTGATAATACTTGGGGACCTGAAGAAAATTTAGATTGTTGAGTTAATTAAAGCATCTCTTAATTCTCAAAAAGCTGGTAAAGAAAAAGATGGTACAAAAAGAAAGTTTTTATCTGACAGTGAATCTGATGATAGCAAACACAGAAGAAAAGAGATGCTGCTGATAAACCAAGAGGCTCTGCCAGAGGTCTTGATCCTGAACAAATAATCGGTGCCACTGACAGCAGTGGAGTTAATGTTTCTCATGAAATGGAAAGATTCAGATGAAGCTGATCTGGTGCTGGCAAGAGGCAAATATGAAGTGTCCTCAAATTGCAATTGCTTTCTATGAAGAAAGACTAACTTGGCATTCTTATCCAGAAGACGAATCCCAACTATTTGTTTCCATTCCTTTTTATATCTGTATATATAAAAGCCTAAGCGACTGTCCGACCGTTAGCTATGACGCGCACTGACCACCAGGGAGCAGATGCTCAATGCACTGTCATGGAAACATGGAACAGACTGATGAATCCCAGAGGAGAGTGGGGAGGGGGAGGGCAGGAAGAGATTAACCAAAGATCTTATATGCATACTAGAGGCCAGGCACACCCTTGATCTGCATGTTTTCTCTTTACTCCAACTCATTCCTTACATGTTGGCTCAGTCTCAGTATTTGGGGTACTGGTTCAACAAAAGCCAGGAAAAATAACAGCTTTGTAGTAAACAGAATGTTACTCAAGTGTATATTGTTCACTTTATTGTAAATACTGGTAAACAGTGGTTAATATTTTTATATTCCTTTGTGAAAAAAATATTTAAAAAATATATAAAATAATGGAAGGTAATAACACAAAATATTAATAATAGTAAGATAATAGGGATGTTCTCTTTCAGTGATCTGTTGGCTAGTTTATTAAGCTCATAGTTCATTGGTGGCTTTAAATTATGCCCACAGATTCTTCAATGTCCCTCTCCTCTAACTCCGCTCCTTTGGGTATGTAATGTATTGGAGTGTAAGCAGAACGTGGTGTTAGACTTCAGAGACTAGACTTCTCTTGTTCTCTCCTGGAGCACTTGCTCTGAAGGAAGCCAGCTGTCACTTGGGAACACTCAAACTGCCCCGTGCAGAGGCACACAGTGAGAAACTGAGGTCTCCTATTATCAGCCACAGGCAAGAGGCTGAAATCAGGTTCCGCCTCTAATAAAACCTTCAGATAAATTTAGCTCCTGCCAATGTCTTGATTTCAATCTAAGAGACCCTAATTCGGAACTACCTAGCTAAGTCACTTTCAAATTTCTGACTTACAGAAACTATGAGATGATAAATGTTTACTCCCTCTGTCCCATAATAATAGTAGCAAGTGAATATTTAAATGGGAATTATTGGCGAATGCAGCTGTAAGTTATGTTGTAGTGCAAAATTGCGAAGCCTTCGATCAAAATCAATGTTTCATGACATCTGCCATTTGTTTTGACATATCTTTCAACTTTTAGGTTAATCTAATTATTATGAATTATAACTATTTTTCTAATTTCATCCGCTGATCGAAATTGATTGTTTTATTTCAGTTGAATATCAACCTATTGTAAAAGTAAGATGAAAAAAAGAGTTTTCAAGCAAAGATCGAGTTGCAATTGTCCAGTTCTTGATGCATCAAAAGAAAAAGGAAAAGTTGCAGAAAGGTGCAATTACATTAGCTGCAAAACAATTTAAGTGCAACAGAATGACCATATCAAGAATTTGGAAATGTGCTTCCGAAAATAATTGTCAAGGAGAATCTTATGCTAATGTTGATTCTTTGAAAAAACAAAACTGTGGACGTAAATGCAAAGATTATGGAGAAAACTTGAAAAACTTAGACATATTCCTCTTAGCAGAAGAGGCACCATATTAGCCTTTGATAATATTTCTCCCGAAATACTGGATAATACGTTTCTGCCACTTCAACAAGTTATGCTGGAAGCAATGAAGAACGATGGTTCCAATAATTTTAAGCTCACGCATATAGAGAAAGCAAAGCTTCGCAGCCAAGGGATCCTACCTACAAGTTTAAAACGTAGTAACGAAATTATTGAAAAATCCAGAAACTATCTGAACACTCAAAATAAAAATTAGGAGTACTATTTTTTTTAAAAAATATATTTTATTAATTTTTTACAGAGAGATAGAGAGATAGAGAGTTAGAAACATCGATGAGAGAGAAACATCGATCAGCTGCCTCCTGCACATCTCCTACTGGGGACATGCCCGCAACCCAGGTACATGCCCTTGACCGGAATCGAACCTGGGACCTTTCAGTCCGCAGGCCGACGCTCTATCCACTGAGCCAAACCGGTTTCGGCAGGAGTACTATTTTTAATTTATTGTTTAATCTAGTTTTTTGATAATAAATGTTGCATTCTATATTTATTTTCTTTTGCTACTATTATTATGGAACAAATTACATCCATCAACTGCTACTATTATTATGGGACAGAAGGAGTATTATTTTAAGGTACTAAGTTTGGGATAATTTGTTATACAATAGATAACTGATATAGGTTTACCTTGGAGATATTATGGGTTCGGTTCCAGACCACCATAATAAAGCAAATATTGCAATAAAGCAAGACTGGTGGAGGAAACAAATGATTTTCTTTGTTTTCCTCTAAGCCTAGATTATGTCTTATGGTGTATTAGTATTTAAGGCATCGTTGTTTTTATCACCTTAAGTCTTGGCCATTGTCATCAGAAGCCACATCTTCCACATGCACCTGGTCACACTCCTGTTAAAAGACAAAACCATACACTATTTCAGTCTGGCCAGTAGAAGTGCTAGTACCAACATGACATATTGTAAAAACACCACAAACAATGGTGGAATGATGAAATACCTCATGGCCTCTCTTGGAGGATCACTCTCACCCCCCTTGCTGTCCATCTTCTTTTAAGGCCTAATTCATACAGCACAGTCTTCATGAAACCTTAACCAAGCCAACCCTCACTTATGCTCTTATCTCTATAGTTCATTTTTCCAACAGCTCCTAGATATGAGCACAAACTCCCTTACATTGTCAGGTGTGTCCATGTTCTATACTAGATTGAAAGTTCTATTACACTGTAGGCCTCTTACAACACGACCCCTATCTTCCATCTCTTTTGTACTCCTCTGGTCTAGTCCAGTGACCTTATGCAGCATGTACCCAATAAATTCTTGCAGAAGAAACAGATGTTGGTAGAGTGTAGTATCACAACTGAAAGTGACTGAAACAGAAATTTATAAATTCAAATCTGGTACACAGAAGAGTTCATCTAAGTCAATCTCCTCATGTTATAAAAGTGAGGTAAAATGATTTACCCAAGTGAGTGGTAGAAAGAATCTAGAAAGAGCCTTATAATTCAGATTCAAGGTTCTTTCCACCAAACCCATTAGTACTGGCATAAAATGCCACCCACTGCCTAACTCTAACAGATTTACTCCTCTGACATCACCTAGGGTGGTATTGTAATGTCCACCTGCATCAGAATCCTCTGGGGAAGTTTTTAAAAAATGCATATTTGGGTCCACCCCAGAACTACTTGAATAGAATTTCTGGGAGTGAAGTCCTAGAATCTTCATTTTTAACAAGGTCCCCAGGTGATTCTTATGCCCCCTAAAGTTGATAACCACTGACCTCAGGGGCAGGAACACATTCAGGTCAAATTCTTCACAGAACTTTCAGTCCTGAGTGAGGACTATGTCTAGAAAATTATTACAAATACAATTTGGCAATAATTACTGGCAGATAATAAGTTTTCAACAAATGTTTGCTGAATAACTCTGATGTCCTAACTTCTCAACATGTGAAGTTGAGGAAAGATTAAAGCACCGTGGAGCTTAGACTAAAGTATTAGAGTTTAGAGCCTTATTAATTTAATTTGTTGGAGAATTGTCTGTTAAGTAGAACTGGATTATATTTGAAAAGGAATAGAATTATTTCATGTTTATAAAATGCTATCTTAATTTACTTTAAAATTTTCACTATTTTTAAAACTAGGTAATACATTTGGTTTACAGTTCAAAATTCAAAAGGATATTAAGTGACAAATCTGCTCCTTCCTACTTCCGTGTCCCAGTAATGCATCCTCCTCCCCAGATAGAACAACTTTTAATAGTTTCTTGTGTAGAATAACTGCTTCACTGAGGCCCAAAGGTGGGAAGATAACTTTCCTAACTTGGGACTCACACTCTGGTCTTCTGGCTTCCAGGTCTGTGTTCTTTCCACTAAACCATATTTACCTCAAAGGCTAACTAAAATGTCAAAGCCAAAAAATTCACCAAGAAGCTCTCAGTGTTTCTTGGTTTTCCTTCCACTTAACTATACAGCGACTCTGGATGTCAAGGCTAACTCATCCATGGAAAATCAGCATGTATAAAATAAAATGAATTACAGCTGTTACTTGTAGATCTGACAAATCTAGAGATTCTTTTAAGGAGGTAAAATTGAGAAACCAAGATGACGGCATAAGTAAACACCAGAAATTGCTGCCTCACAAAACCACTTCAGAAATAAAACTAAAAGACAAAACAGACATCATCCAGAACCACAGGAAGGCTGGCTGAGTGGAAATTCTACAACTAGAAGGAAAGAAAAAAAGCACACTGAGACTCAGAGGAGGTGCGGTGTGGAAGTAAAGTGCAGAGGTATGGAGGCGCAAGTGGAAAAGGCTGGCAACTAAGAATGCGGTTGTCTCTTTTAATCGGGAGGGAGTCTCAAGCTCCTGACTGCTCTGAACTCCAGTTCCGGGCAAGTCTCTGGGGACCCAGACTCATACAGGGAGAAACTGGACTGTCTGGCATTGGTCGGAACTCAAGGGCGGCTTTCTCTCAGAGGTGCTTGTAGCGATTACTGCTAGACACTGAGACCCGGGGCCTCTTAGGGCAGGGCTGAGGATCAGCCATATCTGTTTGCTCCGCCCTGTTGATTCCCTGAGATCCCGCCCCACCCAAGCTGGAGCAGAGGCTTTTGCATATGAATGGGCTGGCCCTCTGAGATCTAAAATTACCTACAAATTACAGCTGGGTCGGAGAGAACCAGAACATCCAAAAGAAGGCTCAAGGCCCCATAGCAGCTTGCATTGCTTCACAGCTGGGCCTCATCTGGGCAACTCCAAACCCCAAACAAGGAAGAAGAATCTGCAGATCTCTCCGTAGTTCCTGCTGGGTAGCCTCAGGCAGAGGCTAAATTAGCACCTCCTTAGAGATCCAAGAGCCAGTGTACCCAGTGGTCAGAGTGGGACCATCCAGATTACAACTCCTCAGATCCATAAGGGACACACTCAGGGGGCAGACTCAGTGAGCACCAAAGCCCCACTGAAGCAAGTCTTCCCCCGGAAGGGTGTCTTCAGCACAGAAGTTCTCCCGCTGCAGACACAGCTGATTCTCACAGACAATTGGCCTGGAGGTCAACTCCTCCCAGTGATAATTACAATAATAAAGGCTTAACTACAACAAGGCACACAGCCCACAAAGGGGTGCACCAAGAGTGTCCACCTCAGGTAATTGGGGAGGCTGAGCCACTGGGCCCTATAAGACACCTAGCACACAAAACCACTCTACCAACACAGGGAAGCATAAAAAATTCAGAGACAAAGAAACAGATCACAAATGACAGAAATGGAGGAAAGCAAACTACTGGATATAGAGTTCAAAACCACGGTTATAAGGTTTTTCAAGAATTCTCTAGAAACCACCGATAAATTTAGTGAGACCCTCAAGGATATGAAAAAGGACCAACTAGAAATTAAGCATACACTGACTGAAATAAAGAATAATATACAGAGATCCAACAGCAGACAAGAGGATCCCAAGAATCAAGTCAAAGATTTGAAATACAAAGAAGTAAAAAACACCCAACTGGAAAAGCAAAAAGAAAAAAGAATCCAAAAATATCAAGATAGTGTAAGGAGCCTCTGGGACAGCTTCAAGCGTCCCAACATCCGAATTATAGGGGTGCCAGAAGAAGAGAGAGAGCAAGATATTGAAAACCTATTTGAAGAAATAGTGACAGAAAACTTACCCTACCTGGTGAAAGAAATAGACTTACAAGTCCAGGAAGCGCAGAGAACCCCAAACAAAAAGAACCCAAAGAGGACCACACACACCAAGACACATCATAATTAAAATGCCAAGGGCAAAAGACAAAGAGAGAATCTTAAAAGCAGCAAGAGAAAAAAAGTCAGTTACCTACAAGGCAGTACCCATACAACTGTCAGCTGATTTCTCAATAGAAACTATGCAGGCCAGAAGGGAGTGGCAAGAAATATTCAAAGTGATGAATAGCAGGAACCTACAACCAAGATTACTTTATCCAGCAAAGCTATCATTCAGAATTGAAGGTCAGATAAAGAGCTTTACTGATAAGAAAAAGCTAAAGGAGTTCATCACCACCAAACCAGTATTATATGAAATGCTGAAAGGTATTCTTTAAGAAGAGGAAGAAGAAAAAGGTAAAGATAAAAATTACGAACAACAAATACATATCTGTCAACAAGTGAATCTAAAAATCAAGTGAATAAAAAATCTGATGAACAGAGTAAACCAGTGAATATAATAGAATCAGGGGCATAGAAAGGGAGTGGACTGACAATTCTCAGGGGGGAAAGGGGTGTGGGGGATGTGGAAAGAGACTGGACAAAAATCGTACACCTATGGATGAGGACAGTGGGGGGGGGGTGGGTAAGGGCAGAGAGTGGGGTAGGAACTGGGTGGAGAGGAGCTATGGGGGAAAAAAAGAGGAACAGCTGTAATAATCTGAACAATAAAGATTTATTTAAAAAAAAAAGAAGGTAAAATTGAAGAATAGTCAAATACACTTAAGACCACAAATAATTGCCTGGCCAGTGTGGCTCAGTGGTTGAGTGTCAACCTATGAACCAGTATGCCAGGGTTCAATTCCCGGTCAGGGCACATGGTTGTGGACTCAATCCCCCAGTGGGAAGTGACTGGGAGGTGGCTGATCAATGATTTTCTCTCATCATTGATGTTTCTATCTCTCCCTTCCTCTCTGAAGTCAATAAAAATATATATTAAAAAAAAGAGCACAAAAACAAGTCAAACCCACCTTATATATTATTTAATATATATGAATAAATTGAAATTTTGGTATCTGTGTTTTGCCTAATGGGTTGGCAAAACAGAGCTAGATCACTTCCACAAAAACAATAAAATTTTTGAGCCAATACAATTGAGGGATAGAACCAAGGCTGTGATGACTTAGCCAAGGCACTATTTCTACAAGACTATATAAATCTAAGTAACCCGCTGGCCTCTCCATACCCACCCTAACCACATATCCTCTAACTAAATAAGCACTAAATAGTTACTGAACAATATGTTTCATTGAAGCACAGAAACAATTTAAAATGCTTACCTCTAAGTCATTGAAAAATAGGTGTGTATCAGCCACTTCAAAAATCATTTCTTCCATAGTTAAACCTGAGCCAATCACTACTGTTGGGTCCTAGAATACAATAAGAGAAAAATTGCTTGACTTGATACTCACAGATCTGGTTCTGATCCTTAAATATTTAAAAATTATTTGGGTCAAGGCCAGAACAACACAGACCCACAATAGTGCTTCCAACTATTACTGATGCAATTTCATTCAGTTTTAAGAATCTGGAATTGTGAAAAGTTAAAAATTTCAAGACTTTCGTTTCTAGAAGACCAAACCCACTTAAAAACAACAATAACAAAAACAACCTTGTCGTCCCGTGCACCGTAAGGTTGATGGTTTGATTCCCGGTCAGGGCATATGCCCAGTTGGCAAACTCAATGCCCTGTAGGGGACATGCAGGAGGTAGCCAATCTATGTGTTGCTCTCACATCAATGTTTCCCTCTCCCTCTCCTTGCATCTCTCTCTAAAACTCAATAAAAATATTTAAAAAAAACACACAACACTTGAATTTTTTTGGGGGGAAATTCTGTTTCAGGAGAAACTCTAACTATTGCTAAAATATTAATATTGTAACACCCATTATCTTCCCTACGCACACACACAGTATAATACCAGAAATCAGCTATCTGACAATCTCAACAACCAGGAAATAAGTAAACAAAGGCCGAAGAGTCATAATATTTGCAGGAAAAGCAATGCAGTTAGCTTACCCTCATCTTCAACCCCCAATGCACTTAGTTTTAAAATGAACAACCAGGTCTTCATTTAGAGGCTGTATGCTCTTATTTTATTTATTTATTTATGGTATAAACAGCCTAGTTACGGTATTTAGCATAGGAGCTTGCCAGTCTATATACTAAATGTCTGTGGAAATTACTCCTAACACAAACATTTGTGACAATAAGGAATATATGGTAATAGTGAGAGAGCAAAAGAGGCAGATATTTTTATAAAATGTATTTATAATACAGAAAAATAGGTGCCTGAAGGTAGTTTAGTGTAGAAATATATAGGCAATAGCTCAAAAACAGCTCATCCCTCTATGAAAACTGATGTTTAGATTAATGACAAAACAAGTTAAATTCTGCTTGGTATATTTAATTTAAGAAGGTAAGTACTCTCTTTTAGAAAGATACTTTATATTTTATCTGTAATTTGAACTAGGTAAATGAAATGTACAGTTTAGGTTGTTAAAAGACACTTAAGGGATCATAGATTGGTCTTTGGAACATATAATCCCGAGACTCCACTCTGTTTTGAGCATCATTCCCATACTTCATTTATACAAAATACCACTCTCAAAGAACTTCAGCTTTCACCACTTACCTCAGGTCTAGTCTCTAGCTTTATCATCAACTCTGCCTGACCATGCAGCCTGCCTGGTAAAAGCTACCAGGGGAAATTTAACATGGAAAGGCCCAGGGTAAGGTGGAGGTAGCAGAGAAAGTGATTTTGGTTACCTGCTCTTATAGCAGAAAAGGGATGGTTACAACAAAGGAAGAAAGACTCAAATTACCTTTCCATACTTCTGGGCATAGGATCCAGTAAGAAGGGAGTGAAAGATGATGATAGTTTCATCCAAGTCCCACAGAAATACCCGCTGAGGGAGGAAAATATGAAAAATAATGAGTGAACATCTTTTCTAATCACAATGGGATAAAGCAAGAAATTAATGGAAAACTGGAAAATTCACAAATACGTGAAAATTAAACAACACAATTTTAAATAATCAAGGATGGAAGAGGAAATCACAAGTGAAATTAGAAAATTAGAAATTAGAAATTAGAAAATACCTTGAAATGAATGAAAATAAAAACACAACAACAAAAAAATTTGTAGTATGCAGCAAAAGCAGTGCTAAAAAGGAGATTTACAGCTGTAAATGCATAACTTAAAAAAGATCTCAATTAATAAATAACCTGACTGTACAATTTAAAAAACTAGAAAAAGCCAGCAGAAAGAAGGAAATAATAAAAGTTAGAATGGAGATAAATAAAGCATAGAATAGAAAAATAATCAAGGAAAATCAACAAAACTAAAAGCTAGTTCTTTAAAAAGATCTATAAGCCCTAGCTAGTTTGGCTCCGTGGATAGAGCGTCAGCCTGCAGACTGAAGAGTCCCACGTTCGATTCTAGTCAAGGGCACATGCCCCCTAGTAGGGGGCATGCAGGAGGCAGTCAATCAATGATTCTCTCATCATTGATGTTTCTCTCTCTCCCTCCCTCTCCCTTCCTCTCTGAAATCAATCAAAATATATTGTAAAAAATAAAAATCTATAAAATTGACAACTTTTTAGACTAAGAAAAAGAAAACTCAAATGACTAAAATCAGAAATGAACATTATTACTAATTTTAGACTTTAGAAATAAAAAGGATTATAAGAGAACACTATGGACAGCTGTACACCAACAAATAACCTAGGTGAAATGAACAAATTTCTAAAAAAAACACTAAGTGCCAAATGACTCAAGAAGAAATAGAAATTCTGAATAGACCTTTAACTGGTAAGATGATTGGATCAGTAATCAAAAACATCCCAAGGAAGAAAAGCCTAGGACAAGATGGTTATCCTGGTAAATTCTACCAAACATTTAAAGAAGTCGTCTTAAGCTATTCCAAAACGTTGAAGAAGAGGGAACATTTCTTAACTCACTCTATGAAGCCAGCATTACCCTGATACCATCAAGAGAGTAAAAAGACAATCCACAGAATGGGAGAAAATATTTGTATATCATATATCTGACAAAGGATTAATATCTAGAATATATAAAAAATTCCTAAAACTCAATAAAAAACAAATTTAAAACTCAGTTTAAAAATGGTAAGTACCCTGACTGGGTGGCTCAGTTGGTTGGAGTGTCATCAAATACAGAAAAAAGGTTGTGGATTTGATTTCTAGTCAGGGTACCTATGGGAGACAACTAATCGAGGATTTTCATTTTCTCTCTTTCCTCTCTTCTCTCTCTCTCTCTCTCTCTCTCTCTCTCTCTCTCTCTCTCTCTCTCTCTCTCTCTCTCTCTCCTTCCCCTCTTTCTAAAATCAATGAACAGCCTGGCTGGTGTGGCTCTGTGGATGATCATCGACATATGAATCAGGAGATCAGGATTCAATTCCTGGTCAGGGCACATGCTTGGGTTGCAGGCTCAATTCCTTGTATGGGATGTCCAGAAGGCAGCTGATCAATGATTCTCTCTCATCACTGATGTTTTTATCACTCTCTCTTCCTCTCTGAAATTAATAAATATATATGAAAAATAAATAAAGTCAATGAACATATCCTCAGGAATAAGAAAAAAAGGGTAAGGAATTTGAATAGACATTTCTCTAAAGAAAATAAACAAATGGCTAATAAACACATGAAAAGATGTTCAACATTATTTGTCATTAAGGAAATGCAAATCAAAACCACAATGAGATACTACTTCACATCTATTAGGATGCCTATTATCAAAAATATGGGTGAGGATGTAGAGAAACTGAATCCTCATGCATGCTGATGGGAATGTTAGATGGTATAGCCACTATTGAAAACATTTTGGTGGTTCCTCAAAAAGTTGAACATAGAATTACCGTATCATCCAGCAATTCTACTCCTAGGTTTACTCAAAATCACTGAAAAGAGGTACTCAGAGCTACTGGTATAGCATTGTTCATAGCAGCACTATTTAGCAGCTCAAAGGTGAAAGAACCCCAGGTGTCCATCAACAGGATGAATAAACAAAATGCGGTATATACATAATACTACAATGAAACAGTATTCAGCCATAAAAAGGAACAAAGTTCTTATGCTTGCTACAAAATGAATGGACCTTGAAAAAAAGTCTGTCATAAAAGGATAGATATTGTATTATGCTATTTTTTATGAGATATCTAAAACAGGCAAATTCAAAAAGACAGGAAGTAGAACAGAGGTTACTAGGAGCTAGTAAGAGAGAAAAGGGAGTTATTGCTTAATGGGTACAAAGTTTTTGTGTAGTAGGATCGTGGAAATAAATAGTGGCAACAATTAAATAAGTTTGTGAAAACATTTAATACCACTGAATCACACTTAGAAATAGTAAATACTATGTTAAGTATATTTTACCACGATTTTCAAAAATGAGCTCTCTCTCTCTCTCTGTTTTTCCCAAGAACCATATTAGGACTTTAGATTTTCTTTCTTTCTCTCTTTTCTGTTCCTCCCTCCCTTCCTTCCTCTCCTTCTCTCTCTCTCCTTCTCTCTCCCTCCCTCCCTCCCTCCCTCCCTCTCTTTCTTCTTTTTCTTGCCCCAAGAATAAAGGGGAAGAGAGGCTCCAAAACAGCTTCAATTTACCCATGTCTTCAGAACACCTATCAGTGGACTCAGTTTTAAAGACAGCTTTTCTCATTAAATAATTCTATTATAGAAAAATTGAAAAACAAAACGATTAATATCAAAACTTCACTCTTATTAATAGTTTGTATGACTTTCTAGTCTTTTTATAATAATGAAGCCAAATGTATCCCCATAGTAAACTCTTATAGTGTTTAACCACAGAGTAAATAAGTGTAAATCTCATTAATAAAGTCATCAAATGGACATAAGACACTGGGGGGGTAGGGGAGGCTGGGGGAATGTCAAGGGGGGGAGGGGGAAGGAGACATATGTAATACACTTTTAATACTTTAAGCAATAAAAAAAAAGGAGTTAAGTAAAAAAAAAAATAATAATAAATAAATAAAATAAAGTCATCAGATTTGGTTGCATGCTTCCCAGAAACTTTGTCTAAAGCACTCCAGTCTTCTCATTTTACTTTGAGATTTCTGAATGGCGAACGGTATGACATTACTTGTGACACCCTCTGCTTTCTGAAGATAATGCACTGTTCTTTCTGTTCTCTGGAATATAGAAAATAGTTGCTTCTTTCCCTTAAAGAGTTAACTGGTTACTTAAATTCAGAAAAGCTTTTTTGATACTTTTGGTAAAAGCATCTAAAGTAATATGGAAAGTTATGGGCATAGACAACTGTGTTTTTACATTTCTCTTATCACTTGATCAACTCAGTTTCTCTTGTCCAGGAATTAAAGGGTACACAACATAGAACCATATTATTCCATGAGATAGATGATAGATAGATAGATATTTTAATAAACTTAAGAAATGAAGAAAAAAATAAAGTAGGTAACTCAAAGAAGTTTCTTCCCATACTTCCAATTCACTGTCCTGGGAAGAGCTAGCATCAGCCTTCCTCTTGCCCCGGTTCTTTCCAGTCATGTTTTTTCTGGACAGGTCATCAGCATCTTTACTTGGTGTAGTCTGGGACAAAGACGGGCTTGTAGAAGGGTCTCCTGAAAAGGAAAAACAAGACATTTATTGCTCGTAGTCACAGAGAGGGAAGAGGGCCAGATGTTTTTTGTCCTTAAGAATCATATTGCAGAGATAAAGCATGAAAAACCAAACTTTAATTTGGGAATGCAGAACTGGGCACTGAACATCAACAGCTCTTAACGTCATAGAGAGTTATTACTAGAATTTATACACCCGCACCCAATGAAAGAACACATCTATAACATTGTTTTGCATAAAAAAGAAAAAAAAAATCTGAATCTGATTAAGCTTCTAGATCAGAGTTGCTCAACTTGGCACAATTGACATTTTGGGCCAGATTAATGTTTGTTGTGAGTGTGCTGTCTTGTGCATTGTAGGGTGTCTGACTAAGCAGCATCCTTGGCCTCTACACTCTAGCTGCCAGCAGCACTCCACATAGTGTGACAACCAAAAATGTTTTTATACATTGCCAAATGTCAAAGCGGGAAGAGGGAGGCACATGTTGCCTCTAGTTGAAAAAGGCTGCTTTAGATCCATTTACTAATGTACAATAACATACACAAGGCAGCAGGATATGTTAAACTACCCTATAAGGCAGCGGTTCTCAACCTGTGGGTCGCGACCCCTTTGGGGGTCGAAGGACCCTTTTCACCCGGGTCACCTAAGACCATCGGAAAACACATATATAATTACATACTGTTTTTGTGATTAATCACTATGCTTTAATTATTTTCAATTTGTAACAATCAAATTGGGGGTCACCACAACAGACCTCCAACATGAGGAACTGTATTAAAGGGTCGTGGCATTAGGAAGGTTGAGAACCACTGCTATAAGGATATAATCAACGCAATAGTTTCTTGAACAAAATAAAGTACACGGGGGAATAAAAAAAAGAGATGGAGGAATTTATAGATTAAAAGAGACAAAATACGTATCTTCCAATCACAATGTATGGATCTTACTTAGATCCTAATTCTGTATGTCCATTACTTAGAAGACTGGTAAAGGCACACAGAAAACTGCTTTAGTTGATGTAGAGCACTATTTTTAAAAATGCATCAGAGCTAATAACAATAAACAGTCCTTCCTCAAGTGATATGATATGACAGCAAACTTTAAATGAGTGAAATACAGGGGAAGACAACTATCACTATCATCACATTTTCATGAAAATTAGTGATAAATAAAAAGTATGTCCCAGCCAGTGTGGCTCTGTGGTTGAGATTCAACCTATGAACCAAGAGATCATGGTTTAATTCCTGGTCAGACACATTCCCCGGGTTGTGGGCTCAATCCCAGTAGAGCACATGCAGGAGGCAGCCAATCAATGATTCTCTCTCATCACTGATGTTTCTCTTCTTCTCTGAAATCAATAAAAAAATATATATTTTTAAAAGTGTGTGCATATGTTTATTGAATGTGTCAGGGTTTGTTTGTTTTTAACCTGGACATCATAATCCATTGAAACATTTCAAAGCTAAACGCACAGATCTAAATTTGTAGGTCAAATTTCATGTGTTTCTTTAGCTTTACTTAGAATCTTAAAGGGATCCACGACGCAGAAAAGGCTAAGAACTACTGCTCTGAAGCTGAGCAGAAGTCCAAAATTTTCAGACTAAAATTTCTATAAAATGTGCCATGAAGTTCCCTGTGACAATCATGTTAGAGCTATAGAAGCGGGGTGGGATGAAGTAGGAGTCATAAATACAGTCTTTTCATTCTTGGTACTTTTCTGTTTACAGCATCAGGTATTATATTCAGCCTGCCAATGACTTGTTACAGTCTGGCTTCAATGTTTATATACTCCTGAGAGGGAAAACAAATAGCATGGCAACAGTAACTTAGACCAGAACAAAATACTCGTCACCATCACCTGTCAGATGAAGTGCCCTTAAAGCCAAAGTTTTTAGAGCTGTGGTGCTTACCAGGGGAAAGTCTCTGTGCTGCAGGCGCAGGTACCATGACACTAGGCTTCTCCGTCTGGTATGTGGTTGCTGCTAATGTGGTACTCTCAGCATCACTGTTAGTTTGGCCTGTGACTCCAAAGCTGGAGCTGGGGTAGCAGGCCTGGTACTGACTCTGACCAAGGATAGTATAGGTGGGATAGTCCTGTATATCAAAGAGGTTAAGGGAGAAAAATAAGACTTTTAGATACAGCAAAACATTAATTTCAACAACAAAAATTCTCATGCCCTTCCTATTCATAATTATTTTCCTTAAACATTAAATTGGCTGCTTCTTATATCTTCAGCTTAAAGAAATGATTTTCAAAATGCATTCTGTTGGAAACCTACGAGTCAAGAGGAGATGCCTCATGGCTGTCTGGAATGGGGGAAAGCTGAGAGGGAAAGGTCCCACGCACTCTACACATAATGTCCCTTTTTCTAAATATAATAGCTCTCTCTCTCTTCTTCCTATTTTACGTATTGAATTTCTAGATAAATATCTGCATGGAATTCTTGAAGAAAGATCTACTCTTTCAGTAGTTTATAAACCACCTGGCCAGCGTGAACCAGGAGGTCACGGTTCGATTCCCCGTCAGGGCACATGCCCAGGTTGTGGGCTCTGTTCCCAGTGTGGGGCATGCAGGAGGCAACGAGTCATTGATTCTCTCTCATCACTGATGTTTCTATCTCTTTCACCCTCTCCCTCTCCCTTCTTCTCTGAAATCAATAAAAAAAAAAAGTTTATGAACCACCACACTAGATGGTAGTGTTTCTAAGGACAGAAGACCTTAAACAAAAAAGATCACAAATCCTACATTAAAGTTTCCCAGTTTAAAAACTTTCTAAAATAATCAATGTTTCTTTAGAATATTCAAAGGGAACTTTTGCTGGTGTCACGAGCACATACATGTCAAAACTTATCAAACTATACAATTTAAATCTGTAAAGTTTATTTTATGTCAATTATACCTTAATAAAGCTGTTAAAAAATGGGTATGATGTATAGCTCAAAAACACACCTTAAAAAATTCCATCTATACTGAAGTTGATGAGAAACAGAAAGACGCTAACTGACCAATTATTTGTAAAGAATATATAAGTATCTACCCTAAGAGGGGGAGGGGGTGTGTACATGGGTGGGAAAAGAGATTATTACAGAGAGTAAGTCATACTAGCTGTACTCAAGGGAGTTAAAAATTCAACAGAAGCTAAGAAAAAAAACACAGTTCCAACAAATTAGCAATAAATTATATGTCAAATGAGTGACACACAGAGGAAGACAAGTATCACAGAAGATTGTAGTTAGAGTGTCTACTGAGATAAGTAGGCAGAGGGAATAAATACAAGAATAGGCTCTGAAAAGATTTTATTAAGGAGCCAGAGATGTTCAGTCTGGTTGAAAGGATCTTTTTAGGCTTGAATGGCTGGTTAAGGAATATGACTTGGATTGTGTCCAGTGGTTCTCAACCTTGGCTGCACATTAGAATCACCTGGGAATCTTTTTAAAATCCTGATTTCTGGGCCTCATCCTCCAGAAATTCTGTTTCTTTGTTACTAACGTTGTGGCCCCACCCCATAACAAAGAAACAGAATTTCCAGAGGATGAGGCCCAGAAATCAGGATTTTAAAAAGATTCCCAGGTGATTCTAATGTGCAGCCAAGGTTGAGAACCACTGGTTTAGACAATGGTGATTCGCTTATTCGGGGGCAGGAAATGGGGATTATCAAATTCAAACCAACAAGTAAACAGACAGAAAGATAATGAGAAGATGAGTGTAGGATAAAAAGTAACATTTAGAGAAAAGTAATCAGATGGTGTTTAGAAAATGAGAGATGAATAGTTAAATACAGTAATTCAGGATTAAGGGGCTAGAGGACAAAACATGGGAAATGATAGCAAAGGTGAAAAAAAAAAGAATTTTAGAAAAGGCTGGATTAGGGATAAGTGAGGAAAAAATATTGTTGACTGGTCTAGGCCTAGGTTTATTAAAAAATGGTCTCATTAACAAGAATTGAGAAGTCCTACAGAAAAGTGGTCTTACTGTTGGAGAACAAGGTGACAGAGGAAAGGGAAGAATGAAAGATTGTTTTTAGATATGGTAAACTTAAGGAAATAACAGGACATTAAAAAAAAAATCCACCAATAAGCAGAAAGCCTGTAGCTAAGATTACGACTAGAATCTTTATTTCAGAGGTAGTAAATGGATAGTGTGAATGTGGTTAAACATTCCTGGGGATGGAAAACTAAATACAAACTGTCCCTGATACAAGAAAAGCTAAGAAAGGAAGAGAGAGAGATGTACCCTGAAGAGTGCCAGGTACATCTTATCCCTAATAGGAGGAACTCAATAAATATTTGTGGATTAAAAGATGAACAAATGCAGGAACAAACATAAAAAAATGAACCAGAATAGTAGTATGTTAAATGCAACCAGAAAAAAAGATGGATACAGTGGTTGATAATATTAATTGCTGCAGAGAAACAACAAATAAAAACATAACAATAAAGGCACTGAAGATATTACCAGTGATCCAAGATAAAACGTTAATAGAACAATGATACCGATCAGACCACAGCCCTGGCCAGTTTTTCTCAGTGGTTTGAGCATCGGCCTGTGGACCAAAGGGTTTCAGGTTCAATTCCTGGTCAAGTGCATGTACCTTGGTTGCATGTTCCCCAGCCCTGGCAGGCAACCAATGGATGTGTCTCTCTCACATTGATGTGTATCTCTCCCTCTCGCTCTCTTTCTCATCCTCTCCTCCCTCCCTTCCACTCTCTCTAGAAATAATTGGAAAAAATATCCTTGGATGAGAATTAAAAACAAACAAACAAACAAAAAAACAGACCACAAAGAATTCACAAAGGAATGAGTAGCTAAATAAAAGTGGAAGCAACATTTATTCATTCCACAAATATTTATTATGTGCCTTTAATGTGAATGCCAGGCATTTTTATGAACTCTGGAAATATGTAAGTGAACAAAATAGAGAAATAAATCCCTACCTTCATAGAGCTTACATTCTAAAAGGGGCAGGGTAGGAGATAGAGACACACAGTAGATAAAGGGAACAGATAGAACCATATCATTGAGAGAAACTGGATGGGGCCTATGAAACCATCCAGGGGACAGGTTCTCAGGGCTTCCAGAGAAGGCTTTCCACAGCACATATTTAGGTTGGCAAATTGACAATAAAAGAAGAGAAGACGAGCTAGCTAGATGAACCATATCAAATAGTATAAACAAAAGTAGCACTGTACCTGGTTTGAGATGCTGGAAACTGCTGCTGCTGGAATATTGGCAATTGTAGATGAAGTGGATATCAGGCTGGCATTTGTGCTTGAAGCTATAGGATTGAGAATTTTAAGAGATATTAAAGATATTATGTGAAAGGCTAGAAGAAATTTAAAATATACTGTATCTTAAATAGGTCTCCAAGGATATAAAGAACATTAGCAAAGGAAGCAAATACTAGTTTTGCTCTTTAATATGCTATATCATATTTTAGAATTGATTAAACAGTTCAAATATTTTTCTGTTTCAACTTGGGTCTTCAACTATTCCTACTAAAGTCCTAGAACGGTGGTTCTCAACCTTCCTAATGCCGTGACCCTTTAATACAGTTCCTCATGTTGTGGTGACCCCCAACCATAAAATTATTTTCGTTGCTACTTCATAACTGTAATTTTGCTACTGTTATGAATTGAATGTAAATATCTGATATGCAGGATGTATTTTCATTGTTACAAATTGAACATAATTAAAGCATACTGATTAATCACAAAAACAATATGTAATTATATATGTGTTTTCTGATGGTCTTAGGCGACCCCTGTGAAAGGGTCGTTCAACCCCCAAAGGGGTCGCTACCCACAGGTTGAGAACCGCTGTCCTAGAAGGATACATATACTGGTTCATACTAATGATACCAATAAAGTCAGAAGCTAAACCAAATGACTGTAGTCCCATCTTTTCTGGTGTTGAAAAATGACTCACCTATAACATGGCCTATTGACTATCAGTAGAAATAACAAGAGCTCTGGTAAATCCACGTGTAAATCCTACACTATAGTATTTATTGTCACTTGCCCCAAATTATGCCTTTCCTGATGCAGCATAATTACTTTGAGAGAGAGCTGGTCCTCCAAATTCAAAGGTACTTGAAATTGCTTATTGGGCACTACTCAGTGAAATTATTGTGATCAACAAACACAATGGCATTTAATGATTTTCTGGAAAAATTCAGAAAATATTAAGTAATATCTGGCCAGGTAAAAATGTACCCTGTAAGTTAGGCTGCTTATCTTGAGATAAGGAATTTGGGTTAAGTTTTTCATGCCTTTCTATCACAGATTCCATTAGGGTTTTAATCAAATCCTCAGTGACTAGTATTTGCCACAGAAATTTTTTTCAGGTGGACAATGTAACTGAGATTGAGGCAATGGTCCTTAGTTCCTCTCACTTACTTATCATAAGCACACGTAAGCCTGGTTCCCATTGCAGTCACAAACACCACAGAGTTCAATATCATAGAGTCAATAAACCTGACTATCTGACTACTTACCCCATTCGGGGAAGTTAACAGGAAAATTTCCATTAGGAATAGGGCAAGTAAAGAAATGCAGCAGAATTTCCAAGTACTGGTCAAAATCAAAGGAAATTGTTTATTCCTTTCCTTAAAGAAACTCTGCTTAGAAGAAAGTCTAGAAGAGATTAAGATAAATATAAGGAACAGCTAATGCTGCAATGCCAGCTTTCATATGAAGAACCAGGACAAACAAGAGTTAAAGTAATTTGTCCACAGTCATGGAGCTAGTGGTAGATATTAAGATGATAAAAATGGGATCTCCCAATTCTTCGTCAGTTGCAGATTTATAAACAAAAGCAGGAGTAATAAGATATGCAATAAAAGGTACAAATTTAGAGGATCAAGTAAAACTCAAGTGGTAACTCGCATTAATATATATCTAAAGGCTATTAGCTCTCCAAATGCCAATGGCATAGCCAACTGTTTTTGGATAAGTCTCCACCCCTGTTTTGACAATGGAGCTGTGAACCCATAGAAAGATAAAGCATCTGAGAACCATGCCCCACTAGAGGTCTAATTAGAGAGCTCTAATCAAAGACTTTGATTACAGAACTGTGAGAAGCAGCGTTGAATTAAGTGACATTGCCCCAAAGCTGGAGGGTTAATGGCACATAAAGGTTGCTGCAAGATTTAGTTTCTATCCACCCCTTTAATTTTATATATGTTTCTCCACCACCCTTGCTCACCCTGGCCTTTTCAAGTTACTCAAAACAAGAGAGGATCTCTACCTGGATTGTTCTCCCTGTCCCTCTCCTCCTCCCAGTATGATAGCTCCTCCTTCTCAGACTCTCTCTGACCCTTCTATTGAAACTAACTCCTTTCTTGTTTTCCCAATCATAGCAATCTATTCTTTATTCCTTTCAGAGCACTTTTCAAAAATCTATTTACTTGCCTATTTCCTATCTCCTCTACTAGTCTGTAAGCTCCATGAAGGCAGAATCTTAAGATATTCATTAATTCCAATATCTAGCAAAGTGCCTGGCCTACAGTAGGTGACTCTAAGTAGTTGTGGGATTCATTTATATCTTGTATACATGTATAACTTGTAGAATTCAGGTATAGCATGTCAAGGTCATCAAAAACAAGGAAAGTCTGAAAAACTGCATAATCAAGAGAAACCTAAGGAGACATGACAATTAAAGGAAATGTGGTATACTGGATGGGATTCTGGAACAGAAAAAGGATATCAGGCAAAAACTAAGGAAATCTGAATAAATATGGATTTAATTAGTAATAATGCACTAATATTGGGTTATTAATTGTAACAAATGTTCCTTTCTAATGTAAGATATTAATAATAAGGGAAACTATGTACAAGGTGGGAGGATAAATATAACTCTCTATACCATGTGCTCAATTTTTCTACAAATCTAAGACTATTCTAAAAAATAAAATATATAATAAAAACAAATCTGGTTAATGAAAGACTATTATGTATACCAACAACATCAGGGCACAAAGACCTTCATTAAAAGTCAAGATTGAGTTAAAATTAAATTTGAAATTTCTGTAATTAATTTTGCCACTTGAATATTAATCATTTAAGCCATCTCAACTGAAGAAAATAACCAGATATTGGGCCATAAACAAACAGTGTAGGAAAAAATTAATATAAAGAAGCCAGATCTACTTAATCAAAGGGTTTTCATAAACACTGAAGTATAAATAAAGGTTTTGATCAGAGCTGATGAAGTCAGAAGAGGAATTGGGTTTTTGAGATCATTTTACTAACTTCCCAAAGGAAGAAGGGCTGCTGTCAATGATAGAATGCTTTGGGTAGAAAGAGGAGATATTGCTGTTTTGACCATTAACAAAAAATTGCCCTAGCCGGTTTGGCTCAGTGGATAGAACATCAGCTTGTGGACCAAAGGGTCCCGAGTTCAATTCGGTCAAGGGCAGGTACCTTGGTTGTGGGCTCCTCCCCGGCCCAGGCCCTGGTCAGGGCTTGTGCAGAAGGCAACCAATGATGTGTTTCTCTCACATCGATATTTCTCTCTGTCTTCCCCTCTCTTTTCCACTCTCCCTAAAAATCAATGGAAAAATATCCTTAGGTGAGGATTAACAAACAAACAAACAAACAAAAAATCAATACAATGCTCCTTGTTTGTATTCTGTGGAATGGCTGGGTAGTCACATAGTGGGGAGGAAGAAGCCTGGACAGCTAACACTAATTGTTCATGCTAATGGAAATGAAAAGTGGGGTGAGGAGAGTGAGTGGAGAACCCAGGTCATTTAAATGTTCCAATACCTGTATTTCATTTTAGCCCACTGTTCCAACTTATTTTCTTTCTTTTTTTTCCCCCCCCAAAATATATTTTATTGGTTTTTTACAGGGAGGAAAGGAGAGGGATAGAGAGTTAGAAACATCGATGAGAGAGAAACATCAATCAGCTGCCTCCTGCACACCCCGCACTGGGGATGTGCCTGCAACCAAGGTACATGCCCTTGACTGGAATCGAACCCGGGACCCTTCAGTCCGCAGGCCGACGCTCCATCCACTGAGCCAAACCGGTCAGGACCCAACTTATTTTCTACCATTTTTTTCCTTCAAAATAAGTGACAAAAAGTACCCCAATAAAGTTAATGGTAAACTACATTTTTTTTTTAATTAAAATTTTTTTCACCCCAGCCAGTTTTCTCAGTGGTTAGATCATCAGCCCACGGACTGAAGGGTACTGGGTTCAATTTTGATCAAAGGCACATATCTGGGTTGCAGGCTTGATCCCTAGCCCCAGTAGGGGTGCATGTGGGAGGCAACCAATTAATGGGTCTCTCTCACATTGATGTTTCTCTCTCTCTCTCTCTCTCTCTCTCTCTCTCTCTCTCTCTCTCTCTCTCTCTCTCTCCCCGCCTTCTTTCCTTCCACTCTTTCTAAAAAATCAATTGGAAAAATACCCTCAGGTGAGGATTAAAAAATAATTATTTTTCAATTATAGTTGACATTCAATTTGGTGAACTTCTGCCTTAATTTCTGTGCCAAAGTTCTAATGAATAATACAATGGACCAATAAGTTAACCAAAAAAAGGGATGAAAAATAAATTTAGATATCTGCCACTATAGGTTCTTAATTATGGGAGGATTGATATTGATACCATAACTTCAATATTAAATATCATATATTTTCAATCATAAATCACTCATGCTCTGTGGTCAGACTGCCCAGCTAACGTCCTGACTTTATTATTTACTAACTTTGTGACCTTTGACAAGCCACTTTGCTTTTTCTGTGTCTTCTGTTCCCCTTCTTTACAATGAAATAAATAATAGTACTTCCCTCAAAGTATATTGTGAAGATTACATGATTAACACCTATCTATTGTTTAAAACAATGCTAAGAACATAGTAAGCACTTAATAAACACCAGCAATGATCATTATTAGAAAAATGTGAGGAAACCAAATTAAGCTATCAAAAGGGGGAAAAATGTACTAACATATAAGTTAGGATAGTGGTTAATGGAATTTAAAGGATATTTTCATGACCTTTTATTTTTATTATTTTTTTTACTGCCCTTGACCGGAATCAAACCCGGGACCCTTGAGTCCGCAGGCTGACGCTCTATCCACTGAGCCAAACCTGTCAGGGCTTTTCATGACCTTTTAAAGCAGCGGTTCTCAACCTGTGGGCCGCGACCCCTTTGGGGGTTGAACGACCCGTTCACAGGGGTCGCCTAAGACCATCGGAAAACACATATATAATTACATATTGTTTTTGTGATTAATCACTGTGCTTTAATTATGTTCAATTTGTAACAATGAAAATACATCCTGCATATCAGATATTTACATTCGATTCATAACAGTCGCAAAATTACAGTTATGAAGTAGCAACGAAAATAATTTTATGGTTGGGGGTCACCACAACATGAGGAACTGTATTAAAGGATCTCGGCATTAGGAAGGTTGAGAACCACTGCAAAACAATGAGTTCCAAAGGTGGTTCCTCTTTTTTAAAAAGAGAGAGAAGTATAGCTATTAGGTTCCTCAAACTTAAGATACAACTATGGAGAAGTGGTGGTTCTACACCTTGGGAGAGGGTTAGAAATATAAAAAAAAGAGTATTCCCTTCTTTTCTTTCACGACCTAGGTGTAGTCATCAGGGATATGCCCCTTTGGAGGGACATGACAACTAGATTTACCTAGTTGGACCCAAAAGGTCTACTAACCTAGAGAATACCTTATAAAAATCAACTGGGATAGATGGGAAGACAGACAAACAAAGTCATGCTCTTCGAGTTTTTTCCCTTTTGGTTTGTTCTGTTTAGAAAGAAAGAAGGGGGAAGGGACAAAGAAAGAAAGAAGAAAAAATAAATATGAAAAGAGGAGACTCGGTAAATAATAGAGGGTCAGAGCAATGTCTTAGGACGTAGTGACTGGTTCTGTTCGCAATGGACCAAGCAGAAGTAGTTCTCAATCATTTAATTGAAAACAGTTAAAACTAACAATCAAAATATTTTGTTTGAAATAATCCACACCAAAACATTTTTCATCATCAAAGTTTACATATTAAGAGTACCTCAGACCAGTTTTTGCTGTCCCGCCCTTACCCCCTGGGCACCCATTTTACAAGGAATAAAATTTAAAAGCTGGGAGAAATCAGGAGAAAGGAGGGAGATGAGAAGCAAGGTACATGGACATTAATTCCCAATCTGACATTAGTTTATCATTGATAAATTGCATGCACTGGATTTGGATGGGTTGGGAATTAATTCCATAGTGTCTTTTGAGTTTTTTTGTCCTCATTCCTAATAGTACTATCATACTTCTAACCTTTTAGAGAAAGATTTTGGGAAGGCAGAGATGTTTAATGCTATGCTTCTCATCATGAAATAAAAACTTTCTGAGCAACAAAAATCAACAAAAACCTCTCACTAAGAAGTGACTGTAAATGGTATGATAAAACCACAGCAGAAAGTGGCACACATCTCACAAAGCAGCACTCATCTCACAATCCACTCTATTTGGACTTTATATGTAAAAGTCAGTTCTAACCATAGAGTCTTCTGCTTATTTATAGGACAAAATGCCACTGAGAACAGACTGGTTTTCTGAACACCAACATGCAAAAGGGAAAGCTTCAATTCTACTAAGCAGTTCACATTAAAGGGTTAAACTACGTACAAACCACACTCCTAGGTTCTGGTTTGCCTAACACAAAAAGCATGCACAATGGCACATATCACCCCCCTTTTCTTTTAGAAGACAGAGCTCCTCTTACACTGGAGATACAGGTAGACTAAAAACAAAAACCAACAATAATAAAACATACACACACACACAACCATGCCTATTTACCTTGAATGGGATAAGAATAATGTGCTGGGCTTGGCTGGCTTGTGGTTAACCCTGTAGTGCAGGTAAGAACACTGTGTTGACTTGGAGGTGGAGTCTGAATTAAACCACTTTCAGGTTTCATACCTGGCCACAATGCACCTGAATCAGATAAATTGGACCAATTACAAACAATACATTGGGACTGGGGAGCCTGGTTATGCTTTTAAATATCAGCCAGTAGTTTAAAATCTAAATCGTAAAAGAAAATAAATTTGCTTGCAAGAGAAAATTACTGATTCTCCCACTTACAATGTACCACAAGCAAATATAATTTCAAAGAACTAGGGAGTGGGCCATGGAAACAAAAATCTTATCAAAACCCCAATAATTATATATAAATATTTTCATTTCAATGATTGGGGGGAATTTATCAGGGTTAAAAAAAACAAGGGGCTACTGACACCCAAACAGAGTATTTGATGTAGAGTGTGTGATGTCCATGTACAGCAATTAATCATTTATCTGCATTTTCAAAGTGGGAGACATTTCACATAAGTTTAAAATTCACTTACCCATTAAAAAAGCACCAAATTTTTCTAAAATGTATTAAATACTTCTCTGCCTTCTTAAGCTGGTTATTTTGTTACCTTTGTTTCTTCTGATTAAGAAAGACACATCTGCTTATTTTTATAAATTAAAAACATTACAGAAATATGTAACTTAGAAAAAACAGTCATATGTAATCCCATCATCCAGATTTAACCACTATTAAGTTTGCAGAAAAGTCACTCAGGTTTCTCCTATGTACTTACTAATCTTTTTTCTTCTTTTTAATAAAAATTTAAAAGATGTTATACATACTGTTCATAATTTGCTTTTCCACATACCTTTAAGAGACATCGTTCCATGTCAGAACATATAAATCTATCTCATACTAATAAACATCATAGCTATTCATTTTTATCACAATGCTCCTGAGTGACAATCTTTCTAATATATTTATCCTAGAGGACTGGTGCACGAAATTTGTGCAATGGGAGAGGGGGAGGGGAGTCCTCAGCCCAGCCTGCGTCCTCTCACAGTCTGGGAGCCCCCAGGGGATGACCGACTTCCATGGAGGTGGGAGAGGCTCCCGCCACTGCTGCTGTGCTCGCCAGCCATGAGCCCGGCTTCTGGCTGAGTGGCACTCTTCCTGTGGGAGCGCACTGACCACCAGGGGGCAGCTCCTGCATTGAGCGGGATTGGGCTGAAACCGGCTCTCCAACATTCCCCGAGGGGTCCTGGATTGCAAGAGGGCATAGGCCAGGCTAAGGGACCCCACTGGTGCATGATTGGGGCTAGGGAGGGATGCGGGAGGTTGGCCAGCGGGGGAAGGACTGTGGGAGGGCTCCAGGGCGTGTCCAGCCCGTCTCTCTCAGTCACGATAGGCCGGACCCCAGCAGCAAGCTAACCTACTGGTCGGAGTGTCTGCTCCCTGGTGGTCAGTGCATGTTATAGTGAGCGGCTGAGCAGCCTTAGCATATAATTAGCATATTACGCTTTGATTGGTTGAACGGCCGACTGGAACACCAGACACTTAGCATATTAGGCTTTTATTATATAGGAGGATCTCTTCCTGCCTTCTTGGCAGGGAGGAAATAGTGAACATTCCTTTAGATTTTGATCAGAGTTATTTCTACAAAGTTATATATATATATATATTACAGAAACAGGTTATTGTGATATGTGAAGACATTTGCTTACTACTAAATAGAACTCAATTATGGTTCTATGATTTTTAGATACTTGTATCACTTTGTTTTTTCTCTGTGACCTTTCACTTCTTCACAATCTCTTATCTCTGCTTGTATCTATCTCCTTTTCATTTGTAGTAACCTAGGAAACCATAAACAGAGCTTTGCTTCTTACATGAGAGCCCAAGGATGTCCTTTATGAGTGAGTTGTTTTTGTGATAATTTTGGCTATGCAAAAGTCTATTTATACAAAAACTTATTGTCTGGTTATTCACTGTGTTCTGAATAGCTACAGTTGCTGGATCAGTGTAGTTGAAACTGAGAATTTGGTTTAAGAAGGTTCATCAATCAAATGCATTCCAGGTAAGAAGTCAATACCAAAATCAGCCACAGTTTCAAATTCAATATTAACTCATTTCATTTACTCCTAATCTGATAAAGAATTTATAGAAATATAGTAAGAACCTCTGCTTCACCAGGGCACTGAGATATTTTAGTGCAACTTGGATCTGCAAAATTTGTTGAAAAGTAAATATAAGGATAGTACGGGGAGATGTAAAAATCTTAAAAGGTTGACGGACATGGTAATTGCCTTGAAGCATTAAAAAAACAAAAAGCCATATTATTTTCTTTCCTATTAAACACATGAAATGACTTATTTGAGGAAATAAAAGAATATCAACATCTCTAGCATGAATTAGGAGAACTGCCCCCGCAGCCTCCAGTTCAAGATCATTAAAAAAATCTTGTCCAGGTTAGCCACAGCTAAAGTTCTTGCTATATATAATTTTCAATAAAAAAAAATTGAGAATATTATTTTTAAAACATTTATTATATGAAATTTGGATATTAGTACCATGATTCACAATTTCTAGTAAACAAATTGCTATTTCAATGTCATAATAACTTTCAGATTTATTGTAATCAATGTTTTTTTCTAAATGGGTTCTGAACCAAAGGTGTTGGATTTGTGAACATGTTTATAATTATACTGTACTACAATCCTACCTTATTAGTAAAAATAACATTAACTGAGAATCTTTTGCTAGCCTCGTTATTTCATTTTTTTTTTTAAGTTTTAAAATGTAAAATGCCTATAAACTGGTTCTTTTTATAAGGTTAAAAATTAGGGCAAAATGTCCAAGATAAAGGAATAGTTAGTTTCTAATGTATTTGACCAGAAACACGAAGTACTTAATACATAATTATTTTATGAAGACAAGAGTAATAAAAGACAATATGGATACTGCCGCCAGCATTACTGTAACCCTGTGTTTAAGCATATAAGCATCTTCCTCCAAAAGCACCCTTCCAAGAATTCTAAGTAATAGTAGTATGATTTGATCATAGAGCATTACTGCCCATAGCAAATGATGAAACAAAATCTTCGTTTCCTGACCACTAGTCCACAGTTGTATGCCTACAACTACAAAGCTTCTCAAGTCATTTTAAGCACAAAAAGCCTGATGTGGAGCAACAGCCGGGTCTAACAATGGGAAAGGAAGTCTTTCTCTGAGTGCCATCCTCCTGCTGCCCCACACTGGGGTCTTATCATAAACTTTACCCAAGTCTCTGAGCACAAATATGTGTCACTATAGGTTAGTCAATAACCCAACTAACCTGAGCAGTTCAGTTTATAGTAACACACAAAGGTAAGATTTTAGTATACTGGCTGAAACTGACAGGCATGTAGGCATGGATCACAAACTCAGAAATAAAAGCATTTCTGTTTCTCTCTTCTTGTGAAGTTACCAACAAGGACTATCATGAAACATAACCCTCAATTTTTTTCTAGTAGTTATTACGAGCCAAGGAATGCCTAAAAGTAAGAAGGCGGTCATTATTGTAAAGATTAGCCAAATGGGCCAGGAAAAGTAGCAATGTAGAAACCAGAAGCAGGCAACATGAATACATCCATAATCTGTGGCGGTCTGTTGAAAGATTTTCTAATTCCCAGCTAGTTTCAGTAGAGGCTACAGAGATAGAATTTTATTAACATACTGCATAATTTAAAATAATCTCTCATTTTTTTTTCATACCCTTTCAAGGAAAGCAGGGAATAGGTAATAAACAACCCTAATATATCTATCAATTTACATACACAGAAAAAAATCAGTGCAGATATCAAGTGTACAAAGAATCTCAAACTGTCTTCTCGTAAATCATTCTAATTTATAGGTCACATCCAAGATGCCTATAACCAAAGAACAAAATTTTCTATGCATATAAGGTTGTATAAAATTGGGAATTTCCCCAAATATAAGACATATTCAGATTGCCTGGCTTTAGCAAACCAGTCACCTCAAAATACATTTATTATGCTTACTTAACCAAGGTACCATGTTTAATATAAAGTAAAATCAATAGTAATGTCTCAAAGATTTTCCACAAATACTTAAAGAATCCAGGTTTTACAGTCAAGACTTAGTACCTTGGAAATTTGGTGGCTAACTTTGATAGATAAACAAATGAGTACTAAAAAATCATGATTTTATATTACATGCATCAAATATGCTGTTGGGAAGTTGCAAACCCAACTTCTATTACACCTGTAATTGAGTAGATGCTCTACAAAGAACAACTCATCTCTCCGCTTTCTGATCAGCCATGCTTGCTTTTTGGGAAAAGATCAGTTTCTGGGGGATAAAAATCAATTTTCTTAGAAACTGCTTATAATAAGATGCCTTACCAAAAGGAGGTAGTCCATACGTTTGGGTTGCCTGAGGGTAGACAGCATACGGTTGAGACTGCTGTAGTGTCTGGTACTGAGTCTGCCCAGGATAAGCAGTTTCCGAAACAGGAACTGAGAGGATATGTGCATACGGTCTAGAAAAGTTCAAGAAAACAAAAACTTGCATGTATGATTTATTTTAGTAATGAAAAATAGGAGAAATAGCTAATACCACTAAATGCCAAGAATCAGTAATGAGGAGACTAACCTTCCACAAAATGTCTCTGACTGTGGTCAAAAAGTAGAGCTAATATTTCCTTTCCAGGTTCTACTACAACCTACCTACCTAAGAAACAATTTTATGAAAAATTTATAATTTTCAAATATCCTCCAATAAAAAAATATATATTTTTAAAAAGGATGGATTAAACTTGTTTATGCCCTTATGTCTACATACAGAACAAAACTAAACTAATAGAAAATTGGATAGAACAGGTTTCACAACTGGCTCTCGTTCTTCACCCAGCCTTCTGGGCCAAACTAATGCTCTTTTTAAAATTATTTTAAAAATATTTTTATTGATTTCAGAGAGGAAGGGAGAGGGTGAGAGAGATAGAAACATCAATGATGAGAGAGAATCATTGATTAGCTGCCTCCTGCACGCCCCCTACTGGGGATTGATCCTGCAACCCGGAAATGTGCCCTTGACTGGAATTGAACCCAGGACCCTTCAGTCCACAGGTCAACATTCTATCCACTGAGTCAAACTGGCTAGGGCAAAACTAAAGTTCTAAGAGGAAAAGTGGGGCTTAGAAAAGAGGGTGAGGCTGGTAGAGAACAGGCAAGGGAATAGAAATGGGCTCCAATATTGTCAGATCAAGCCCATAAAACAGGAGCCAGATAATAAAAATATGGGAAGTCCCAGATAGGACTTGGAATTTTCCCACTGATATTTAAGCCAGAGTATACTGCTACTAAATGGTGCCAACCACATCAGGTTTAACTAGGGATCTGAATTCAGCAGTGAAACTTCCGGCAATATATACTAGCTAGATGACCTCACATTACTTTTTCATCTGTTTTTTTTTTTTTTTTTTTTATTCTTCACCCGAGGATATTTTTCCATTGATTTTTAGAGAGAGTGGAAGAGAGAGGGAAAGACACAGAGATATATTGATGTGAGAGAAACACATCAACTGGTTGCCTCCTGCACAAGCCCCGACCAGGGCCTGGTCCAGGGAGGAGCCTGCAACCGAGGAACATGCCCTTTACCAGAATCGAACCTGGGGCCCTTCGAGCCACAGGCTGACGCTCTGTCCACTGAGCCAAACTGGTTAGGGCTGACCTCACGTTTCATTCATGCAATAAGATGATCCCACATTTTATGCATTGAACTTTTAGATAACAGTTATATTATATGGTGAGTTATGCTGTACTTACAAGAAAAAGTGTTTCATGTACCATGTGAGTAATAATGATAAAATTCTGGAGGGAAGCGTTGTTTCAGAAGGCAAAAAGATTCTTTTCAGGTTTGGAGGAGAAGAAAATGAAGGAAGGCTATAAAGAAGTGGTATGTGAACTGAGCATATATAGAATGTGCAGGAGAGGGAAAGAAGTGTGTTCTAGGGAAACAGAAAAACTCTGGAAGAGGTACACAGGAAGGAAAGCAAGGGCTTCAGCCTGCAGGAAGCATAGATTATATTAAGGGAGGTATATAAAGGGAAGGGAAGTAGTGAGAGAGAGAAAAAGACAGATAGCCAAGACCTTGAATACCAGGCTAAAAGAGTTCAGACAAATCTGAAACAAGTGGGAGTCACTGAAATTGTTGAGCAGAGTGACAAGATCAGAGTTGCTCCTTAATAAAGATTAGTTTGGCATTGCTCTGTAAATGGATTAGAAAAGAGAAAAATGAAATAGAGGTCCAGTTAAAAAAGTTATACGGGAGCTCTGAATTAAGATAGAAGGCATATACCAGGCCTGTGTTGCTCAGTGGTTGTACATCAACCCTGAACCACGAGGTCACCAGTTTGATTCCCGGTCAGGGTACATGGCTCGGTTTCCGGGCTTGGTCGCCAGTTGGGGGCATGCAAGAGGCAGCCAATCAATGACTCTCACCGATGTTTTTATCTCTCTATCCCTCTCCCTTCCTCTCTCTCAAAATCAATAAAAACATTTAAAAAAAAAAAAAGATAGAGGCATAGCTAATAAGGTATACTGAATATAGTAGGTATACCAATCTTTTTTGAATAAGTAAATGAATTTGGAATACGCAATATATTCTCATCTCAGTGGATTCTAAGAGGCTGAATTTGAAAATTTCTATTCTCCTTAGCCAGATCTGAGACCAAGAAATAATTCAGGTTGTAGCTATTAATCAGATTGCATGGGGAATTATTTAAAATCTTAGTGATTAATCTCCACATATACCCTATTTAATATAGTGTCTTTACAGCTCAAAGTATTTTGTTAACTCCATAATATCTCAGAGAACAGGTTTAGTTATTTCACAGAAGAAAACCACATGAAAATGACTGGCCCAAGTATGCTATTAGTGTTAATACCAGATTAGAATTTGGAAAACTCATTGAGTTAACTTTTTAATTAGTGTTAACTTTTTAACTGGTGCAAAATCAAGGTACAAAGGGGCCCAAAAAGGAGGGAAATGCCAGTTTTCTTTTTACAACAGTCCCACAGGCATCACTGATCTGCTACAAATTTCTATGAATCCTGCATTATGTAAGCACATAGGAATATATCCTCATTTAATAAGCACAGTTGTATGCATTTATGTATACACTAGAGCAGGGGTCCTCAAACTTTTTAAACAGGGGGCCGGCCAGTTCACTGTCCCTCAGGCCGTTGGAGGGCTGGACTATAGTTTAAAAAAAAACTATGAACAAATTCCTATGCACCCTGCACATATCTTATTTTGAAGTAAAAAAACAAAACGGGAACAAATACAATAATTTGTATTTGCATGTGGCCTGCGGGCCATAGTTTGAGGACCCCTGCACTAGAGGCCTGTTGCACGAAAAGATTCATGCAATAGGCTTTCCCTTCCCCTGGCTGCTGGCACTGGTTTTCCTCCGGCATCCAGGACCCAGGCCTTCGCTCAGGCCGAAGCTGCCTTCAAGCCTTCACTACCCCGCCCGGCCGCCCCAGGTCGGGTTGCACACGGGACGCCTGCTGCCCCGGGTCGCAGATAGCAGGCCCGGATGGCGGCAGGGCAGGCGGGATGGCCCTGTCCCACCCTGCCTGCAGTATGCAAATTAGCCGCCATCTTTGTTGGCAGTTAATTTGCATATTGTGCTGGTCAGCCTATGGGAGGCGTAGCGAAGGTATGGTCAATTACCATGTTTGTCTATTATTAGATAGGATAGGCTCACTATCAATGCACAACTGGCAGCTTGGCATACACAATGTTCTGCACCTAATTAGTCAGGAGATGATTAACTTGGTGGATTTTAAATGCTGATCTTAACCCCTCACAGGCTGCTTTATAGTGACTTCAATCCACTAAACCTGTCTAACTTCAAGTCCACTTCTACTCTGAGGATAGTCTAAGACAAGAAACTGAACATAAATAGGTTGAGGAGTCCCAGTATGAGGCTGGCTTGAGCTATTTTTATTGATCTGTCTATCAAGGTAAAGGAAACAGAAAACGATCAGAGGCTAATCAGTAATATGCTTTGATCACTAACAGTATTTTTCATTTTCAGTGCCTATTTATTTAGAGCGGGAGTGGGAAATCTTTTTTATGCCAACAGCTATTTGGATATTTATATCATCATTCACAGGCCATACAAAAATATCACCTTAAAAATTAGCCTGCTAGCCCTAGCCAGTTTGGCTCAGTGGATAGAGCGTCAACCTACGGACTGATGGGTTCCAGGTTCAATTCTGGCCAAGGGCACATGCGTGGGTTGTGGGCTCGATCCCCAGTGGGGGGCGTGCAGGAGGCAGCCGGTCAATGATTCTCTCTCATCATTGATGTTTCTATTTCTCACTCTCCCTCTCTGAAATCAATAAAAATATATTTTTTAAAAAATTAGCTTGCTATATTTAGTCAAACATATAATTAACTCACCCCTGCCTTGGCAGGGTCAGACCAAATGATTTCGAAGACCTTATACAGCCTTCAGGCCAGATGTTCCCCACCCCTGATTTAGAGTGAGCTCCTGAGTAACAGTGATCTATTCCAGGTAACCATCTACTTTTTAAAACGATATTATAGCCCTGGCTGGTGTGGCTAAGTTGGTTGGAGCATCATCCCATACATCAAAAGGTGGCAGGTTTGATTCCTGGTTAGGGCACATACCAGGGTTGCAGGTTCAATCCTCAGTTGGGGCGCATTAATCAGGCAGCTGATTAATCTTTCTCTCCACCACCCCCCCCTCCCCCCAAAATCTATAAAAAGCATAACCTCGGGTAAGGAATGAATGAATGAATGAAAAGATATTACACAGACTCCATATTTGGAAGGAATAAAAAAATTGGAGTAAGGCCCTAGCTGGTTTGGCTCAATGGATAGAGTGTCAGCCCTCCAACTAAAGGGTCCTGGGTTCAATTGCAGTTAAGGCCACACACCTTGGTTGCAGGTTCAATTCCCGGCCCTAGTCAGGGAAAGTGCAGGAGGCAACCAATCAATGACACATCAATGGTTCTCTCTCTCTGTCTCTCCCTCTCCCTTCCACTCTCTCCAAAAAAAAAAAAATCAATGGAAAAATATCCTAGAATTAACAAGAACAACAACAAATTGGAATAAGGATTGAGAATGAGAGAGGTGAAAATAAATTAAATGTCAACTTACCGAGTTAAATATCAAGTTAAATTTTGCAATTAACCTAGAGAAAAAGCATACATATTTTTAAATAATTATATTCAACTTACTTTGCAGAATACATTTGTGAGGTATAATCATTGGATGAGCGAGGGATGTAATCGGTACATGTCATTACTGAAAGAAAGACCAGGTAAAAAGTTAGAACACTTCAAAAATGAGATGGGAAAATTATATCTCACTGTATAGTGTTTCAAACTAAATTACAGAATACAGATTGGACATCAGAAATTTAGAAAGACTAGTAGCAAATACCTCACTCTTCTAATAACAGATTTAGAGACTCTTAGACAATAAAAGAAGCTAGAATGTGAGAGGTATGGAAAAGAGTTGAAGGTTAATACCAATTGATCTTTACCTTCACCCTTCCTGATTTAAAACCACAGATGGAGCACCCTAAGCTCTTAGCTGTGCCTACAGGCAAACTTAAAAAGTAAGATCCATATCTAGAAAACCACATTATACTTCTTCAGCTTATTCATTCTCTGGGTGCTGATTCTCTATTTTGGCCATATGACTGACTTGCAGGAAGACAGATTTAGGGGGAAATACCCCATTTTATTAGAAAATTGTTGCTATCACCATGTATAGTCAGCAGCAGGGAAGATGCAAATATGCTTCTATATTACTATTTTTTCAGCTTTGTGGTTTTAAGGTTTTAACTTTGGAAAATCAGAGACAGGCCTGAGGAACTCATGTGTTCTATATTACTATTTTTTCAGCTTTGTGGTTTTAAGGTTTTAACTTTGGAAAATCAGAGACAGGCCTGAGGAACTCATGTGATGGTCTGATAACCTAGCAAGTAAACACACTTTCATAGCTAGAGTCCTCTTAATCCTCATGACTTTATCTAGAAGAGCTGCTGTGAAGGCTTGGCCCTCATGATTTCATCTTGGATAAGTGCTATAAATATTCAACTCAAGTTGACAGATAGCAAAATCCTATTCATTAGGCACTACGTCAGCCCATGTTGTAGACTGAAACATCATAGAGCTTGTACCAGGCTCCTGAACTGTTCAAGAACTTCTTTCAACATCTATAAATGAGGTTGCTTTACTATAAATAGGGACTAAGAGTGAAGCAACTAAATTTATGTCAAGCTGGGATCCCTGAGTGTCTGAACCAAAAAGGGAACTTTGGTCAAGAGCAGATGAGGAAAATGTTCATGCCCAATAGTAAAGACAAGTCAACATCTGTGAGTTTATCATAGTAGATCTTGTCCATTGCCACTGTTCAAGGTCTTTAACAATAATGACTAGAAACTTGTAGATCATATTCATTCGTAATCATTTTGACAGAAATCTCAATTAGATCTAAAGTTCTTATTATCTATCCTAAAGAATGTAGGTTCATTTGAATTCTACATGATAATTCCTTCTGTGCTGGCAAATACTTTCAAAAACACAAACATTTCTCTTCCTTTGATTTAACCCTTTGAGTGCCAACCAATATCCTAGGAACTATGCTAAAATTGCCAAGGCATTTTTGCTGATTTTACAGCAGTTTAGGAAAAAAATTATGAAACGCAAGTAAATGAAGTTACATATTCAATATCTTCCACAAAATCGTCATCTTCACAGCAAGAATTGACATATTTAGCAATATCATCATCACTAATAAAAGCAGACTTAGAACTGGACACTGCAGGAGGAGCGCGATAGCGCTCCCGGCACTTTTGGCGAAAGACAGGAGGAGCGCGATCGCGCTCCCCGGCACTCTAAGGGTTAAGTTAATTCTAGAAGAGACTGACAAAATATCCTAGGACAGTGGTTGGCAAACTGCGGCCCCTTGAGTGTGGCTCTTCCACAAAATACCACGTGCGGGAGTGCACATACAGTGCAATTAAAACTTCGTGGCCACACTGAAGGGGCTAAAGAGCCGCATGTGGCTCACGAGCCGTGGTTTGACAACCACAGTCCTAGGAGATTTAGGCCAATTTTTATTTTTCTAGAGAAAGAATAAGCCTTGATCTTCGCAGTATTTGGGAACTATAAAAGGATTATAAAGAGTCAAGGCATACCCTGCTATTATAGTAGAGGAACAACAATGGAGACAAGTTAAAACTTTGAAGTATATTCTGAAGGTAAAACTAGCAGAACATTCTGATGGATTAGTATGTAAGGAATGAAGAAAATGGAAAAGGAGACAATTTCTAGGTTTTTCATCTTGAGTAACTGGAGGGATAATGAAACCACTTCCCAAGATGGAAAAACCAGGGAAAAGAACAGATTTGATGGAGGCTAAGGGAATAAAAAGCTTTCACACATTTTAAGTATGGCTTCCCTTTTAGAGCAAAGTGGAGATGTCAAACAGGTAGTTGAATACACAAATGAAATCAGGGGAGAAGTTACACTGGAAATATACTAATGCATGAGAGAATGCGGAAAGAGAAAAGACTAGAAACAAATTCCGGGAGCCCACCAACATTCAGAGTTCAGACAGAGAACAAAGGGTCAGCAAAGGAGAAAGGTGGGAGAATAGTAGTGAGAAGCAGGATATGAACAGAAAATGTCCACCAGAACTAGTACTTGCAGTTATTGAAAGTTACTGATGGCCTTGACAAGAGCAATTTCATTGGAAGAGTGGTAATAGAAACTAAATTTGAGAGGGTTGAAGAGTGAATGGGAGGTGAGAAACCAAAGGAGGGCAATTCTTTTCAGAGGTTCCAATGAGTCAAGGAACAAAGAGGAGATCTACAACTCGCGGGGGACATAAACACACACACACACACACACACACACACACACACACACACACACGGGAAGGAAAGTCTTCTGGACATCCAGGACAAACAAGGCAATCAGTGGAGACAAATTATAAAAGAACAGCATCACCTGGTTTATAGGAATGCGCCACTTACGTCATGCAGAGAATTTGGTACTTACTTTCCTCTGACATGGTAAGGTTTGAAGCAAGGCTTGAAGTTTCAGGTTTCTGATCACTGACTTCGGGGTTGCTTACTTGACTGGGAGAACCAAAATGAATATATTAGCCTCTGACTAACATATTCCATTGCTAAAAGTTATTAAATCAAACCCATTTCTTCTGAGGCTATACAAGAAAGAGGAAAAGTAAGTCATCTTCATGATATCCTTATTCTAGGTTTTTAGCAGCTACCTGAAGAGCAATGGCCAGGGTTAGTACCCACAGCATTCTACAGTTCTTTCTCATATCTGTAGACCCCTTCAGTTTTTATATCACTCAAAAATTCCAGCTAAGTCACAAGCAAGTCAGATTTTCTCTGAAGACAATGTGGTAAAAGAAAAACTCCCCAACACCTAAAAATGCTTTAAGACAATGGTTCTCATAATAACTTGAGACATTTTTTCAAGTTATACATGCTTGCTTCCAAGAAGATGTTCTGAACCTTAAAATGGCTCATTCCATGGTATTCCTCTTCTCCCCAATTAAAAAAAAGAGACAATTTTTAATTTGTTATTATACCCAAGACTGAGCAACATCTTTTTCTTTTTCTTGTTTAACTTATAAAGAAAATTAAGAGAAATTACGAAAGGTAAATCGTATAAACTGGGAGGACAAGTCATTATGTTAGACACTTTAGTGTTGGGAAGATTCTCACTGGAATTCTGAAATGGAGATTATACTCACTTTCATTACAATGTCCTTCTTCTTCCTTCTGAGTGGACTTTCCACTCTCCAATATTCCCTCAACTACCCGTACAGCATAATCCTTAGGAGTACAGATTCTCAAGCCAGACTGCTTGAGTTCATATTCCATTCTGCCAAAGCTAGCTTTATGACTTTAGGCAAGTGACTGAACTTCTTTAGTGCCCTGGTTCTTCAACTATCAATGAATAGTAGTAATAGAACCTACCTCATAGAGTTGTTATAGAGATTAATGAGTTAACATATAAAAGTACTTAGAGCCCTAACCGGTTTGGCTCAGTGGATAGAGCGTCGGCCTGCAGACTGAAGGGTCCCAGGTTCGATTCCGGTCAAGGGTATGTACCTTGGTTGTGGACACATCTCCAGTAGGGGGTGTGCAGGAGGCAGCTGATCGATGTTTCTCTCTCATCGATGTTTCTAACTCTCAATCCCTCTCCCTTCTTTTCTGTAAAAAATCAATAAAATATATATTTTTTAAGAAGTACGTAGTGCAAAGACTAGAACAGAGTAAATACAATATAACTATAGCTAGTATTACTTATATTATAACTTCTCCCCAGTCCAGGCATCTTTCCCACATTCATGTTCCTAGAAAATCTACTTTGCGGCTGGATTGGTCTGACAGCAACTGTGTAGGATGTGAAGGTGCCAGAGGTGTCGAGAGTTAGCCTCTCACCTCCTTGCTTATAATGTTATGTCATATACATTATATTCAAAAATTCTGGGACCAAAATCTCAGGGTAACTATGGTGGGCCTGGGGGTTCAGGCTGAGCAGGAGCCGTTCTTAGACGACTGCACACCCAGAAGCAGAGAATGGGATATTATAGAAACTGAGGTGCCTTATGAGAGCCGATGGAGGTCTATTAGGATTCTGTATCTTACTATGTTTCTCAGCAGTGTAAGATTTTCTATTGTGATAATGTCAATATGGTCCTATCTCCAAAAGAATGACCAGGCAGCTGATACAATTTTTTGGGCTGGGTTATTGCTTCATTTAGTCTTGGCCAAATGGTAGCTTCACATATATTTGGTTTGTGATCTAATTATAGACCAAGAAATGAACCTCTCATTGTCTCCATCTTCATTTCGGTGGCAGCCAACTGCCTCTATGGATATATGCATGTCCCAGCTTCTCATAATAAATACTACTTGTTAGCTGCTCGTGGACTGGTGGGATTCGGAGCAGGAAATGTGGCAGTTATTAGATCATATATTGCTGGTGCTACTTCCCTTCAGGAAAGAACAAGTTCCATGGCAAACACAAGTCTAATGTCAAGCATTAGGTTTTATTCTAGGTCCAGTTTTTCAGTCCTGTTTTGCACCATTGGAGAAAAGGGCGTGACATGGGAGACTATACAGCTTCAGATAAACGTGTATACAGCACCAGTTTTACTTGGCACCTTCCTCAGAGTTTTAAATATTATTCTGACCCTTATTATATTAAGAGAGCATCATGTGGATGACTCAGGACGACAGTGTAAAAGTATTAATTTTGAAGAAGCAAGTACAGATGAAATTCAGGTTCCCCAGGGAAGTACTGATCAAGTGGCTGTTGTGACTACCAATGTCCTGTTTTTCGTGGTCCTATTTATCTTAGCCCTTTTTGAAACCATCCTTACTCTATTAACAATGGATATGTATCCCTGGACTAGAGAACAAGCTGTATTATGTGATGGAATAATACTTGCTGCTCTTGGAATTGAGGCCGTTATTATTTTCATGGGGATTAAATCACTTGCCAAAAAGATTGGCAAGCGTGCTATTCTGCTGGGAGGACTCGTTATCATATGGGTTGGCTTCTTTATCTTGTTACCTTGGGGAAATCAATTTCCCAAGATACAGTGGGAAGATTTACATAATCATTCAATTTCTAATACCACATTTGGGGAAATTATTATTATTCTTTGGCGGTCTCCAAGAGAAGATCAGAGTGAAGGACCAACCGGTTGCCCAACTGAACAAGCCTGGTGCCTCTACCCGCCATTATCCATCTGGCCCAGTTCCTCACATCAGCTGGAATGTGTTAACTGGAATAGGCTATCCATCCTGCAATGTTATGTCATATACATTATATTCAAAACTTCTGGGACCAAAACCTCAGGGTGTGCACATGGGCTGGTTAACAGCTTCTGGAAGTGCAGCACGTATTCTTGGACCCGTGTTCATCAGCCAAGTGTATACTTCCTGGGCCCACGATGGGCATTCATTCTTGTTGTGGAATAGCTGTGCTCACCATCATACTCCTGGGAGTGGTTTACAGGAGACTCACTGCTTTTTCTGTAAGGCATGGAAGGATTCAAGAGTAACCTAGCTAACTAACACTGGGATACAGAGTACTTGCTGTGTGGACTTTGTTTACTAAGGCTCTGCTAGACATTTGCTATGAGTCAGTTTCCAAAAGTAAGGCTTCAGGTATTGTATATTGTGAAAAGCAAGAGAATATATTGAATAACATGGAATTCTATGAGTAACTGTGTATAGTAAGATAATATAAAAAACATTCTGGACCTTAATTTCTTTATCTCAAAAAAGAAATATTCCTCACTCAACACCTTTTGGGTGTTACATGAATTCATGAGTGAATGAGCAATGGTCTATAAATGGGAAACTATTTTTTTTTTTCAAACTACAGAGGTATCACTTAAAACAACGAGAGAATATCTATGCAGTGAAATCACAGTAAAGTTCTGTAAGAATTACCTATAACAGAATGAAATTATAGGAATTGTTTACCTAAATCGTAGGTATCTTGACCAAATCAAAGATATCTACTTTTTATTTATTTAAAAGGCATTTTCTATTATTATCAAGTTCCCTTATGAAATAAATATCCTTACTCTTAAATTTTCCACTTACTATGCCTCCCATTCTACCATACCTTCTTTAATTTATTTTTAATACACCTTCTGTCTTATCTCACTAAATAACCCTAAATTAATAGAGGAGTACGGATAATGCTAATATTTAAGCAATAAAGAGGATTAAAAGACCAAGATGGATTTTACTACCTTTAGTAGAGTTAACTACTTTTTATTTCAAGTGCTAGTAACTTACTTTAGAGACATAAACCAGGTATGTGTTATTGTATACATATACTGTTTATTATAATTACTGGCATTTTCAACTCCCTTAATTCTGGAGGAAAACTATCACTTTATTTACTTTTCCCACCACTTATTAGTGGCAAGGTAGACACAACAGTTTTCAGTCTATGTCTGCACAGCTATTCAGATCTGCAGAATTTTACATTTGGAGGAGCCATGACAGCCCCAATCTAGTCAGGCTAATATTTGAGGCAAATGGCTTTAAACTAACACAGTTTACTGAGTTTACTTGAATATTCGGTCTCTATGTATACATTTCTACCTCTACCTAAGTTGAATGCTCATAAAAGGAACTAGTACAGAAATATGTATATGGATAATCAGTATTACCAAAAAAAAAGTAAAGATATTTTGAAATACTTTTCCAAATATTCTTTTTTAAATATATTTTATTGATTTTTTACAGAAAGGAAGGGAGAGAGAGAGTCAGAAATATCGATGAGAGAGAAACATCGATCAGCTGCCTCCTGCACATCTCCTACTGGGGATATGCCCGCAACCCAGGTACATGCCCTTGACCAGAATCGAACCTGGGACCTTTCAGTCCGCAGGCCGACACTCTATCCACTGAGCCAAACCGGTTTCGGCCCAAATGTTTTCTACTCTAAGTTATAAATATTTTAAAAACTGAGAGTAAAGACTATAATCTGCACTTAAAAAAAAAAGAAATCTGCTTTGCTGTTCTACACTCTAGGAGAAATGGAGGACACTGTACCGGAGGATCCATATATCTGGAAAGAGGTACACTGACAGAGTAGTTTCTACACAGGAAAAAAAGAAATTTTTTTTGGTTAATCCTCACCAGAGGATATTTTTCCATTGATTTTTAGAGAGTGGAAGAGAGGGAAAGACAGAGAGAAACATCGATGTGAGAGAAACACATCAATTGGTTGCCTCCTGCACAAGCCCCGGACCAAGGCCTGGGCCAGGGAGGAGCCTGCAACCAAGGTACGTGCCCTTGACTGGAATCAAACCTGGGACTCTTTGGTCCGTAGGCTGAAGTTCTATCCACTGAGCCAAACTGGCTAGGGCCAAATTTTTTTTTTTTTTAAGAAATGCTACTTCTATTAAAAAATATACCGCACTGCCCTAACCGGTTTGGCTCAGTGGATAGAGTGTCAGCCTGTGGACTCAAGGGTCCCAGGTTCGATTCCCGTCAAGGGCATGTACCTTGGTTGCGGGCACATACCCAGTGGGGAGCGTGCAGGAGGCAGTTGACCAATGTTTCTCTTTCATCAACGTTTCTAACTCTCTATCCCTCTCCCTTCCTCTCTGTAAAAAATCAATAAAATATATTTAAAAATATATATATACCGCACCAAAATTCTTAAAAGCTCTCATATATTTTCTGAACAAACCTCTCGTATCCTATCTAATAATAGACAAACATGGTAATTGACCATACCTTCGCTACACCTCCCATTGGCTAATCAGCATGGTATGCAAATTAACCGCCAACAAAGATGGCGAGTAATTTGCATAGTGCAGGCAGGGCGGGACAGCGCAGCCACCAGCACGAGCCGCCATTCCGGGCCGCTGGCTGGCCCCAGAAGCCGGTGATCGGGGGGAGATGGGGGTCCCCTGCCAAGGCCTGACACCTTTGGCGGAGGCATCAGGCCTGGGCAAGGTACCAATCTGGCGATCGGAGGGTGATAGAGGTCGACGCCTCTGGCAGAGGGACAGGCCTGGGCGGAGGGCGGAGCTGGAAATCGGAGGGGTCTGGGGGTCCCCTGCCCAGGCCTTATGCCTGGGCCAGAGGCATCAGGCCTGGGTGGGGGGCAGAGCCAGTGATTGTGGGGGTATGGGGGTCCCCTGCCCAGGCCTAAAGCCTGGGTCAGAGGTGTCAGTCCTGGGCGGGGGGTGGAGCCAGTGATGGGAGGGAGATGGGGGTCCCCTGCCCAGGCCTGACGCCTCTGGTAGAGGCGTCAGGCCTAGGCAAGGGGCCGATCTGGCGATAGGAGGATGATGGGGTCGACGCCTCTGGCCGAGGCGTCAGGCCTGGGCGAGGGTGGAGCCGGTGATCAGGGGGAGATGGGGGTCCCCTGCCCAGGCCTAAAGCCTGGGCCAGAGGCGTCAGGCCTGGGGCAGGGGGGCAAGCCGGTGATTGCTGTGAACTACAAAGGAAACACCTTTTCTGACCACTCATTGGTTAAGCTCCCTGTATGCCACTGGTAATATTCTTAGTAACTTGGGTAATAAGAATCCAAAAAGGTGATCTAGGCTTTTTCACCACACTCCTGGCAAAAAAAACAAAGGTCCGCTGCTGGAGGGCTAAGAAATGTCATATCCTGCCCTAGCCGGTTTGGCTCAGTGGATAATGCCTTGGCCTGCCAATGGCAGGGTCCGAGTTCAATTCTGATCAAGGGCATGTACCTAGGTTGCAGGTTCCTCCCTGGCCGGGGCCCAGGTCAGGGCTCATGCAGGAGGCAACCAATTAAAGTGTTCCTCTCACTCTGATGTATCTCTCTGTCTTTCCCTTTCTCTTCCACATTCTCTAAAAATCAATGGAAACATATCCTCAGGTGAAGATAAAAAATGTAAGAAAGAAATTATTATTATATTAAAGACACATCTTGAAAATGCCTAAAGAAAGTTGTCATTTTTTCATGGTGAAGGGACTGGAGTCTGTGTTGATGAAAAAAACCTTGCTGGCTGTAGGGACTGGCAGTGGCTGCAGCAGTGGGGTGATGGGGCTGGTGCCTTCCCCTGATCAACCCGGTCGCCTCTCACAAAGGGAGGCCAGACTGCGGCTTAGGCCCGCTCCCCAAGAGGAGCAGGGAGCGGGCCTAAGCTATCACTAGGACATCCCCTGTCTCACATACTGAGGGCTCCCAGTAAGTGAGAGGGGGCAGGCTGGGCTGAGGGATCCCCCCCCCCCTCAAGTGCACAAATTTTGTGCACCGGGCCCCTAGTTTAAGCATAATATCAATAAAGTTCCATGCCCCCATACCTGATATATTCTAAATGTTCAAACAATTTTTCCTTAGATGAGAGAAAGGAAAAAAGGAAAGAAAGATAATTTTATAGACTGGGAAATAAAACACATCAGGAAAGATAGTTGGACCACCAAGAGTGTTTAAGTGCCTGTTTGAGATGTAATCATGAATGAAAATTGAGACCAGTAAGCATAATTTTATATTTTTCTCTCACAATGTTCAGGTGATTGGAAATTAATATGGAATCAGCAGAAAGATGAGTTTAACCAAGGTTGTGATTTTGCTAGGGAAGTACAACACAAAGGAAAGGGGGAGGAAGTTAAGACTTCCTAAAGGACTGATTAAAATAAGAGATCTTATAATTTAAGCAGCATAAGAAAGATACTGAAGTCCTTTTTTGAGATAAGGGCCAATGGTTGATAGGGAAAATATGATAGATCATTTCATTGAATGTATATAATAAGACATATGGATTAGTATGGCAGTAAAATAAATGATCTGGAGTATAATGTGTGGTAGCAAAAGAGGAGGATTCTGGAAATTAAGATGTTACAGGTGATGAAGTTACTGGTTCATATGGTTGCTGGACAAACGACGAGAGATAAGAACTGTGGAAAACTAAAGCATGAGGTGCATAGAAGTTGCCTCTCTTCTACAACGGGAGGGAAGCTAATGACTGAGGCATCCCATATCCATTTGGTAATGAATGCCAAATAACTTGCATTTCCCTTACTTCTGCTTATTCTTCCTATTTCGTATTCTGTACATCTAACTAAAGAATACTGACCAATGTGTCTCCTCCATGTAGCATACGCTCTGAAAGATAACATAAGTTTGGTATATATTGTTGAATAAATAATTAATGAATAAAATAAATAAAATCAGCACTTATGAGTTTCAAAAACAAACTTTTGGAGGGTATTTTCATTTTAAACCAAATAATTTCAAAATGTAAAGACTGACTTTAAAAAACAAAAAGAAGGCAGTCAACTTAAGTCATGTCCATCATCAGCATGTGAAAAAATTGTAGGTAGATTATTAAAAAGAAATTCAACTTAATATACCTTAAAGTTTGCTCTCCCGATTCCTGCATCTTGGCTTTTTTAACCTGCAAAAATAAATAAACAAAGGAATAATGTAAGATCTATTTTTGAAATAATCTGGCTACTCAAATGTCAGGCTAACATTAACTAATTAACATTAACTAATAAATTTCAGGGTAACTGTCTTGTCTTGCTTAGATTTATTTAATTAACCCTTATGTTTTTTAGTCAGAGATGAACTTCTTTGTTTTTCACATGGAGATCTTTTTTTTTCTTTTCTATTTTTAAAATTTATCTTTATTGTTGAAAGTATTACAGATGTCTCCTTTTCCCCCCATTTTTTTTTCAATGAAAAAAGTGTTTATCAGATTCAAGGTAAAATGTAAAAAATCTTTATAAAGATTTTTACGCAAGATAAAATGTTTACCAGGATGAAATATCTAAACTTGGACACAAACTCGTTGGTTTTAAATTTTAACAGATGTATAATTATATCATTAAACAGTAAATATGGAACTCTTGATATCATCTACTCAAAATTTCTTTAACAGCCGAAACCGGTTTGGCTCAGTGGATAGAGCGTCAGCCTGCGGACTGAAAGGTCCCAGGTTCGATTCCGGTCAAGGGCATGTACCTGGGTTGCGGGCACATCCCCAGTAGGAGATGTGCAGGAGGCAGCTGATCGATGTTTCTCTCTCATCGATGTTTCTAACACTCTATCTCTCTCCCTTCCTCTCTGTAAAAAATCAATAAAATATATTAAAAAAAAAAATTTCTTTAACAGAAATGTCTTTTTCTTTTTGGTTAATCCTCATCATATTTTTTACATTATTTCTAGAGAGAGTGGGAGGAAGGGGGGAGAGAGAAAAAGAGAGAGAGAAAGAGAGAAGCATTGATGTGAGAGAGACATGGACTGGTTGCCTCCTGCACAGCCCCCCACCAGGGCCAGGATCTAACCTACAATCCAGGTACTTGCTCTCGACCAGGAATCGAACCTGATATATGTTGGTGGGTGCAGGCAATGCAGGCCAACACTCTGACCACTGTACCACACCATCCAGGACTAACAGAAATGTCTTTATACTTAAATTACCTACATGCCAAAAATAAAGACAATTTCTTATTATGCTACTAGTAATTTAAAAAATATTATTCACACAATTCTGATTTTCCCTCCAGATTTTCATCTTTTCTTAATTCCTTCTGAGGTAAAAGCATTTACATTGAAGCAATTTAGTCCAGAAATGCAAAATAATGTTTAACACTGTGCATGTTCCCTGCTTTCCTATTACAAAAGAATCTGATTTTAGAGCTCTCTGATTAGAATAACTAGTTATAGTAGAAACATGCTAAGTATACTTAGCCATACAAATTATGAATACTTAAAAGTATTTCAAGCTAATAAAAGGCAAAAATTCTGCTAAATAATTTTAAACAAATATAACAGGTGGAAATACAGCTATCTAATATGATTAGATTTAACATTTCAGATACTGTTCACCTTAATTTGGGCAATTATGTCCCCCTGTAAATCAGGGATAGGAAGGTTGTACTACCCTGGCACCAGAGGCAGTTAAACTAACTCAAAGAATACAGACATATTTCACTGAGTTACAAAAGCATGGGTTCAAACAATATAATCCAGAAACTGACAGAATGCAAATAGTGCAACTACTTTAGTACGGCTTCCTCAAAAGGTTAAACTGAGTTACCATATAATCCCGCAATTCCACTCCTAGCTATATAACCAAGAGAAAAGAAAACAGGTCCATACAAAAAAAAGTGAAAACAATCCCAGAATCCATGAACAGATGAATGGATAAATAAAATAATGATAAATAGCCCTAGCTGGTTTGGCTTAGTGGATAGAGTGTTGGCCTGGGGACCAAAGGGTCCGGGGTTTAATTCCAGTCAAGGGCACATACCTCAGTTGCAGCTCCTCCCTGGCCTGGGCCCTGGTCTAGGCATGTGCAGGAGGCAACCAATCGATGTGTTTCTCTCACATCAGTATTTCTCTCTGTCTTTCCCTCTCTCTTCCACTCTCTCTGAAAATCAATGGAAAAATCTCCTCGGGTGAGTATTAAAAAATAAAATAATGATAAATAAATAAAACAATGAGTATTGAGTTTGATATGTACATTTTAAAATTCTTTCCTATGTGTATAATGCCCTTTCAAAATTTGAGTTCAGAGACCACTCCTGATATCCATAGAGGAGTTAAGTGCTTCCAGTTCACCAGAAATAATCTTGGATTATACCTCTTATTCCAAACTGAGTCTGGTTAATGCTCCCTTTCACTCTTTTTAAAAAGAGTTCCAGGTTGGACAATAATATGAGCTGCTTCAAAGTAGTTGAAAAAGATGAAGACTGGAAGAAGACTGAGTCAAATACCTAAATGGTGACTACAGAGAAATCCATTTCTCATTGCAGAGGATTGACTGGCAATAGGGAAAGTGAAAGAAAATCCTGTGGCTAGGATTTATGTTGCCTTGTTAACAATGACCCGAACAAATCTTAAATCTTAAAACAGAGCAAGTAAGAAGTAGAGAAACGAGAAAAGACAAGACAAGAGACGATAGAATTAAAATAACTCCAATAATAATGCCCATCAGTAATGTCTCCCTCTATATAGAGATAAACAGTAGGGTTAAAAATCTTAGCTTTATCATCAACCTGGGATAGGACTATTCTTTTCATTCAAATTTCCTATCTCCACTACAGCCTATGAAAACTTATTTTTCTCCTCAAAGTCTGGTATTTACTCTCCTATCCTAATTATTCTTAACAGTCAATAAGTGTTCTGTGTTTTCTTAGATTCCATATTTATTTGATATCCATTAATCATGGAGCCAAAATTGTTTACCAGTATATTTCCCCTACGAGCCAGAGCCCACACTCTGAACTACCTCCTTTATCTAACTCATACACACCAAGTCAATATTCCCCTGTTCTAAATCAACTCAGGGCCAGGTGGATACCTAGTGACAGCCCGATACCCCAAACCTCCTGGAATTATTCGAGCTAACAATCTTAAACTATTTACCCTGGCATGCCATGCCTCTAATTTCTAAGGGAATTGTAACATTAAACTTTCCTTTCAAATGGCACTGACCTCTCAGTGTGGTCACTCAGTCACCTTTATAAATTAAACCCAAGCACAAATCAATAGGAAAATGATGCCCCAAGGCAATCACCATTTATAGTCAACAGAAAATTAGTTTGTTTTTTTTAAAAAATATATTTTATTGATTTTTCACAGAGAGGAAGGGAGAGAGATAGAGAGTTAGAAACATCAATGAGAGAGAAACATCGATCAGCTGCCTCCTGCACATCTCCCACTGGGGATGTGCCCGCAACCCTGGCACATGCCCTTGACCGGAATCGAACCCGGGACCTTTCAGTCCGCAGGCCGACGCTCTATCCACTGAGCCAAACCGGTTTCGGCAGAAAATTAGTTTTTAAAGTGGTTTAATTTCTTACCTTCCTCTGAAATAACAATCAGGTTTAATACGTTATGTTATAGAAACTGAATAAAAATGGCAAGGAAATAAAGCAAAGTAGAAAAGATGACCTATTAGCAGGTCAGTCTCACAATTCTCATTACCTTAAATAGATAAGGAGTAACCAACAATACCTATTTCAACAACTTATATAAGTCTTTTGAAATTATGACTAGACCTTTTACTAAATTAAAAACTCAATGACATCATTTTCGTTGGTACATTTAATGTCTCTAATTCAGCTATTTCTTCTTACACAAATACAGTGTATCCTAGCTACACTGCTGAGGATGATTTTTAACCCTACCATTTCCCTGATTATTAATGTCCCATCAGGAAAGGAACGATATTCCAAATGTTTCAAAAGGTGTTTTTTTAACAACTGCTTATGACATCCTAATTTTATGCTTACTGTAAGTGAGAGGGCTAAAAATATAGCAAAGTAATCATCAGTATACATGTCTCGACCTAAAGAAAAATATTAAAAACATATTAAAGGACTTTATTAATTAAATGGAAGCTGGTGTCTATCCTTCTGTAATGTAAAGAATACATCTAGTACATGAAAAACATATCTTATTACCTGCCTTCAACATTCAACTTTTTCTATGTTGGATTTCATAAAGAAAGGTAAGCATGTCCACTCTATATTCTCTTTTAATATTAAATGCAAGAGGCTCTCTCAGGATAGCAAATTGAATCAGTATTTAACTTCAGAAAAAGAAACTCAAGACAAAAGGAAAAGATTCTTCAATATAAAAGTATCTTAAGAGAATGATTATTGCTCTCCTTTTTTAAGTGAGAAGGATCAAAAACAGACAAAAAAACAAACAAAAAGAAGCCATGGCAAGGCAATAAATCCATTTCACTTGTGGACATTTAAAATGATTTTATTTATTTGTATTAAATATTTAAAAGAAATTAAGAATTCAACCTAGTCTCTAAATCTTATCTTTTTAAGAATTAGCTAGTGGTCAGATTACATTTTTTTCAACTACTACAACTTCTTAAAAAATTAGGTCAGTTAGGAAAACTTAGGTAAAGGTAAAACTAAATTTTCCATCAGAAGTGGTGTATACTGTTTGGTAAATAGATGTTCTCTTTTATTTTAAAAACTGTAAGATTATCCATTGTTTTTTTTCTTTTCTTTTCTTTTTCTGGTCTGCCCCACAACTGATTGAGACCTACAGCACATCCTGTTGCCATCTCACCTACCAGGATGTCTAATTGCTCTGCCCTTCCCTGACAGCTCCCCAGGCCACAGATCAGACCAAGCAAAAGTGTTCTACAAAAGGAAATATCCATTGATTTTTTTAAAAATGACAATCCCAAATACAATACTAACTTTGTAATGCTGAATTTTCTAAGCACACTCGTTAGCATTGTTAACAAAATATGCATTTGAGATCATATAAAATTTTTTACTTAGAAGTATTAAGAAGTCTTTCCCTTATTTTTATTTTGAATTTGAATAATATTTAAAATCTCAAGATTAGTTTTTCTACAATGAACTTTAAATTGTTAAAGGAAATACTTACTGGTTGCTCTGGTAAATCTTGTTCTTCTTCCATGAGGACCAATATTTCTTTATTCCACTTATGTGACTGGATCGCAAGTGTCTCTGAGCAGTCTTCACAGTCTGTTGAAAAAAGGGGAGGAATTCAAAGCTTTATGTACTCTTAAGGCATTATCATTCAGGCCATCAGAAAATAATTTTTTAAAAATATTTTGGTACTCCAAGCTTTCCACGTGAGTTCTAATCTCAAAATCTCAAACTTGCACATGGCTTTTCAAAACTGACATGCTACACCAAGTCAAGATAGGTATACGCAATGATTTTTTAATATCTTGCAAAAACCAACACGTGGAACCACTTCTGCTGTACTTAAAACACGGTTACTATAGTGCCTAATGTATTAAACATTTTACAATGTGCTGATAACTAGGACAGTTTTTTTTTAGGATTAGAGTTACATATTTTAATGATAAAAACTAGCCTAGTAAATCAGTAAGTTAGGATAACATCTAACCTGCTGTCATGTGGAACATTTATATAATGTTAACACAGACACACTGAAACACTTTAAATATAACAAATCAAAATATAAATTAAATACATTCACAACCATCTGTATATATAATTAATATAAAGGAAAATGGAATTCTCTGGATCTACTTTAATAATGCAAATAAGTAAAACTTGAATTTTAGAATTAAGGAAAAATAATCATGTAAATTTTATTTATATTTTTAGTCCTCACTGGAGGATATGTTTTTAATGATTTTAGAGAGGATGGTAGAAAGAAAGAAACAGGGATGTGAGAGAAAAACATCAATCAGTTGCCTCCCGTATACACCCTAACCGGGGGTGGAACCTGTAACCTAGAATTGAATCCGCCACCTTTTGGTGTAAGAGATGACGTTCCAACCAACTGTGACCTGGCCGGGGCTGGGACCCAATTTTAGTCGAAATAATGAACTCCACTAAATATACTGTCTAGTCAATCATTTAAGGAAAATCTTTATCTTCTTAGATCCTGCTCTTCTTGTCCTGATTTTCAAACTAACAAAGAAAAATAGACTATCCTCTTTTATTTTTTAAAACTGTAAGAATATCCATTGTTTTTTCTTTCTTTCTCTCCCCCCTCCTTTTTTTTTCCTGGTTTGATTTTCAAACTAACAAATCCCACATTTACTGGTAAAAACACCTTATTATGCCCTTCTGGCAAGAGAGACAGATAGACATTAGAAACCTTAAATACATTATAAAAAAGAAAAACTCCATTACAATTTAACAAAAATGAAACTAGCACTGCTCCGAAACAGATGTGATTGCTTATGCTTTTAATTAAGGTCAAACCTCTTTTCACTTCTAGCAACCACTGTAACCAACTTAATATATAAAGAAAGCTAAAGCAAGTATAGAATCTTACTGCAGAGGTAATGAAAATAGATAAATAATATGAAAAGGGAAATGAAAAACTTCAGTTATGCCAATATACCAGCATTCCACTTCTACTGCTCTATACAAAACACTTTCAGAGCCACACTCCGGAATGGGAAGAGAAAACACGTGTAAGCTAGACAGATTAAAAATGTGTCTAACTCTGACACAGCTTTACTCCCTACCCTGATCTGAATGTCAAAAGAGAAAAAAGTGTAAAGGTCAGAAGCAGAGGATGCTCAATGCACTCACGTGTAGCTCATGCACAAAGCCTCAAAAGCTGAGTTCTCGTCCTACCTGACGTAGGTAGCTGCTGCTGCAGAATTACGGTGCACAGTAACTAAAGCTCACAGGTGCTATCTTCCCTGCACTTGTTTTGCTCTATCCAGAACAACATAATCAATGTGACGTGAAACTGACTCATAATTATGAAAGATGAAACATTTTTATGTTTCGCCAACTTATATTTTAGTTTTAAATTGAAATGTCTTTATGGGATTTTAATACTGCCTCAATGAACATAATGTGTACATCTGTGAACTGATCCCTTAAGAGCAAAATAGGACCAAATCATTAGGAAAATGTAATGCCTTTAATACCTTATTTGTTGAATTTTTGTGTGACCAGCTCTCACCTTAAAAGTGATAGTATTCCATGTTTTACTTAACTGTAATAACTGCAATCTCTAATTAGTAGATTCTCGGCAAGAGGGAGGGGATACTCATTCTCATAGGGGAAGTGTTTTAAAACCTACCTCTCGGTAAGAAGGTAAGGAAAATTGTTTTGTTTTAAAAAGGATACCAAAAAGCATGTACTTTAATTTTGTTTTTAAACACAAAAACTAATTTATTTTAAAAATATGAACAACATTAAAGAACATAGATTTTTACTGATCAAAATGGGTTATGGATTTTAAATGGCAAGAACTATTACTCTTAATAGTGCGGAAATAAATTTTCAAGCCATACAAAACTAAATGTTAAAATCTTAAATTTTGCTTTCTAGATATATGCTAATATTACTGTGATTTTATAATGAAAATGGACTAATTTTTTTTTCTTGAGATAAATTCTACGGTAAATTGTAAGAAAACCTTCTTTAAGGGAACAATTGGAAGATATTCCTTTCTACCTCTCCTATTTCTTCTATGAAAAGAAGGATCCTTTGTTGTTGCCATCCCTAAAAATTACCTTCCACATAATTCCATCACAACATGTATCTAAGATATTACTTTCCATCAATACAGTATTCTTCCTTCCTTCCAAAAATTTGTAATTTATAAGACCGGAAATATAGAAACATACTGAATAAAGAATGCAAGTATTTACCACGTTCCTAGCATTAACCAATGTGCTAAAACTTTTAATATTAACATCTCACACCATTTTCTACAGTGGCACATGCTTACAATCAAAAGCCGAGTTTACTAGCAACCAGATGAAAGTGTTATATAACACAAACACAGTGATCCAGTATTTGACAATAACAAAAACTACGAAATTACAATACAAATCTTAGTATTCTCATTTCCATGTAGTTTTAGAGTTTAATATGATGGCTTGACATAGAACGGGAAAGTGGATTCTTAATGTAATGTAAATTAATATAATTACAACTTAGCCAAAGAGCCGATGAAATTATAAACACGCTCCGAGTTCATTTTTGTTTTAAGCACCTTTATAAGGCATTTGGATAGTAATGTCTTCATAATTTTCTAGTTTCAATTTTTAGAACTGTTTCTACATACAATTAATTATCACTTTTTTTTGGAGTTTGTTAGTATTTGTATGCCCTCATCATTAAAAATCTGGGAAAATCTGCAATTGAGAACAGAAATAATATTTCCCTACCTGCCAATGCTGACAATGAAAAAAACAGAAACTTTAGTTTGATTCAAAAAGGTCACATAATTTTAAATATTGTGACTTCACAAGCTCATAAATAAAAGCATGATCATTTTGTAATATGGCAGCCATAATTTTTAATCCTTAGAAATTAGAAGGGAAATAATTAGTAACAAATATTTTATTTCAAAATTCTAATAAGATTCTAACCACATAATTTCTGCTTTGTACCAAGTTCACCATAAAAATATTCAAGTATTAAGCTAAAATTACCCTGTAGTTATAAATGGCCACAGGCAAGAACTTGGGTTACTTCAAATGTGTTATTGTAGCTCTTAAACACAGAAAGAGAAATTTAAAATTAGGTATATAAATATTTTAAAACGCAATATAAAGGTCAATTTTTTTTTCAGTGAAAACACAGTATATATCAATTTTAATTGTAACACCAAGAGAAGTGTCTAAATAGAACAAACAGTCTGATTATACGCCCTAGAAGGGAAACTTGCAGCAGCTAAGTGTGCATAGAGATTTTCAAGAGTTAACTGAATAGCTCTGATACAGTTTTAAATAGAACAGGTAGCTCATAAATTTGATCATATTTACACTGTATTTTAGAAGTCTATTTACTACCCCTTTATATATTTACTACAGGTAGTCTATTTACTACCTACCTTATATATATTTATATATTTTCAGAGTACACCAAAGGCTATAGAAGTTTCCCTGGAAACAATCAATAGTATCCCTCCCAAAATTAAATATATCTCAGCAATAATAGTTATAAACAGTAGCCTTAAGAAGTATAAAAAAAAATGGTCTTAACCACTTAAGATTTTTATTAATATGTGGATTGCTTCAGAATTTATAAGAAATAAGTAATTAGCAAATTTTGCCATGATTCCCTCAAATATAATTATGTGTATGCCTTGAAGAATGAAACAAAAAGCAAAATACCCTCCTCTAATGGCTTTAAGATGATTGCTTCAAGTATTGTTATTCAACAATAACTGATCTATTCTAAAAGGAATCTATGAGCATCATCCTTATTCTATGGACCGGTCAACTGGGATTCAGAGATTTAAACAATTTGCCTGAGAATAATAGCAATCATTTTTCAGGTTTAAGTAGAAATATGTCAAGTAAAGAGACTAGAGGATAGTGGTGATAGCTGACATTGTGAGTGTACGTAATGCCACTGAATGGTATACTTTAAAATGGTTAAAATAGTTTTTGTTAAGCATATTTTTTGTAAAAAAATCAAAGCAAAACATGAGACTAGAAATACCAAAGCAATAATCAAATCTAAAAAGTGCTTATAAGTGGAGAAAAATCTATTTTAAAAAAATGTTGTCATAAAAACTGAGTATCAATGTGGAGAAAAACATATCCACATCATACACTATGATTAATTCTAAATATATGAAGAACAAGTAGCATTAAAAAAAAATGGAAAAAACAGAATAGTATACTTATCTCATCTGTAGAAAGAGATAAATTTTTGAGCAATAGAAGCATAAGCAACTAATCAACAGATCCGGTGATGTAAGATACACTTTCATGCAATGAAAAAATAATAAGCCTAAAATTAAAACAGTAGAGTAAATGTAAGCAACACCTGCAATAATCACAATAGATAAAGCTTAATGTCTACAATATAAATCCAACCAATTCAACATTTACCGATCATCTATTATGTGGCAAACAATGACTAACACATATATCCATCAAAAGATACAAATAGTTTTTAAGATCAAATCAGCATTTGGGGAAAAAGATTCTCCCTACTAAGTAAATTTTAATATTTTTAAGATACCACTTCATACCTATTCAACTACCAAAAATAAATCTAAAATAACAAAACCTAGAGTTATCTGGACTCCAAGAAGATAAGAAATATTCAGGCACAGCTTTAAAATCAGACTGTTCTCCAGTTAAAGAGTATAAAAGAGGTCATAAAATTGCCCATGATCTGAATAATTTTTCTTGTTCTTTTTTCCCTAAAAAGAAGCTAACTCTATTTTAAAAAGAGAAAGTTTGTTTTCACAGAAATGAAAAATTAGAAACAACCAACACATGGAGAATGGTTTACTTATGCTGTAATTATACAATCGAACATTCTATATTAAAATGAAAACTATAACCTAGTTCAATACAAGCTCATTTAAAATGTGAAAAAACCTAAGATTTCACAATAACTATAGAATAATGGCTTAAGTATAATTTGGTAAGAATCAAAAGCATAGACAAAGAAATACAATGCTGGATGCTTAAGGTTTATATAGTAAAATGTTTAAGTACATCACTTTTAAAATGCTTTTATAAAAATGTTCAAGTATTAAGCTAAAATGAGACATAAATTCTACATTCTGGCTCAGCCATTTTCCTCAGGAAAAAACTTCAACTTTGAGGGAAAAGCAATTTAAGTAGCAATGATCCTCCCTTACCCCCAAATCTTAAAAGAAGCCCATGACGACACTACAGACAGAAAGACTCATTTAATTTTCTTGCTCTGTCATCTCTTTCATAAGTCAAGTTAGACAGACACTACACACAAACCCAGGGTTGCTTCACTTCATGGTTCTGAGTAAAAGCTTTCAACTCCCAACAGTTAAAAGAATTTGGTATCAGAAGACATTTCACATTTGATTTTACTCTTCTGGACAGAAAAATAGTCACTCTGTGAATGGAAGAAAATTTATAACAAATGATGCTACAAGGAATATAGATTATTAAATTGTTAGAGGTAATCCTTATTTTAGGGTTGAGTAAACTAAAACCGAAGATGTGAAGGCATTGCTTCATGATGTCTGTAAGTAGCAGAACCAGTAGTGGAACCCAAGATTCTGAACTCCCTTGTCTTATTTCCCTTCATGTAGAATTGCGCATAAAACCTTCCCTTTTAAAACTGCATTCCCAGGAGGAGTCCAAAGAGGATTGTTGGAGAGGCTCTTCCTTTCCGTCTGGCTGAAGCCATTAGGTAAACCAAAATGGGCGAGCTTACAAGTACATCCAGGAGCTAGGGAGGAAGCAGCAGTCCGATGCAAAGCGCTTCCTTCTCAGGTGCGCTGCTGGCAGTACCGCCAGCTCTCTGCGCTCCACGGGGGGGGGGGGGGGGGGGGGGGGGGGAGCTCCCCCCTCCTCCCTCCCCCCTCCCCACCCGACAAAGCGCACAGGTTGGGCTACAAGGCCAAGCAAGGCTATGTCATATAACGAATTCGTGTGCACCGTGGTGGCCGCGAACGCCCTGTTCCTAAGGGTGCGACCTATGGCAAGCCTGTCCATCAGTGTTAAGCAGCTAAAGTTTGCTCGAAGTCTTCAGTCTGTTGCAGTGGAGCTCTGAGAGTCCTGAATTCTTACTGGAGTGGTGAAGATTCCACGTACAAATTCTTTGAGGTTATCCTCATTGATCCATCCCATAAAGCTATCAGAAGAAATCCTGACACCCAGTGGATCACCAAAACAGCCCACAAGCACAGGAAGATGCGAGGGCTGACAGGTGCGGGCGCAAGAGGAATGGCCTTGGGAAGGGCCACAAGTCCCACCACACTACTGGTGGTTCTTGCCATACGGCCTGGAGAAGGCGCAATGCTCTCCAGCTCCACCGTTACCGCTAATATGTTTGTAAAATCCTTACCTAATAAACAATTTAGGACAGTCATGTCTGCTTAAAAGTGTTCTTTAATTGGTTAAAACTAGTCTGCTGATTGTCTCATGAATGCATTGTCATATTATAAAAGTTAAAGTGCAATAACGTTAGAAGACTATAAAGTGATGGTGTGTCTCATTACTCTTAAGATAGATGCTTTTGTCTTGGCTTTATGTCAGCGATTTTCAACCTTTTTCATCTCATGGCACACATAAACTAATTACTAAAATTCTACAGCACACCAAAAAGTACTGTTTTGCCAATCTGACCAAAAAATAGGTATTTTGATCCATTCTTTTTTAAAAAATATATTTTATTGATTTTTTACAGAGAGGAAGGGAGAGGGATAGAGAGTTAGAAACATCGATGAGAGAGAAACATCGACCAGCTGCCTCCTGCACACCTCCTACTGGGGATGTGGCGGCAACCAAGGTACATGCCCTTGACCGGAATCGAACCTGGGACCTTTCAGTCCGCAGGCCGACGCTCTATCCACTGAGCCAAACCCGTTTGGCCCATTCTTTTTTAATTTGACAATCTAAGGGGGCTAGAGGTCAGTGCCCCTGACTAGTCAGGTACTGCATGTTTTAAAAAATTGTGTCCCAACAGTGTGCAACAGTATACTGACTGAAAATCACTCCTTTATCTTATTAGGGAGTTTTCTATGTCAGTGTTTGGTATCATAGGTGTAAAATTCTGTGAAAGAGTGCAAAACTAGCCAGTAGATTTGTTGGTGCATGTGATGAAACCTACAGCTTTATTAGGGTAATAATGCAATGCTCTCTGCTTGTTTGTTTACTCTCAAAGGGCTGTTTTTTGGAGTTTGAATTTTGCTTGGAAATGTGAAAGATAACCTAATCCATTCTCATGGTCCTATGCAGAAAAATGAAAGTAGGGGGTTCACATTTTTTAGATTAACCCAATATAACTGCTGCTTCTGAAAAAAGGAAAGTTTAAAAGAATGCCACCATTTTTAGAATTGAATGATCTTGTTGAAAGAGGGTTCTCTTAAAATTAAACATCCTAGTTTACCTAAAAAAAATAAAAATGCATTCCTAATATTACCTTAGGCTATTTATTCCCCTTCCTTCATTAATTCTCCAACTATTCTGTTATATTACTTTGACTTCGTGATATAGTAACATGTTCTTAAACTTAAAACTTCTTTTTAAATGTGTTATCTGGCACTTTAAGACTTACTGAAAATCCTAAAATAAGATTATTTTTTATGCTACTTTTTAACTTCCTGTACAGTCTAGCAAAAATAACAATTTGCTTTCTCTTTACAACCATAAATCTTTAATTTCTAATGTACAGGCTTTGATCTGTTAATGGAACAGGTAATTTTAATCACAAAATATATGAAAATAAATTTTTACCATTTCTAGTCAGAGATAAAAGCATATTTTAGAAAAACAAAGTATCTCCAAACCTACTAAAGCCTCAAAGTTATTAGAGAAAGATTTTCCTGCTTCATTATTAGTTAATTTAGAATTTTTCAAAACTACTTACTCCTCTGACCTTTACTGTGTAGTCTCTATAACTGGCAGTTAATTCTGCTAAAATTAATTTTCCCTTGTTTCTAAGATTCTGTGGAATCTTGATCCTAAACTGACAATGGCAGAGCCCACCTTCTTCTTTTTAGTATCTGATAGCACATGGCGGGCATTAAATAAATATTCATTCAATCAAACACAATTTCCAGGCTCTTGATTCCTCTAAATATTTACTTAAACTAGTTCTTTAAGAACCTTTAATATATTTAGAGGCACAAAAAATTAAAATCTTCACTTTTCTCATTTCTCACCAGGGATGCCTTAAGTCACAAATTTAATTCTTTACAAGGTTTTGTTAACTGATTTGAAAAACATCATTTTGAAGTTTGTGTTATCCAAAAAAAGCAAGAAGTGATAAACTTTATTTCAAATTTTAATATTATATTTATAGTAAGAGATCACAGCACTGATACTGCTTACTTAGAGGTTAGAAGCCTTTATTTTCCCTCACTTATTAGTAGGTTAAAGGTTTTTGTTTATTTTTAAAATTTGTCAGTTACTATTTACATTCAATATTATTTTGTATTAGTTTTAGATGTGCAGCATAGTGGTTAGACACTCACATACTTTACAAACTGTTCCCTCTGATATTTCCAGTATTCAACTGGCACCATACATAGTTATTACAATATTATTGACTACATGTTTTTTATGCTGTACTTTACATTGCCATAACTATTTTGGTAGGGTAAAGTTTTAAATTAAAAAGAAAGGGAAGAAAGGGAAGAAAGGGAGGGAGGGAGGGAGGGAAGGAAGGAAGGAAGGAAGGAAGGAAGGAAGGAAGGAAGGAAGGAAGGAAGGAAGGAAGGAAGGAAGGAAGGATTGATTGATTTACATCCTAATTCCCAGAACTGCTGATTGTTACTTTATTTAGAAAAGAGTCTTTGCAGGATTAAATTAAGGATTTTGAGATTAGATTATCCTTGATTACCTAGGTAGGTCGTAAGTGCCACCTCATGTCCTTATAAGAGTAAGGTGGAGGGGAAATTAGCTAACACATACAGAGAGAAGGTGATACAAAGATGGAGGCAGAGGTTGGAGGATATGGCCAGACTTCCAGCAGTCACCAGAAGCTGGAAGAAGCAAGGAACAGATTCTCCCCTTAGAGGCTATGAAGAAAGTGCAGCTTTGCCTTGATTTCAGACTTCTGGCCTCCAGAATTGCAAGAGAATAATAAATTTCTGATGTTTCAAACCTCCAAATTTGTGGTAATTTATTATGGCAGTCACAGAAAATTAATACAAATAGTATAGAAGTTTATTGAGTTTTTCACTCGTTTTGCTATTACCTCTCTGCTTTGGTTTGTTGGCCATCTGGCCACTGAAGAAATACACAAGCTGAAAACAAAGGTGGGGAATGAAGAAAAATACATAAATAAGACAAAACATGATTATACATACCGCTGTAAAAATGCTTCCACACATTAATAGGGTAAAAATAAAACACTCAAAAACTTTCCAAATAATTGGACAGTTTGCCTAACTGAACTGTCACATAACTACAAAGTTAGCATTCTCATGCTTTTGCTCTGAGCCGAACCCTAAATGTGTAGTGGAAGAAATTCCCAGCGAACAGTAATAACACTGGCAGTCCGAGGTATTATTTCATGGATCGTGAGAAGCCTTGCTGATCTAATAATGCCTTGAGAACAAACTCAAGTATAGTCCCTGACTTACGACTGTTTTGACTTACGCTTTTTCAACTTTATGATGGTGCAAAAGCAATACACATTCAGTAGAAACCGTACTTTGAATTTTGATCTTCTTCCAGGCTAGTAATATGTGGTACAAAACTCTCTTATGATGCTGGGTAGCAGTAGCTCCCAGTCAGGCACACAGTCACAAGGGTAAAGAACCAATACTCTAAATATATAGTGTGTTGCCAGTGTTTTTGAGATATTGTGTTCTCAACACGTTTAAGGTAAGCAAGACTTAACTATGATGTTATAGGTTAGGTATATTAAGTACATTTTTTACTTATATTACTAGAAAATGATTTATGATATTTTCAACTTATGATGGGTTTCAACCTATGATGGGTTTATTGCGGCTGCATCGCAAGTTGAGGAGCACCTGTACTACTATTAAAAAAACAGCACTTAAAATCAGAATACAACCACTATACTATTTGTTGTTTTGCTTAGGGGAAAAAAAAGAAGACTGCTTAATGGAGTTAAACCTGAAAGATACACAAGTCCTCTTTTCTAGTTGATCTTAACTAATAATCTTAGGCAAACTATGCCTCAAGACTGAAATTCATATTTTTCTATTTTGAGTGAAGTATTTATTTTTTATTTCTTTCACAAAGTCATTTTTTTATATCTATAGAGTGCAATGTGGTATCCTGAGTTGGATCTTGGAAGAGAAAAAGGACATTAGTGAAAAAAATAGTGAAAGCTAAAGTTTGTGAAGCCTGGATTTAGTTAATAGTAATGTCCCAATATTGGTTTCTTAGTTTTGACAAATGTACCATAGTTATGTAAGCCCTCCCTGGGTGGCTCAGTTGGTTGGAATGTCGTCCTGTACACTAGGAGGTTGTGGGTTTGATTCCCAGTCGGGGCGAGTACAGGAGGCAACCTATCGATGTTTCTCTCTCACATTGTTGTCTCTCTCTCTCTCCCTTCCTCTAAATATATATCCTGGGGTGAGGATTTAAAAACACACAAAAAATATTAACAAGAGGGGAAACTGGGTAAGGGGTACATGGAAACTCTCTGTACTATCTCTGAAACACTTCTGAAAATCTACTTCAGAATAATATTATATGAGCAGCACTGTTTTCTTTAAAAAATATTTAAATGGCTTATAGGCATAATACCAAAAGGGTGCAAAAATGTGTTAATCAAACTTGCTTTATGAAACGTTTCTAAGTTTGTGATCACATTTTTATAGTCAATCATTCCAAATGCACTGAATAGGAGCTTACTATGTAATGAGGCAAATCAGTCTAAGGGAAAGAGGTGGGATTCAGAGTCAAAAGCATTTAGCTCTATTACCTACCAGCTATAAAACCTTGGGCAAGTCAGTTTTAGATTCTCTTGTAAATATAGATTCATTTTATTTATTTTTTTAAATATATTTTTATTGATTTCAGATAGGAAAGGAGAGGGAGGGAGTGATAGAAACATCAATGATGAGAATCACTGATTGGCTGCCTCCTGCATGTCCCCTACTGGGGATTCAAGCCTGCAACCCAGGCATGTGCCCTTGACTGGAACTGAATCCAGGACCCTTCAGTCCACAGGCCGACACTCTATCCACTGAGCCAAACCAGGTAGGGCTAGATTCATTTTATTTTATTTTAATTCAATTAATGAATACTTGGGAAAAGAGTCTAGTACCATGCACAGTGCCTAACACATAGTAGAGGTACCCTAAAAATATTAGTCCCCTTTGCTTTCATAAGTGTCTTACTAAGCACTGGGAGTGGAAGAATAAATCAGGACCATTTCCATAAGGCATTCACAGTTCAGTGGATTTCTTAGGTATGACACCACAGCAAATTCATAAAAGAGAAAAAGGAATAAATTTGACTTTATTAAAATTTAAATCTTCAAAATTTTTCTATGAAGTCATAACTGAGTTTTCACAATGGTCTTTCCTCAGTCCACACCTTATTTGCATTTTCTGCTAGATTAGATGATGCTGACTGAATGTCCCATCTGTACTACATTCCTTTTGGGGTACCTGAAAATTGCTTTCTTCACCCACAGGGTAAGCCCTTTAATCCTTACATATAAAAAATACATATATATATGTGTACTTTTTCTTCTTCCTAAGTAATTCTACCAACCCCTAATAGATCTGTCAGACTGAAGGAACCCTGAAAATCTACAGAAAAAGACTGCAACAATTAGTGCACACTTCCTTGTGCCTCAACTAGTACCAAGTACCATCAATCTTTTAAGTTTTGCCTAATGCAATAAGTAAAAGATGATTCCAAACTGCATGCTTTATATCACTAATTATAAATAAAAATAAGTGTTTTCAGTTGTTTGACTCTTATTTCTGATAAACTGCCTAGTCATCTTTTGCCAATTACTATAGGGTTGCTGATCGTTTTCTTAATATTTGGTATCAATTCACTGTAAATTATGGAAATTAGCCTTTTCACTTATACATTTTCTCTCTCCTTGTCATTTGTCTTTTGACTTTGTTTATGGCATATGTTGCCAAATAGAAGTTATGATTTTTAGGAAATAAAATTTGCCAAATTTTTTCCTTTGTAGTTTTTAGGTTTTGTGCCGTTTTTTAGGCTTCCACAAGACCAACTTATAAATAATGATTCACCCTTCTATAACTTTGATGGCTCTATTACTTACATTTACATATATGCTTAGAGACAATAATAGCACAGTGATTAAGAGAACATACCATGGAACCAGAATGCCTATACTTGAATCCCACTTTCTGCCACTTAATTGCTGTGTGACTCTGCATCAATCTCCCCATCTATAAAATGGGGGTAAAACAGTATCTCACAAAGTTGTTGGGAGAATTAAATATATTAATAAATATAAAGAGTTTATGATAGCTGCCCTGATACATAAGTGTTAGGTGTTATTTGACTGATCCACCAAATACTTAACCACTTGTCCTAATACCATTTACTAAATCTTGCCATTTTCTCCAATTACTTGAAATGCCAATTTTATAATGCATAAATCCATATATATATATATATATATATATATATATATACACACACATATTTATATATATATGCAATTTCTAGATTTTGTTATTAGTCTATTTGTTTCAGAGTCTATTTGGTACTTCCTCGGAAACCAACTTGAAATATTATAATTTCCTAACATACCGTAGAGGTGTTTTTTTTCATGTGTTTTAATACTTGAAAGGCTAGCTTCTCTTCTTCCTTCTTCTTTCTCACATTTTATGCTTTCCAAATGAACTTCACAGTAATGTTGTCAAGTTTTAAAAAACTAACAATATTTTAATTTAAATTGCATTAAGTACATAAAATAATTTAGGGAAAACCAATAAGTTTACAATATTGAGCTCTCCTAAGAGCACAGTATTTCCAGTTAATCTTTTTAAAATGTCTCTTAGTAGAGCCTCTCCATTTACTTATGTTGGTATCTTATCTTTTTGTTTCTTATATTTTTCGTTATATTTTCTAAAGAAGCTGCTTTTTATATATAGGAAAGCTGATGATTCTGGTACATTAATTTTGTAAAGAGCCACGTTACCAAAGTCTCTTATTGTTTCTAACAACGAGAACAGTAAAATGGTTGATTCTTGAGTTTCATGTATATATTGTCCCCTGCTGCACAAAAATTTTGCTTCCTCTCTCCCCAATATTAATCTTGGATATTGACTTACACCTTCACTATAATATTATGTAACAGTGCTAAACGTTGGGCATCCTTTTCTTGTTCCTTACATTAATAAAAATACTTCTAGCATACCACTCGCTAAGCATGACAATGGTTTTGGTTTGAAATAAAATTTTTCTTAATCATGTGAAATAAGAATTCATCAATTTTAATTACACAGAGAATGCTTATCAGGAATTGATATTAATTAGGTCAAATGCTTTTTTGGCATCAAAAAAATGATCATGTGGTTTTCTCTCACCTATTAATAGAACATGTATATAGATTTCCTAATACTGAACCACATATGCATTTATTTCAGAGCTGAAACCCTGGGGCTGAAGATTATTTTCATGTACTGTTGAATTCCATTTGCTAGTACTGAATTGAAGCTACATTAATATTTGTAAAATTTTTTCATATTTTCCTGTTTCATGCTGCCTAGAAAGTTTACAATCAATATTTCATTAGCTTTCTTAAAAGAATTGTAAACTTTTTTCTTTATCCATGCTCAACCAGTGTGCTGCAAGAATTTTTAAAACATGTAATACCTGACTAGTAAAGGGCATTGACCTCTTTTCCCTTAAATTGTAAAATTAAAAAATGAAAACAGCCAAAACAAATAATAGCCATCCAATGTGAATGAATCAAAATTATACCTATTTTTGCTCTGGCTTGGTAGCTCAGTTGGTTATCGTCCTGATACGCCAAGATTGTGGGTTTGATCGCTGGTTAGCGCACATACAAGAATCAACCAATGAATGCATAAATAAGTGGAACAAGTCAGTATTTCTTTCTCTCTCTCTCTCAAAAAATTAATTTAACAAAATAAATTATTTTTGTCAGATTGGCAAAAAATATAATACATTTTTGGTATGCCGGAGAATTTTAGTAATTACTGCCATGAGATGAAAAAAGGCTGAAAAATCACTGCTTTAGAAGAGACATACGTATCTCTTCCTTGGGTATTTGAAATAGCATACCTATGAAAATATCTGGGTCTCAAGGTGTTTGTGGAGCAGTCCTTAAGACAACTTTAATTTCTTCAATGTTATCAGTCTATTAAATTTCTCTCTTCTGGCATCAAATCTGTTAATGTTTTTCTAAAATAGCCACTTCATGCTTGAGAAAATAACCATTATTAAAGGGGATAACCAAGTCATTGCAATTACAAATCACATTTTTAGTATGACCACATGTGCCTGTAGAAATAAACACCAACTAATTAGATCAATCAATGCATATTTTAAAACTTCAAAGAATTATTCACCACACCTGCCCAAATAAAATTTTAGCAAATAATTTCTCCATCTTATGACTGGGCCTAAGTATTTTTTAAATGTGTGGCTTAACTTTAATAAAATAGTGTCATGGGAATAAGAGATAGTAATGAATAGAACTTGAAAATCTAAAAAATAAAACAAAATAAAAACAAATAAAATAAAATAGCCACTTCATCCAGATTGTCAAAATTATTTGTATAGTGTGTAGTTATTTCATAAGCACTGGAGATAAAGCCCTGTGCAAAAAGACAAAGTCCCTGGCTCTCACTGCGTGGATATTCTAATCAGAGGGAAGAGACAGATAACCAGTAACTTATTATTTAAGTAGTGGTAAGAAAAATGAAAAGGGAGAGGGAAATAAAGAATCTAATTCTGCAGTCTGGATTCTTTGTCACATGTGGCCACTGAGGTCTCTGCTATTAGTATTAATGATGAGCTACTGATTAGACAGATTTCCTTAGAAAATCTTCCAGTCTAGACTGCTGGGCTCTGTATGTATATCAGGGCACATACTTAACACTCGGCCAGTCAATTTACAAATCTGCCTTAGTCTTCACTACCTGCTTGCACAGAGCTTAAAGATGAACCAGAACTGACAGCTTAGGCCTTCTCAGGTCTTTCCTGAACATGCACACAGCCCCACGCATATACATCTTTCAGATTTCCCAGGAATATATCAGAGCTTCTCAAATCCCCTAATGGCTATCTCATTCCTCAGCTATTCCTTTTAAGCTTTTTGGTTAGCTTGTTGTTTGTCCCAACTGTTATTCACTATCACAGGCAGCCAAGATGTTCAACAACTGCCTCTGTTTCCAATGAATACTCTGATGGGCAAAAGGCTATTTGTACAGGATGAGCTCCACATCAGGTCAAATACAGACAGTCTTGTGAATGTCTTTCAAGGAACCACCAAACAGGTCAAGTAATGACAATTCCCTGGGAATGGGGCTTTGAAGGAGTTCCAATCTTGTTCTGCCCCTTCCAGTGGCTTCTGGAGGCTGCTAGTTTTCACCATGATTGGGGCAGTTGGTTTTCAAGGCTACTGTGGAGCTGGAGAGAGGGGAATAGAAACAAAGCAAGTTAAAACTCTACAAAGTATACTGTTTTTGCTGAAATTCAGCCATTTTTCTTGAGTAAATGTTCCCAGATTGCTGCAAGCCTTTGGTTAATTCTCATAGTTCTGGAAAAAGTTGTTCTATTTTTGTCAGTGTTCTCATTGCTCTTAGGAGAAAGTTTTCAGAGGTTCTTTCTCTGCCATTATTGTTGACATCCTCTGCATCTGATTTGAGAAACTCCTTCAGCTCAATCTTCATACTTATTAATTCAGTCTCTTTTTTATTTTTAAAATTTCAATATTTACATTTCTTATTTCTTCTGAAATTACTGATAATTCTTATCTTTAAATTTTCCTTCAGTTTATACTATTCATTATTTCCTTAGTTTCGGTTGCATTTGCTATCTCTCATAGTATTAATTTTTCTCAAATGACTAATTAATCTAGGTTATTCGTTCATATTTGTATTTTGGAAGTTTCAACTAAACAGTTTTTTCTCAGAGTGGATGAGAATCTTTGTTCATCTGTTGTTATATGCAGGTTCTAGTTATATGTTGAGTGGCCAGATTATTATAACCAGCCAGATTATTATGACCACCCCATCAGTACTTCATTGACACTTTCAAAAATACTGAATATTGAAAACTTCCTAAGCAAATACTCTCAAGGTTTTATTATTATTATTGCTTGCATAACTAATTCACTTCATTGTACTGTTGGGGTGGTCATAATAATCTGGCCACTTAGTGTATATACCCACTTCCAGTGCCTATAGAAGAGGGGTGAATTATGCTGTTAGGCAGTATCTGCAGTTAACTGGCTTTCTGGATATGAATCCCTAGTCTATAATTGCTTCAGTCTATTCTTGCTTCTTTCTCTAACGTCAAAATTCACTCATTCATTTATAAAATATTTACTGAGTGTCTACTATATGCCAGGCACTAGTTTAGATACTGGGAATTTAGTAATGAGCAAAGTCCCCAGACTCAAGGAAACATATTCTAATAGAAAGATAAACAGATACGTAAGGTAATAATTTCACAAGATAACCAGTACTATGAAAAATAAAACAAAGTAAAGAATAGAGAGTAACTACAGCATGAGTAGGGAACCTTTCTTCTGCCGAGGGCCATCTGGATATTTACAACATCATTCGTAAGCCATACAAAATTATCAACTTAAAAATTAGCCTGCTGTATTTGGTCAAACATTTAATTAACTCACCCCCAATGCCTTGGCAGGGCTAGACCAAATGATTTTGTGGGCCACCTTATATGGCTCGGGCCAGCCTTTCCACACAGGGAAGCTATTTTCTTTCTTTCTTTTTATTTTTGGGGGGGAGGGGTTAATCCTCACCCGAGGATATTTTTCCATTGATTTTTAGGGAGAGTGGAAGAGAGGGGAAGACAGAGAGAAAGATAAATGTAAGAGAAACACACCGATTGGTTGCCTCCTGCACGTGCCCTAAGGGTGTGGGGGGAGCCTGCAACCGAAGTATATGCCCTTGACCGAAATCGAACCTGGGACCCTTCGGTCCGCAGGCCGACACTCTATCCACTGAGCCAAACCAGCTAGGGCTATTTTATTTGATTTTTAAAATTTTATTTTTATTGATTTCAGAGAAGAAGGGAGAGGGAGAGACGGATAGAAACATCAATGATGATACTCACTGACTCCTACACACCCCCTAATGAGGATCGAGCCTGCAACCTGGGCATGTGCCCTGACCAGGAATCCAACTGTGACCTCCCGATTCATAGGTGGATGTTCAACCACTGAGTCACACTGGCCAAACTAGGGATGCTATTTTAGATAAGGTGATTTTTCCCTGATGTGGTAACATTTCATCAGAGATCTGAATAATGAAAAAGAAAGAGCTATAAAAATATAGCTCCAGCCAGCGTGTCTCAGTGGTTGAGCGTCGACCTATGAACCAGGAGGTCACGGTTCAATTCCAGTCAGGGCACATGCCTGGGTTGTGGGCTTGAGCCCCAGTATGGGGCTTGCAGGAGACAGCCGATCAATGAGTCTCTCTCATCATTGATGTTCCTATCTTTCTCTCCCTCTCCCTTACTCTCTGAAATCAATAAAAATATATTTTTTTTAAAAGAGAAGATGTGAAGGAGGGCTTTCAGAAGGAACTAGTAAGTGTGAAGAAACTGAAAGGATAACATCTAGGCATGTCTGAAAATAGCAAAAAGGCCAATGTTAGCAAGTGAATGAGGAGTTGGAAATGAGGCCTGAGAAGTAGGCAAAGGGCCAGATCACACAACCTTGTAAAATACAATAGAGTTTAGGAAGGCAATGGGTGCTTCAGGCAAAAGAATGACATGACCCCTTTCATAGGGGTCGCCTAAGACCATCGGAAAACACATATATAATTACATATTGTTTTTGTGATTAGTCACTATGCTTTAATTATGTTCAATTTGTAACAATGAAAATACATCCTGCATATCAGATATTTACATTACGATTCATAACAGTAGCAAAATTACAGTTATGAAGTAGCCACGAAAATAATTTTATGGTTGGGGGTCACCACAACATGAGGAACTGCATTAAAGGGTCGCGGCACTAGGAAGGTTGAGAACCACTGCTAGAAGGAAATTTATGCCCTCTCCAGGCAGATGGTTCAATGTTTGGAAAACTTTTCTCTGGGCTTTATCCAGGGGACACACACCAGATGATCAAAATTGAGAGCAAGGGCCAGGAAATTTGATGAATAGGCACCCTTCCATTCTTCATTTTTGTTTACTTGCAGGGGTCCTCAAACTACGGCCCGCGGGCCACATGCAAATACAAATATTGTATTTGTTACCGTTTTGTTTTTTTACTTCAAAATAAGATATGTGCAGTGTGCATAGGAATTTGTTCATAGTTTTTTTTAAAACTATAGTCCGGCCCTCCAACGGTCTGAGGGACAGTGAACTGGCCCCCTGTTTAAAGAGTTTGAGGACCCCTGACTTAAAGATTAGTACATTTCTGAAACTTCTATACATACTTTCAGCTGTGATCTCTACTCCTAGTTTCTCTACTGATGCAATCTGTTTCTTATCTTTCAGAAATTCACCAAAATCTCATCAGCTGATGGCAACCATTTTTTATTTGCCACCTTTTAAAAAACATCTAACATATCTACTAACATATTTACTTAGAGTCCTGCTAAAATAAACACAAATATCCAGTAGCTCTGCATTGAGCAGACATCCCTTAAGGCTTATTTAGAGTGACTTTAAGAGGACCTTTTAGCTC